TTGGTTCCTGTGGGGATTATCAGTTTAATTTTTGGATGCTCTTGAATAATTTTATAAATTTTTGCAAGATTTGCCTGAACCAGAACAGTAGAGATTTTTTTTGTGTGCCCTGTGGCCAGATATTGGGTAAGTTCACTTACACACGTTTTTTACCTTTTCAATTCTGATTCTTGAAAATTTTCATTAGATTTGGACAATGCTGGAATGGATCCACTAACTTTTTTTAATTGTCGATGGTAGCTGGATGAATTGCTAGTTACGCTTTGGGGCGAGGTATCATAACCTAAAATCCACAAATATTAATTTAAATATTGTCCACAGGGTTTTGGTTATTTCTTTCTGGTTTTTACTTTTCCTGGTTTTCCTTCCTTGCTATGGATGGTTTTATTTTAACATTCACTTGCACGTGATTACATGGTGTCTATACACACCCACCCTGTTTTCCAACTCAACAAAGATTTGTGGCCTTGCTGATGCAACTGTAGTTCCTGGAGTTCACTCTGTTCAACCCTGTTCAACATTGCCGTGCTCAGCTGCTGTTGTTGGATAAGTTACCCAGGCTTGTATACTATACTTTTATTTTGGGGTACACTATAAAAAGGTATAGATAGTAAAGTCTGATTTAATTTTATTAATTTTTTTATAAGTAGTTTTCAACATCTGTAATATTTCACTTAATTATATACTTTAATTACAAATTTAAATAATATTTTAACTAACAAACGTATTTTATAACCAAACATTAATTTTAATTAATATATTTAGATTTAATAGAGTAGAAACTTATTTGTTTTATTGCATGAATGAGGTTCCCTCTTGGCAAATATCTTTTCCTAATCACAGTTTTCTGAATCTTTAATGTTATTTAACTATTAGGTAGATTCAGTGGCGCTCCTTTGAGCACAAACCTTACTCACCCTATAATGCTCTTCAGGCGAACAGCACCGTCGCCGTAATATATTAATAAAATTTTATTTTGTTATTACGTTGCGTTACACCATAACACGTTGCGATTTTTACTAAGAGACCTCTTTTACGTAAAATATTTTTATAGATAATGAGGTATTATTGATCTAGTCTTCTTTCCTCTTATTAGGCGAAATAAGCCATCCTGTAACCAATTAAATATTAAAAGCCAGTTTTGAGTCCTTTTGTCTTGGCTTAGTAGCTTCAATTATAAATCTTGCCTTAATCTGGGCGAAGTGGAATCTCTTCAAATTATCATCCATTTTGGTCCAAACTAATGCTGAGAGCTTTAAACCGAAATTATATTATTTATCACGACTCTTCATATCCTTTTCAGGCTTCCACTTCTCTCTGTTCCTCTCTCATCTTTCAATGAAAGCTGTTCTAAGAGTCAGTATCTCATTTCAAGTGAAATTCCGTTAAAATTTAGTTTAAATTAGTATATTTTTAATTAAAGACAATCCGGGGATATAATGTATGGGACTCTATATTAATTGGAGGTACCACATTGTCTGTAACATGGTTTTAATTTTAACAAAAAATTATATTTTGAAATACGAATCTCGTATATATTATGAATTTCCTCTAAACTGCCACTTCTCATAGATATACAGGGTTGTTCACCACATACGACACGGAGTATTGTAGCTAAACGATTAGATTTTTACAAATTGTAAGGTTTGGGTTCGTTGAAGGACTATTAGAGCTACAATCTAAAAATATTTTTACAAGATACAGAGTGTCCCAAATAAATAAAAAATATCAAAGTTGTATTTTTTTAAATGGAACACCCTGTATATTATTCTATTTTTAGATTCTACAATTGAAATAAAGGTAAATTTCATTAGGGTTTATCACACTTAAACCTTACCGTTTTTGAAATATTTCCAATTTTGTGAAATTGCAGTAAAAAATTTAATGCTTCATTTCTCCAAGGGTATCAAAGTTTTTAATACCAAATATTTACTGAAGATTAGTTATTGATCGGATATTGTATTGGAATAATAAAAATTATACTACCTTATACAGAGTGTCCAAAAATTTATATTAAATAATTACTAGCTTTAGTCGGCAATAACTTGTTTAATTTAAATGGAACACCCTGTATATTTTACGCGAATCAGATGTACAATTTAATTGTCTATCAAATTGTATTATACCATATTTTACCTATCTCTTCAAGTTTTCGTAGAAACTGAATTTTCTTATAATTTATACTTCATTTATCACTATACCCATGGAATGTTGACATTTTAGATTTTTTTAAAGCAACATATATGTACACAATGTACAGGTAATAAAAATAATAATATTGCTAGTCCATAGAAAACTATTTAAATCTTTGTAAAAGAGTATACCAATTTAATATACCACCATTATTTCCGGCCAAAAATTAGTTAATTACATACGTAATTGTTTTGATTAATAAATTATTGTAAATAAATGTGGATTTGATTCAGAAATCAATATAATAATAAGTTATGAAAATCAATGTCTCTGTTGATATAAATAAGCATTCGTCAAAAAATTAAATAAAATATTTATAATTTTTTTGGTGATGTTTAGACATGAAAATTCATTTTGGTGGAATTAGACAGTGTGGTAAAAAGGTGTTACTTTTTACCACACTATTTAATACACATACAAAATTCAGTTTTTTTAGTATTTGGAGTAATTATTATTAATCAACGTAAACAGTCAATTAATGTAGCTTGAATACTGGGATCATATTAATAATTGATGATCATATTGCATTTTAAGAAAAAATATTTAAACAGTTTTTTTTATTTTTTAATGAAACAAGCAAACTATACCGACAATATAATATCTGTACTCTTTGAAAATTTGTTACATTTTTAAAAATAATCTAAAATATCAATATTCCATGGGTATAGTGATAAATGAGGTCTAAATTATAAGAAAATGCATTTTCTACGAAAACCTGAAGAGATATGTAAGAAATGGTATAATACAATTTGGTAGACAATTAAATTGTGCATCTGATTCTCGTAAAATATACATAGTGTTCGATTTAAATTAAACAAGTTATTGCCGTTTGAAGCTAGTAATTATTTAATATAAATTTTTGGACACTCTGTATAAGGTAGTTTAATGTTTACTATTGCAACACAATATCTGATCAATAAATAATCTTCAGTAAATATTTAGTATTAAAAACTTTGGTACCCTTGGAGAAATAAAGCCTTAAATTTTTTACTGCAATTTCACTAAATTGAAAATATTTCAAAAACGGTTAGGTTTAAGTGTGATAACATTTAATCAAATTTACCTTTACTTCAATCGTGGAATCTAAAAATAGGATAATATACAGGGTGTTCCATTTAAAAAAATACAACTATAATATTTTTTACTTATTTGGGATTTGGGACACTCTGTATTTTGTAAAAATATTTTTAAATTGTAGCTCTAGTAGTCCTTCAACGAACCCAAAACTTACAATTTGTAAAAAACTAATCGTTTTTTAGCTGCAATACTCCGTGTCGTATGTGGTGAACAACCCTGTATACAGGGTGGGTATTAAGTAGAGTTGTCTACATACATGAGTCATATTGGCAATAAAATCAAATTTCGCATGTCAAAAAACTTCTCTATAGACACAAATTTTCATCCAAATATTGACGTTACTTCATATATTGTTTGGAAAAAATCGAAATCAAAATGAAGCTTCTACACCCTGTATCTCCGAAATTAAGAATTTTAGGACATACATTTATACGAACTTTTTTACTTATTTTTATCTGCAAAATATGCTGCCGAAGTTTCCGGAATACAGTTCAGACCACCCTGTATAATTTTATCTAGAGTAACTTTCTCAGAGTAACAATTCTAAAACAAATCCAAAATAAATAAGGACAATGGAAGTCCGAAATTCTTTTAGTTTTATTTCGCTACTCCTTTCAAAGTCCGGTTGCGATTTCACTGACGTAGTTTTCTATATACATCTGCCTGTATTTTTTGAACTTATCCCAGACACCAACTCGCCGAGCTCCGAATTTGCTAATTAAGACAAAACAAGACGCCGCTTTCAGAAATTATTAAATATTTACTTAGGATCGAACAGTTAGTTTCGGCATTACCCGAAATTGTACTCTCGCTTGTGTGGGGTGACCTTAAAGGTCCCGAAAACCTTCCGAAATTCTATTATTTTAGCACAAAGTCTGTTTATATTATCGCAAGGTTTTGTCTCTGGCAAACTCAGGCCTGTGTTAATACAAAATAATCAGTTTAATGTTAATTTTACATTTTTTTTTTACTGACACAGTCAAGAAATTAATTCTAAAGCCTCGGTTACACATAACGTTTTACCTGCCAGTTTTACGTGCCAGGTAAAACGTAAGATCTTCTAAAAGACTGATTTAAAAAAATAAGTTCCCAAATTTATCATTTCACTCAAATAACTATCTAGATAAAATGATATGTATTGATTATTTCCATTTCAAATATCTTGAGATCGGTTGCTCGTAGCGATTTTTACCAAGAGACATTTTTTACGTAGAAAATCACGAGAATGTATATTTTTTCAGCCAGTAGTTTTATACAGGTACGCACGAAAAGTTATTACTCCTCAAAACAGTTAAAACACATGTATGTGGCTTCCCGTACAGATAGGAGTCATATTGACATCAAAATCAAATGTCTTATGTCAAAACACACCCAGACACAAATTTTCATCCGAATATCGGCGATAGTTCAAAAATTATTTGAAGAAAATTGAAATAAAAATGAAACTTCTACACCCCGTATCTCCGAAACGAAGCATTTTAGGATATACATTTCTAGGAACATATTTACTTCTTTTTATTTGAAGAATATGCTGGCGAAATTTCCCGAATACAATTCAGACCACCCTGTATAATGTAATCAGATTAAATTATATCAAAAAATAAATTAATATGATTCTTACATTAACATAACTGCCTTGAATAATTGTTTAAACATTACAGCACATCTATAACATAAACAAATACCGCACAAACAACTATTTAACCTAGTTAAATATTTTCTAGCCCATGTCAGCGTTTTGATGTTCAAATACATACCGAAAGAAACAAAATTTCAAACACATCGATCCATAGGCTAATCAGTCTGAATTAAAATGTTCTAAACTTGACACCTAATTTCGCTGGCTTTCTTTCAAATTGACGCCTGTTTTTTTTTTTGAAAAAAAAACATAAAAATATGAACAAAAATCTGTTTGTATTTTTCCTGTTATTTCTATGCGTAGCTAATTGCAAATCGGGATCGATCACTTTGTTTGATGATGGGAACGATGGATTGGAACCTGGAAAATTAGAAACGTGAGTTTTTATTTTCATTTTATTTTTTATTTCAAAAAATTAACTATTTTTTCAAACGTCACAAAAGTATTAATTTTTGCGACGTGATTGACAAATATAAAAATGTTATTTTAACGCCTATAGGCATAAGAGTAAAGCATTTTTACACCTATGCACAAAAGTTGCACAAAAGTACAAAAATATAAAAACAAATACTTAGTTTCGGAGATACAGGATATAGAAGTTGGATTTTATTTTAGTTTGATTGGTACCATTTAAACTACACCATTTAAAAATCACTTTTACTCAATATAAAAATACATTACAACCTTCTTAACTGGCAGTAAGCGCCATTAAAAAATAAAGAAGACTACGGGTCAAGTAAATGACGTCTAGGGCTTGACCTCGTCAAAATTATCATCGATTGTCATTCCCCAGCCGTCTTTGACGCCGTTTTTTTTCCTTTCTGTCGCTTTTTTGTGATCATTTGCTTTTGCAGTGAAGCAGAAGGGTCGTGGATCGATTTTACCTGTTGATAGACCCTGTTAAATTTTTCTCTCAGTGAGTGTATAATAGGGGAATATTTTTCGCGTCATTTTTAGCATATTTGAGCGCTTCGTTGCTGTGAAAATAAGATTTTAATAAGAAAATCTTATATGCAGCGCGTACGGGTACAAAATGGATGCGGCTTTTTTGAATTAATCGCGCCAATATCTATGTAAATTCGCAATTGAATTCCGCTTGAACGAGGATCCCGCTTTTCCATACACTGTGTATAGATATAGACGGAATATTTCAAAACATCAGAAAGCGAGATACTTTAAAAAAAAGACCTTGTACAAAAATACCTGGTTCCGAAAAAGTAACATTTTATTTGCTAGTGGTATTGAAAAATCTGACTTAAGCCTTTTATAAAAAGACTTCAATCTTTTTAATGACTGAAGTCTTTTCTAAAAAGACTTAAATTTTAATTTTAAGGTTTTGCATCCTCAAAATTTTGATTCACGCGCCGTCACTGCTTGTTCTCTACACTAAGTACAAAAATAGCATCCTAATCCTTGACAGACAGTTCAAAAATTCCCTCTCTCCATTATAAAATCCAGGAGAATTTTCAATTAATCATTACCAAACCACAAAGACCAACAAAAATACCCTTCATTTACTTAAAAACCTTAAAATTTCTCATGCTTTTTGTTCAACACTGCTATTATACTTCTTTCTAACAAAGAAAAATAATATAAAAAAATATTTGATCAGCGTAAGTGTTTTCGATTAATTAACAAAATATATTTTTTCATGTCCTTGATGGAAATTATCATAATTAGTCTTGTCGGTGACAGGCAATTATCAGATGATTAATTATGTTTTCCTTTTTGTCTTTGCTTAAAACGGTTATTTATAGTTTTTGAACTGACGAAAACAAAGATGAGGAGGGGATATAGAGTAATTAACAAACAGTTTAAGTTCATTAAAAGTTAGTTCAGTGTTTTGGATATGACATTCAGAGAAATACGTAAAAATAGAGGTTGTAGTATCACAAACCAGAGTCGTTCAACAAAGTTGAAGGGGTAAGATTTTGGCCAACTGTATAGGCTTGGTACATTTCAATCTCAGAAACACGCCGAGGAGGTTTTTTTCGCGAAAAAAACATTTTGAAGATTCGGAATTTTTTGAAAAAATTTTGGAATTTTTTTTAGTTTTTAGTTAAAAAACATAATTTCTTGATAATATGGCAACATAGGTAGTAGATTAAATTTACAAGAAAGAAAATCCAGAAAAGATTCAGTGGTTCTCAAAATTTTAGCAAAAAAAATATTTTTTTGAAATTTATAGTAGAAAATAGCTCCGTTATTTTGGATTTGCAGTATTAATGGTATACTTTTTTAATCAACTAGTGATTAAATGTTTTATGAACGTCTTCTAAAATTATAATTATTTACCTTTAAAAAATTTCGTTATAGCCGAAATAGCTCCAGTTATGCCCCACTAGCAAAACCGGTGATAAAACCACAGTTGTTCTGTGATAAAACTACGCTCGCTACCGAGGTTCACTAGTTAAATAATAAGGAAACATTTACTTTACCTTTAATAACATTCTTTGTCACAATAACTATCCAAAATTTATAAACCAAAATAACATCAATGCGTCTCGAACGGTAGTTTCAAACCTATTACGTAACACCTATCATCTCTGTTCATTGTCTGATTTCCCTCTCCTTAATTTGCGAATAATATTTTAAAAATCAATAATTTTATTTATGTATACAGAGTGTCTTAAAAATGAATGTTTTGAATTTAAAGAACTACGTATATTTTTATACTAGCGTGTACCCGCGACTTCGTTCGCGTCGAATTAATCATTTGTAATGGTGATGATAAAGCAAAGCAAGAATTTCTGTTAACATACAAACTGGATAAAATTTTCTCACATTTATGTCAGCATGTGAAAAAACAATATGGCGATATTATTATATAACTTGGGAATTTGACTTTCGAAAAATCCGTTTGCCAAAAATAAGCTTTTTACGTCAAGCAGTTTAAGCAGAATCGTGGCTAATCAATTACCCAACTTTTTGGAACACCCTGTATGATTTTTTAAAAAAATTCAAAATATGTAAAAAACAAATAAATTATGCTTGTCCAAGCGTTTTCCCGAAACAGTAACCGTTTTTTAAATAACAAATATTGTAATATTTGAGGGGATTTTTCACCCTCTTGGAATTTGAGATTCGAGAAACCCCTCCTTATCGAACCTCTACACCCCACAGTTAATCCGTTTGCCAAAAATCAGCTTTAAACGTCAAGCAGTTCAAGCAGAATCGTGATTACTCAATGGTCATATTTTATGAAACACCATGTATAAATTTATAAAATATCTTAAAATATGTCAAACGACAAAATAAAATATACGTGTTTAAGAGTTTTTCCGAAAAACTCACCGGTTAAATAAAAAATATTTTAATATTCGAAGGATAGTTTCATCCCCTTAGATTCGAGTTACGAAAAATCCCTTCTTATCGAACCTCTACACCTAATATCGAATTACCACCCTGTATCTCAGAAATTAAGATGTTTAGGACATACCTTCATATGAAGTTTTTCTCTTAGAATAGATCCAAGAATCACGCCTTTAAATATTAGCTTTTCATGGAACACCCTGTATATAACACCGAATAATTATTTTTAATACCTTTTAAAAATGTTAAATCTTGATTGCTACCATTTCTTTTCCTTGTTCTTCCCAACATTTTCATTATATTTCGTTTCTTATTAATTTTTCTCCATTCGCTTTTCCAGAAAATGCAACGGCAAGCGGCAATCTGACGTAGATGAAATTAAATCGGAAATTACGAACGACTCGGGCGCTACCGCTAAAAGCCCCGCTCTTTCCTTGATAGACATAGAGAACGACAGGCAGACCGACGATACTGAGGACGGGGCACGAGATCGCGTCGAAACGGGAGAGAATAAGTCAAAGAGAAAGCAGAGATGTCAGTCGTAAGTAGTTATTGTAATTTGGCAAACGGGAAATGTCTTCTGATATTATCTGTAAGAAGGAACCTGCTAGGTGAAAAGCTTGTTATTTTTTACTTGGGGTCTTTGAAGATGTTGTGAAAAAGACGTCATGGTAGGAATAGAAAATTGTTCAGTTGGGTTTTAACTTATATGCGTCTGTCTGTCTGTCTGTCTGTCTGTCTGTCTGTCTGTCTGTCTGTCTGTCTGTCTGTCTGTCTGTCTGTCTGTCTGTCTGTCTGTCTGTCTGTCTGTTTTTTATTTAAGAGGTGAAGGGGAAACCTGCAACAGGTACTCGCCTGGTAAAACCTTCTATGTGCCAGACGAGTTATGTGGGATTTTTACCTCACTAAAATCTAACCTACACCTCTGTCCCTCTCCAGGAACGTTCTTTCCCCGGCGGCACTCTTTATAAATACTACTTCGCCGGGGCGTTCTTATTTGGTGTTACTGTCTGTCTGTCTGTCTTAGTTTTTGGTGGGGGTGGGGGTTGGTAAGGGGGTATGGGAGGGAGTTAAAATTTAAAAAAATCGTAACTCCAAAATTACAGAAGCTAGCGAAACGCGGTTTTCAAATTAAGATTAGGAATAATATTTGCAACAAAATTTGTAATAACATCAAAATCAGTCAAAGTCTCAGTTTTCGAGATATTAACATATTTTAGTATGGGCGGCTATACGTACCTCCCGGCGCCAAATTTTTCAAGTAGTTTTTAGGACAAGATTTTGTTAAAAATAACGTAGTGTTTCTTGTATCAAATACGACACAAAGCTGCCGGCTTTTCAATGTTGAAACACGTATTCTAACAGTTTAGTGTCTGTGTAACTTTCTGTCTGACCTCGAGCTTAACTCGCATCAATAACGTATGGCTTTCATTACGCCCAGCTTTTCCTAGGGCATATATTATCACCGACCTGACCAGAAACCGTATGCTCCCATATGGGAGACCTGACATTCTAACGCTTTATATTAAATTTTCACCACTTTCGGGGTTAGAGGATAATGGAACTTGCGAGATATAACTGCTGTTAATTTAAACTTCTCGTACAACCTGGCTACTGTAGTTTATTCTTCTATGATTATTGGCACTCAAATAGTAGATATTTATGTTATAAAGTGTATAAAAAATGCATAAGTAATGCTGTTCCACTAATTGTAATCTGTACTAATATATAAAATCCTTAAGTGACTGACTCACTGATTATTCAGGATCCTGTTCAAACCACTCAACGTAAGAAGCTCAATTTTGGCATACAGGTTGGCTCTAAGGTGTACAGGTTCGATATGAAGGGACTTTTCAAAATTCCAGTTCCAAGGGGTTGAAACCACCCCTCAAATATTACAATATTTTTATTTAAAAACGGTCAAGTTTCGAAAAAACGCTTAAATATGTATATTTTTTATTTTGTTTTTACATATTTTAAGATTTTTTAAAAATGTATACAGGGTGTTTCAAAAAATCTGGTCATTGATTAATCACGATCCTGTTTAAAGCGCTCGACATAAAAAGCTGATTTTTGGAAAACGGATTGACTTTAGGGTGTAGAGGTTCGATAAGGAGGGATTTTTCGAAACTAGAATTCTAAGGGGTGAAACCACCCCCCAAATTAGAATTTCCGAATTATATTAAAGTAATTTCCGAAAACCGGTGAGTTTTTCGGAAAAAAACTCTTAAACACGTATATTTTATATTGTTGTTTTACATATTTTAAGGTTTTTGAAAATTTATACAGGGTTCCATTGAGTAATCACGATTCTGCTTAAACTGCTTGACGTTTAAAGCTGATTTTAGGCAAACGGATTGACTTTGGGGTGTAGAGGTTCGATAAGGAGGGGTTTATTCTCGATTGTTTTTTCTCATGCTGACATAAATGTAAGAAAATTTTATCCAGTTTGTATGTTAATAGAAATTCTTGCTTTGCTTTATCATCACCATTACAAATGATTAATTCGACGCGAACGAAGTCGCGGGTACACGCTAGTATGTTTATAAAAATGAATTTAGAATCAAATGCCTCTATTATTATCTATTTCTTTTCAGAAACAATATTGTGGGATCCATACACAGATCAAACCTTATCTCTGAGTCTCCAACAAATAATATCCGACCTCTGATGTTAGTTAAAAGAGATTCGCCTAAAGAAACTCAAGCAATTTTCAAATGTATAAATTGCAGGTGAGTAAATCTAGAAAAAATGCATTTTTTAACGATGAATCGAGATAATTTTAAATTCTATAACTTTTTTTATTTATTTTTCTAACTTAACTATCTCTCTCTCTTTCACATTTGATATCGCGTTATATCAAAAACCTATGTTTATTCACAGATTTTCGGTTTTATGATGATTATTTTCAATTGTATCAGCATAGTACGTAAATCTCAAGAAAAATTTGTGTACGATTTTAGTTGGTAATTACAATAAAGTGTTTTAAATTATTTTTTAGGAACCGCATGAAATGTATAACTGGAAAATGTACCGAATGTGACATATATTGCAAAAATCTTCCTGACACAGAAGATAACGAGTTTATGATGTTAAAAAATAGCCCCGAAGTAAGCAGTTAATTTAGTAATAATCATAGAATAATAAATAATAAGTTTGCTGACTCTGTATAATACAAAAAAATACACTGTTTGGTTTATAGGTAGTGGGTATATCAAACAGAATGTCCCTAACCCCACAAAATGACATTTTCTCGAAAACCCTGTATCCAATATCGACATACAGGGCTGGCGAAACTAAAGACATTATTTGTAGATTGGTAGGAATAACCGATACCACAGATATAGAAACAGTAAGTATTATAAGAACAGCTGTAAAATTTTCAGTAATATTTTATTTTTCTATCTTATTTTGTTAGGTTACAATTTGGGTGACAACTTATACGAACAACCCACCGAAAGTACTGAATCCTATCATGAACGACCAGCCAAAGGACCAGCAAGGATCTGACAGCAAACATGTAAATATATATGTTCATTCATATTTTTTACTACAACAAAAGCCAGTATCAGAGACGGTTTTACGGATATTTTTTATACCTTACAACTATATAGTCTATCCCTTGGTAGACTCGCACCCAGAGTAGCAGAACTTTAATTATAAATGTTATGTTTTATTTATTTTCATATGCAAAATTAGTATTAACTGTAATTTTACTGTTATTTCTTACTGTATTTTCAGATTACGGATTCAAATGAGCCTAATCCTGACTTGAAATCTAGATTCAACGAGTAAGAAACAAGAATTATGTATTACTGACTCAGTTAGACCTACATTAAAAATGTATATATTTTCAGATACGATGAAGATCAGTTCCCCAGAATCAGTGACGATGACAACGAAAACATTAGAAGAAATCCTGATATTATAGAAGGACCCCCTCCATTGCTAGGAACCAACAACAATGTAAGATCACCAATAAATTATAAGTATTTTTCGATTAATTCTGTCCTAATTATTATAGTATTCTGTAGTCAAAACGTATTATTTCTTTATTAATTATAATTAATTAAAAAAGAAATAATACTTTTAGACTACATAAATTCGAATTTTTGTGAGACCTTTACGTTTAATTGTTTTTTTTTTATTTTTAATTATTTCTTTTTTAGATTGATCCTTCTGAAGCCATTACTGGACCTACAAACAGCAATGTATGTTTACATAATTTACCTAACCAAACTATTTTACAATTTACCTTTAACATTCGTAGATCATTGTTGAACCTCCAGAGTTTGAATCAGATTCACCAGATAATTCAGTAGACTCACCAACCGTTCCATCTGACCAAGCCATAGATAGCATCATCAAACCAAACAAAATAATAACAACCGGCAAGCCTTCTTTGATCTCAAGACTAAAAGAACTTACTGAGAAGAGATTAAAAAAATTATCGTCTCCCCCAACACTAAAGAGTGTCCTGCCTAAGAATTTACAAGATTCGTCTACCAAAAGTGATTCTGATGAGATTCCTGAAGTCACTAGTGTTCCGTTGTTTAAAGGAATGCACAAAACAGAAGAAATAATTGACCCTCTTAGTGGTAAGCAAAGCTTTTTATTTTTTTTTATTTGTACATTGATTTATCAAAACTTTTTTGTAGTTTTAGGTGATCCAATAGAATCTCCGTCTACAAAACCCGTTGATGCAGACGGTCAAATATCAAAAATCAACGACGCAATTCAAGAAGTCCAATCCATAGTCCGCAAAATGCAAGAGGACGCTTCGAAAGCCTCAGAAAACAGACTTTTAGGCTCTGACCTATCTTCAGCAGCCAGTCCGGCAACACCCAACCCTGTTTTGCCCAATCACGTAGTCGATAACTTCAAAAAAGTCAACCAGTACATCAAAAATCGAGCTCAGGACGTCCTGGATGCCATAAAAGACCCAGAAAATGCAGAAAAGCAGGACAGTTTGAAGGACGAACATTCCGACATGACTAAAAACTTGTTAAGCAACTTCAAAAAGATGCCTCAGTATGTTTTGGACAGGGTGCAAGATTCTTTGAGCAAGTTATCAAATGGTAAAACTGTTGAAAATGGTTCAATAAATGAGAATAACGTTGAAGTCAAAGAAAGGTTTGGTAATGATGATACTTTGTCTGAAAATGTTGGGCTGTCAAACAACAACGAGGACCCTATTGAAACAACTCCTGTAGAATCTCCAACAACGAAAACTTACAAAACTAAACTCGATAAATACTTGGCAGAATTAAAGGAAAAACGACAGAAAATTTATTCGCCCGAAAAATTCAAACTGGATAACACAAAAGACCCCTACAATCTTAAAAGTGCAAGAATAAACCAACAAAATTCGATTTTATCGAGATCTGGAGATGACAGCAGTGATACAAATACAGAAGCTGTAACAAATAGCATTTTAGAGAGCTTAAACAAACAGAGAGAACTACTTAAAGACAAGATACAGAGTTATATTGAAGATGCTAATACAAAAAGAGGTCAGAAGAATCAGAATATTGAAAATGATAATGCCATAGATGGTATGGTTGAGGCTAGACCAAATAATGATTTACCCAACTTGGATAGAGATAAAAATATTAAAGAAAATAAAGGACAGGATGGTGAAAAACCTGATAAATTGAAGAAATATGTCTCCAAATTAAAATCCAGAATGAATTTGGAGAAAGCCAATCTTCAAAGTGCTGCTAAAAAGGCACAGTCTAATCTAAAATCAGTACAGGATGAAGATAAAACAAGGGAGTTCTTAAGAAAGCTCTCTACGCCTTTTCCCAAACTTGACAAAGCACCAGAAGAGTTTTCTTACCACTTAGCCAAAGGAAGGAGTGATATTAATGATGGAAATTTAGAAATGGAATCACCTGACGAAGTAACAACACCGGAATCTGTAGACCAGAACGAAGAAACCAGAGAATTTCTCAACAAACTTAATACACCATTTCCAAAAATGATACTACCTCCAGAAGAATTTCCATATCATTTAGCCCAAGGCAGAAACAATGAAAACGATGGAAATTTAGAACTGAAGTCTCCTTTTGATGAAAAACCGACCGAAAATAGCTTGGATAGTCAAGTTGTATCTAAGCAGCCGGAAAAAATAAAAAAATATTTTGAAAAACTCAAATCCAGAATGAATTTGGACAAACCTTTCTTGAAGCCAGCTCAGAACACTGAAAATTTACTGAATTCGAGATTTGGTAATGATCCAATCACTGAAAACACTCCGAATCAAAGAACTGAAAGTATGTTTGGCAACAAAGATGCTAAGAAAAAAGCATTGAAAGCTAAATTACAAGAATACATGGCTAAAGTCAAAAAACCTCGCTTAGACCAAGAAACCGTCAAACAACAACCTCCTTTGATCAAGAACAGACTCCAACCAATTCAACCTGTTACAAGCAGAATAACTGGGTTGACCACTCCAAAATCCATAGAGAAACAAAAGTCTGAGCTGAATGCAATGATGGACAACTTGAAAAGCATGTTGAAAGAACGGATGGCTAAGAAATCTGAGCCTACTGTTTATGAAATTGTCAATGGTGGTCCCAATGAAGAAAATCTGCAAAGTGTGGTACCAAATTCACCTGAAAGTGTACTTGGAGATACCAATAGCGGTGGTGAAGTAATTGGGGATACAGATGAGCAATTGGTGCCTAGTTTGGAAAGTAGAAATACTCTGGAAAGTGTAAGTAAATTTAATACAGCTTTAGTAGCACACTAGTGAATTTTTGGTACATAGTAGAGTCTATTATTGTCCCTAGTTATCTTTGAAATAGGTTTTTTTTTCAGACACAGCCTGCATCTGATTGGTCAAGCAGCTTAGGCCAAATAGTATCGGCTTCGTCCAATCCCAATGAAGTATTTTTCATGGCCAGCGGTATCAAACTTCCTATGAAGATAGTCAAGCAAGAAGATGGCACTCTGGACCTATCTCTAGACCTTGAAAAGTTGTGCGCCTGCAAAAACACAACCTGTCCACAAAATCCTGCAGTCATCGAGGAAACAGTGGGCGCCATCTTGGAAAAAGAAGCCGAGATTGAAGACCAGTTAAATATTGAAAATACTATTATAGATGGTTCGAAAAGACATAAGTCTGAGCTGTCAAAAAGATCCCCGGATATGTCAAAATATCCAAGTCCAAATTTGGATAATGTCCTAAACGAAATTAACGATTTCGGGAAGAAAATCAAGCATTCCTTTAGCAAGACTGTGAACGAGGTTCAGAAAGACATTGATCAAACAAACAACGCAATTGTTAAAGGCATCAGAACAGATAAAATCAGTGATATTCCTAAGATTAATCCAAAAATTACCTTGATAAAGAATATTTTAAACTAAAAACCTCATTAACCAAGATGGAACGTTTGATACTAACTTACAACAGCTTTTGAACGAAGAAAAATGCCATTAATTTGCCTTTACTAGAAAAAGAAAAGTTTTTACTACAAAACTTAAGAAATAACATCCCTAAATCTAACGATATACTAACTTCACAACAATCTTTGAAAAATCCAACATATTTTCTTGAAAACAACTTAAAACTTTTAATAATAACTTGGACAAACTTCAAGAAACCTATCATTTGGGTGAGATAAACTCACTGAAAAACAGCTAGACGATTTGGACAATCAAGTAGAAAATTTGAGGAAAACAACGAAAAAATGCTTGTAAAAGAAGGTAACAAGTTTTTCGCCGGTCAAAGGAATGATATTGTCGATAAAGAAGTCAATATTATTAAAAGAATTCTGTCTTGGATGAGCAGTTTAACAACTGCTTTACAAAGTTAGGATTAATTTCGTAAAAGAAGCATGCCAGCGCGGATAGAAGCTTGCATAAGGGCTAGAGGTGGCAACAAAGAATATTAAAATTACCAATTTTCTTTTTGTTTAAGCTTTTTGGCCATTAAAAATTTAAATCTTAATTTCGTTTCAGAAACCAAAAAAATACCATTTTGTTTATTTTGGGAACTGATTATTTTTTTTTATTGCTATATGGATTATTTTGCATTAAAAGTCATTGGTAAAGACTGAGTTTTATTCATAAACAGAAAATTCTCATACATCTCAAAAATTATGGAAAATAATAGGTGATTCCATATAAGTTTGGTTGTGTGTATTTAATGAGAAAATTGTGTTTTTTGATTATAGCTTCTGTTGATTTTTTTTGTTCAAAAATGACTGTTCCTGGAAGACATATTAATAAATAAAAGTCCATTAATTTTAGATCGGGTATTAAAATAATAAACTGAGTTAGATAAGGGATAAACTGAGATTAATGTATTATATACTAATATTAATATATCTAAATAATTAAAATATAAAAAAAGTTTTTCTACTTGTTAATAAATAAATAATTATTAGGGTTTTTGATTGTGGTGGTTTTTTGTTAACGGTTTTTTTAATACTGTATAGTAAAATCTTATCTCAGCATACTGATATAGGCTTGGTGCATATCACTGATTTGAACAAATTCCGACGGCAGCGCTTCGTCGGCAACAATCAGAAACTATTAGTAGGTACCTATTTCACGCCGCCGGCGCCGTCGCGTCTTGTTGATCACATTAAAATATTATTGAAATCGTGGTTTGGCAAAAATGGATTCAAGCAGTTCGACAAAACAACTGAGTAAACAGAGTTCTCGTTACATAATCAAAAATTTAAATAGACATGAGAGGTACAGGTACTATGAGAAAATAAAATATAATTTGGCAATATTAACGGTATACTTTTTTTAATCTACTAGTGATTAAATGATATAAACATCTTCTAAAATTATAATTATGTACCTTTAAAAAAATTCGTTAAAGCCGAAATAGCCCCACTAGCTAAACCGGTGATTAAAACTCAGCTCGCTACCGTAACTCATCTAAAAAGTTTTTTAACTGGAATAATATATTATAATACATGTTAGACCTACTGAAGACATCAAAATATTTATTTTTTTTATTTTTATTTTTAGAATTTTCACAAATTATACTTCCTAAAGCTTCATTCAGAACCTCGAAATCAGGGGAATAAATTAGTAGTTTCAATTAATCGTAGAAGTTTGTTCTCCTAATTTTGATGTAAGCATTCAGAACGTCATAATTAGTGATAGTAATTTTCAATTAGTGGAAACTTTGGTGGAAACAAACTTTTGACTTTTCCACTAATTATACTTCAAAATTTGCGAGGAATGTCATTTTGGCCTTTGATTATCACCCGTCAAGAAAAATTTTGGTTAGAAATCAAAAGTTTATTGTTTTATAAGCTACATATTATGCTTTCTCTATGGATACAACAAACTACCGCAAGCTGTTGCTAGGATATTTTATTAATTTTAATAGTGTTTTTCAGACATTGTGAATGATCGTAAACTAAAGAGTATAAAGTGTAATTGAAACCACTAATTTATTCCACTAATTGGGAGGTTCTGAATGAAGCTTACACTTTTAAATAATTAAATAATAAATTTTTCGTATTCTCCGTATTTAAATCCGTGTATTTGCAAGTACTAGTTGTTTACGATATTCTCCGATGGTGGTAGCACTGGCGAAGAATGCACCAAGCCTATACCTACTTATATTAACAAAATAAGCTGGAACTGTTAATAAATTATTATTGCAAAATGTAGATCTGCAAAATATGTTTATTCTAAGAATTAGTACCTATAATACGCAGTGCCCTTTTTGACCTCTAAACAATCTGTGAATATCACTATAATAGCATATTATACCGTGTCTTGCAAATCTAAGTACTTTTTTAAAACCAATAGGCTGTAAGTTGAATGTGAGATTTTTGTCCTTAAAAAATTCCCCAAGAAACTTTTTTGTCTAAGCAGAGACTCAAGAATTTTATATCAAATAACGCCTTTAAAGTGAGGTTGCTAATACTAAACATTTCCGGTTCGATTTTGAACACGGTTAAAAAGGTGTTTTAAGTATGCACTTTGATAAAGTGAATATTTAAGACATCTTTATTTTATTTCTTATTCTATTTACAACTTCCATGTCACTCGTACATACGTATAAAAAATTACTAATAGATACTTACTGGTAGTTTCCACTGGATACAACGAAGAATCTGCATCTTTGAGTATCTAGAGGAACAAATTTTATAAAACTTGAAGACCTAATTATATCACATTTCTATCTTACACCACTTACTACTACATGAAACATAATATGTGCCTGTTGAATGGTTCCTTTAGAATAGATTTATTTTACATATGTGAGGAGTAATACATAAAAATGTTTCTGTTACTTTAATATAAACTATTTAATAATATATAGTAATAATCATGAGGAAAGCACAACCATAAATAATATCAAAATGGATACATATATTAAAAACACAAATTAATATATTAAACAGAAACATCCGAAATTATATACTACTGGCTTGTGAAAAAGCTATCGTTACTAAAGATTGTGAATATGATAATGTATTTTATGGATGATAAGTGAGTTGCTTGTTAAACACTGGTGGTAGTTTCGTCAATCATATATGGTAAGGTCGTCGCCATGGGATGAATATTTGGAGGTGGAATTTTTGATCCTCTACGCGAAGGCGGTGTTGGTGGTGGTATATCCTGTTTACAAAATCTTGCTAATAATTTTCAATTATTTTGTTTAAATTAGACTAACTATGCTTTCTAAATCAAATGCATATTTGCAATTCCTGTTCTCATTCATGGCATGCTAGACGTATTTCAATTATCTTTAAAAGTTTTTGAAAATATGTAGTTATAAGAATGCCGATTAGAAAAGTATATATTATAAAGAGTACAAATAGTAAATCAAAAAAGTTACTTATTTCAGAGACACTTCGTACACTGCTATTTGCGACCAAATTGGGAGTCTTAGCAGCACGATTTGTGGTAAGAAGTAAGGCTGGAGTATGTGGTAAGAGAATTTCTTATGTGATAAAAGGAGGCGGGAGTGCGCCAGGGATGCATGTTATCTCCCTTATGCTGGATTCAGAGTTCCGTAGCCGTAAGACGTAAGCCGTATCGTTAGCCGTAAGACTTAAGGCGCAAGGAAAGCCATTCATAGTTGCCGTAAGACGTAACGATACTTCATCGTAAGCGTGCGCATTACCGTTTTTAATAGGTTATGTTGTTGTTTGGGCTGTGAATGTTGTAAATAAAACTATAATACTCGTTATTTATTTTGTTATTATTAATTTAATTGAACTAAAATGGACACGGACAATTATATTTTCGTTGCCGAAGTGAAATATCTGTGAAATATATTATAAAAGTTGTAGAAATGGCTACCGAGTACCACCGAACCTAGCCGACAACACCCGATTCGATAAGACGTAACGTAAGAATTAAAATTGGTTCATTTCTTACGTCTTACGGCATACGGCTTACGGCATACGGAGATCTATGAATGCAATCATATGATTGTGAAGGTCGATATCCCTTACGTCTTAACGATACGGCTTACGTCTTACGGCTACGGAACTCTGAATCCAGCATTAGAATAATAATATAAACAATTAGCTCTATGTATCCTTTATTTGTTATTAAACAGATCTTTTCCCATAAATTTAAACGAAAAAATGGTAATTTACAGAAGGTTTCTGGTGACAGACAATATTTAATAATGATTTTTAGAGGTGTTTTAAATTAAATAAATTTATTATAGGTTGCTTTTGGTGATGGACTGCCAACACTAATGTGTGAGATGTGTTTGGACAGTTTAAAGGGTGCTTTCCAGTTCAAAAAACAATGTGAGAGCATCGATGCCAGTTTGAGAGAGTACTGCAAAAATATTAAAGTAAATGCCATCAAACAGGAACTACAAAACACTGATTTTATGGGTAATATTATGAATTAAGTAAAATCTAATATTTTTTAACTTAATTATTCGTTATAGATTCTTTACATACACTAAGTAATTTATTGAACGACACTCAAAACAAGGAATCATCAAGTAATGTAGTACCTACAGGATCAGGTGAACATACTGAAATAAAACAACCTCCAGAAACAGATTACATACAGCTACTAGAAAATAACCAATTATTGCTGACTTGCAGGGAATGTGCTAAAATTTTCACCACCCTAGAGGGCTTAAGGTATTTTTTATTTTGGTAGAACTTTATTTTTCTGTAAAAATGAAATGGGGAAAACTTATTCATCATATTTTATTATTCACAGGAGTCACAAGAGAACCCATTCTGGTACTACCTTCAAATGTAAACAATGTGATAAAGAATATACTAGGAAAAATCATTTGGAGCGACATGAAGCGACTCATGGCAATAGGAAGGTTCACGTGTGTAAACTATGTAACAAAACTCTTACGAGAATGGAACATTTGAAAAGGCATTTAGTGACGCATTTGAGAGAAAAACCTTTCAATTGTAAGACATGTAATAGAGGTTTTAATAGAATTGAACACTTACATAATCACATACCAAGATGCAAAGGTAAGTTTTTTATTTAAGGATTTCTTTATAGTAAAATCAATTATTTTTTTCTTACAGGAGATATAGTATATTGTTGTCCGGTTTGCAACAAAGCTTTCAACAGAGCCGATAGTTTAGAAGTGCACAAACAACAGCACGATTCCATACAACTTTCCTTGCCGACAATTGAGAATCTGGACAATATAGAGGAGCATTATTTTGAGGTTATTTTTAGAAAAATGTTTTTTTTTTTTGGTATTTTTATTAATGATTTTGTAGGTGGATTATGACGCAACCATAACTTTTTCGGATGGTTCTGATCTCGAGGACTGTTTCGAGCCCCACGTTGAAGTGACGGAAACTATGGAAGAAGATAAAATTGAAGGAACGGAAGAAGATATGGACGGGAATGTACAAGTTTACGAGACTAATACGCAAGATTCTACAGGTAAATATAGAAAGTCAGTTGTTGTTTATATACAGGATGGCTCATTAGTGCCAGGAAGTCGAATATCGTTGTTATTAATAAATATATGAAAAAAAGCTCCACATATACAGGGTGAGTCTTAATTTTGAGAAGCACTGTATCTTTTCTGTGTTTTCTTTCTTGTAAATTTAATTTTGTAAAAAATTATGGTTTTGAACAAAAAAAAACTAAAAAAATTTCTCAAAATTTTTTCAAAAAATTCTAAATTTTCAATTTTTTTTTCGCGAAAAAACCTCATAATCGTGATTTTGGGGTCGAGATATCCTACTCCTAAAAATATTTGCACTGATTCAAGACTCACCCTGTATAAATGTTGCATTCTTTAATTTCCTAAACATCAAGGACAACAGAGTGATACATCAAAATAAAATTTCTCATGTCAAAAAATTCCCAGATACCAATTTTCATCCAAATATTTTGACGTTACTTTAAAAATTATTTGGAAAAAATCGAAATAAAAATGAAATTTTGTGTGCACCCTGTATATCCGAAACTAAGCATTTAAGACATACATTTATACGAACTTTTTTACTTATTTTTATCTGCAAAAGTTTGCGGAATACATTTCGGACCACCCTGTATATTGTTTTAATTTATTTTTTTTTTCTATTTTAGGTGAAGGTGATAAATATATTTTGGAAGCGGATAACAATACGGATACCGTGGACATATGCGACGATATTGACATGGATGACAACGAAAACGACGAGAAACCTTTGGCAGAATTGGTCGCTCTTGTCAAAGCCGAACAAAAAATCGAATATGTTCGCGAGCCGGATAACGACGAGGATTACGAGCCTGACATAATTGACACGACAAATGACGTTATCGAAGGTAAATATCGGTTTTTAAAATTAATTAAATCCGACATTTTTTTTCATATTTATTTCTCTATTTTTGTTTTTATTTTATTTTTTGTTTTAATTTTTTTATTGTTGTTTTTTTCTCTATTTTTGTTTTTATTTTTTCTTTCTACTTTATTTTTTTTTAGGTAGAGACAGTTCACTAGACAGTTCGGATGAAGAATACGTGCCCCTTAAGCCTAAGCAACCTTCTCCAAATGGTAAAAAAAGAGGTAGACCCAGAAAACACCCGCCTAAAGTTAGAGTGCCCGGTAGAAGAGGTAGACCTCCAGGTAAATATAGTTTTTTTTAGAATTATTTTTTAGTTATTTATTTTAAAATTAAAAAAAAATAAACTAAATTATTTTTTTATTGTCTTTTTATTGCACTTATTTTATTTACTTTAAAATGATTTGAAAATACTAACTGTGACACTCAAACTTTGCAAAAAAAAATATTAAAATAAGTTTAATAAAAATGTATATATATTTTTTGAGTTACAAATTTAACAATTTTAAAAACGTAATCCGTAAATTTTATGGATTACAATGTGTAATCCATTTATCTGATGGATTACAAAATGTAATCCACCCCTGTCTAATAGTTTATATAATTGATAATTATTACTGAATAATACTAATCCATAATTGGATAACGGATTACTAATTTGCAGAATATTGAATTATGGATTACTTTTAATTTATTGAATATAGGGATAAGTTTGACTGGGTTATACATTATACGTTAATTTTTAAAAAGTAATCCGTAAATTATATGGATTACAATGTGTAATCCATTTATGTAATGGATTACAGAATTTAATCCATCAGTCTAATGGTATAGATAATCGATAATACCTACTGAATACTAATAATCCATAATCCATTTATGGATTTTTAGTATTCAGTAGGTATAATATACTAATAATCCATAATTGGATTATGGATTATTAATAATTTGCTATATGGCTTACTAGTAATTCATTCCATTATGGATTACTAATGGTACAAAAAACACCATGGTGTAAAGGATTGAAATTCTAGAAAGTTTAAAAACAAAAACTATGGGCTATTTTTACTGCGTGGATTACATAATGAAATCCATAATTTCGATGTCTGTGGATTACCGATCTGGTACGTGTTTTCTAGGCTCCACAGGTAAGAAGAAAGTTCACAAGGAAAAGGAAGATGAAGAAGAGATTGGAGAATATATCTGTCCGCTTTGCAATGAATTTTACGATAGAATTAGTTTGCTGGATAAGCACGCGCGAGAAGTCCATCCAGGCCTAAAGGTAATCCATTACTTTTTAACAAATATGTGTATAATAAGGTCACAATATAGTGCTTGATTTTTGGAGATTTAATGAAAATTTGGCCTTTTTTGTGACTAGAGTATATATTTTCTGGAAAATCAGAGGGGAATTTCTTTGGAAGTTTTATGTTTTTCCCGCGATAATTTTCCTACATTTTTTTGTGAATAATCACCCTGTAATTCACACAGATGTTTATTTAAGGTTTTTCGCGTAATTTATACATAGGAATTAATGTATATGATAGACAACTTTATACAATGTTGCCTGTATTTTTTACTAACTAAATGGAACAAAAATGAACAATGTAATTTTTTTCACATTTTTATAAAACACCTTGTATAAAATAATTTTAAGATTGCTGTAAAAATTTAAGTTGAGTAATTTTTTTTTCTAAAAATTCATTTACACCCTGTATAGTCATTGATTAAAAAGACAAAGGAATGGGCACGTTAAGAAAACCAGTACGACCGCTAAGGTACTTTAATATGGCTGACTAAAATTCGGGTTTACCAGTGGCGTTCTAGTTTTTTTAAACGTGTTAAAATATAATGTATAGTAGGCTAAATAATTTGATAATGATTAAATTAGTTTTACATTGAGTCAATGCTAAACAAGTTCAAAAATGTTATTGGTTACTAAAAATGTTTGAAAATTATGAAAATAAAAATAATGCTGATGAAATAAATAAGGTAATTTATTTTTTTAATAACGGAAATGAAGATACACTACTGAATAAAAATAAAATCATTATTTTTATGTTTTTTTGGCTGGAAACGATAGCACGCTGATTTACATTAATATCATTATAATTCAAGTCCTGACACATTGTCTGTCCAGATTTATACACTTTGCATATTCCCATATTCGGCATACTTTAGTAGATTTTTATTCCCGTATTTCCTCGAACAGGTCCACAAGTGTGGCGTTTGCGGTAAAGACTTCAACCGGCCGAACCACCTGAAACGTCACATGACCTCGCACTCGGCGGACAAGCCGTACAGTTGCGACATCTGTACGCGCAGTTTCAGCCGCAGGGACCACCTGCACCAACACCAAAAACTGCACACTCAGAGCGGGGATCACCCGTGCGAGATATGCGAGAAGCCGTTTAACCGGGCCGACCAGCTGGCCAAGCACAAAGCGGCCAAGCATGGAATTGGGGATAAGGTGTCGGTAAGTAATGTTGACGTTAGTGACTTTATTATTACTTGTAATTCATTGAATAATAGATTTTTTTTTCGTTATAAATTTAACGATTTTTAAAAATGTAATCCGTAAATTTAATGGATTACAATGTGTAATTCATCTATTTAATGGATTACAAAATGTAAGCCATTCTTCTATAGGTCTGGATAGTCGGTAATCCCTACTGTTAATACTAATAATCTTAAATTGCATTATGGATTACCAATAATCCATAATATGGATTTTTAGTAGTCTATAGTATAGCTTACTCGCAATCCATAAAAATGAGTACCACATTATTTATATTTCGCTTACTGATTTTTCTCAGTTGTTTTCCTCACCAGCGATCTTCTTTAATTTTTCTTGTTTCTGCTGTTTCTACAATATGTAATCCGTCATTTTAATAGTTTGGAGTTTAGATAATCAATAATCCAAACTGAAACTGTAGTATTCCATAATTGAATTCTGGATTACGAGTAATCCATATGGATCGTTTGTAATCCAGTTGGATTATTAGTAATCCATGTGGATTACTTATAAACCATGACATTACTTACTTGCAATCCATTGCATAACTCGCGATCTTCTCTAATTTGTCTTCTTTCTGCTCTTTCTACAATATGTAATCCATTTATCTAATGGATTACAAAATGTAATCCATCAGTTTAATGGTTTAGAGTTTAGATAATTGATAATCCCGACTGAAACTATAGTAATCCATAATTGGATTCAGGATTACTAGTAATTTATATGGATCGGTTGTAATCCAATTAGATTATTAGTAATTTATGTGGATTGCTTATAATCCACGACATGACTTACTTGTAATCCATTGCATTATGGATTACTAATAATCCATATTTCAATTATTAACTATGGAGCTCTCAATCTAATTTCTAAAAAACTTTGTCACGACTGAATGATATTAATCCATAATCGATTAGTGGATTACTAGTAATCGATACGGATTATTTGTAATCCATATATATTACTTGTAATCCATGACTTGACTTGTAATCCATTGCGTCGTACATTACTAGTAATCCATAATCCAATAATTATTAATTAACTATTATGCCTTAGTAAAATTGGTCATATTTAAAGTTAATCCAAAAGACAAAATCAATGGAGCTGCCAATCTTATTTCTAAAAAACTTTAATTGTTTAGGAGAAAAATCTAGTCCATGTTTTGTTTGAAGTTTCTTTTTAATTATTTAAAATTTTATATTTTTTTAAAACATACATTTGAAAATAAACTTTTAATAAAATTTTGATTGCTTTAATGTATCACATGATGGGAAAAGTGACAAGATGAAAACTATAATGATGGTTTTTTATTATACCTTTAATAATAACCTTCAAAACCATGCCAAGATATTGTAAAAGCAGTTATAAAATGTCTAGAATATTTTTGAAACGAACTGGTAGGTATAAATCAGAGCAAAAAATGTTGATGTTTCCAAAAAGAAAAGAATATTTTAGTCTTTCCCCAATTATAATACCAGAGTCAAAGAAAAAGTTACTAAAAATAAGTTTAACTGATTGGTCCAAATTTTTTTCCCCAAATATTATTTTTGGTTTCTTTTAAATATAGTAACTTGTGATTTATAACTTTATATTTAGATTGAGTTTTGTTAAATTTCGCATATTCTTTAAAAATAATGAAAATATTTTAAAAAAAAATGATAAATACTCAGTAATTACGTATGTCTAATTATGTTATTGCACCACAAAATTTCTAGGTTCAGATGTGTTATTCTTGCAAACTACATTACAATTTTTCAGTCATGAATTTAAGAAATTCTGTTTTTTCTCTCTATTTTTCTTATTAAACGGCCCCGGTATTCGTTTATTTACATCCATAAAAAAAATATAAACACAAAGGTCACAACACGTAAAATTTCTACGTTCCAAAATACCTGTCTGCCTGACACACATACACGTTTCCAAAAAAAAGGAGGATCCGTGTTTTGTTCGGTCTATTTTTAATTTACGCTATAAAACTAGTCTAGGGATGTGCCGAATTATCGATATTCGACTTGATTAAAAACATAATTTTCTTGTCTCCATAAAGAAAAAAGTTATAGTCGGTTAAATTGAAAGCTTTGTACAGGGTGTCCCATTTACGTGTATTTTATGGCGTTTCTCGTTTATGGGTGTGTAGTATTTTTAGTTTCATAAAAAAATTGCATAGTGATATGAAAACCTAGAGGGACACCTTGTATACCCAAAATAAATTTAACAATTTTCAAAATGTAATCCATAAATTTAATGGATTACAATGTGTAATCCGTTTATATAATGGATTACAATGTGTAATCCATTTATATAATGGATTACAAAATGTAGTACATTCTTCTAAGGGTTTAGACAGTCGGTAATCCCGACAGTTAATACTACATGTAATAATGTTTAGTGGGATTATAGATTACCAATAATCCATAATATGAAGTAAAAAGTAAGCAAAAAAATAATTGTCACATTTTTCTCACTGATTTCATTTTTAGTTTCATAAAAAATTGCATAGTGATATGAAAACCTAAAGGGACACCTTGTATACCCAAAATAAATTTAACAATTTTCAAAATGTAATCCAGAAATTTAATGGATTACAATGTGTAATCCGTTTATATAATGGATTACAATGTGTAATCCATTTATATAATGTATTACAAAATGTAGTACATTTTTCTAAGGGTTTAGATAGTCGGTAATCCCGACAGTTAATACTACTTGTAATAGTGTTCAGTGGGATTATGGATTACCAATAATCCATAATATGAAGTAAAAAGTAAGCAAAAAAATAAGTGTCACATTTTTCTCACTGATTTCTTTCAGTGGTTTTCTTCACTAGCGATCTTCCCCAATTTTTCTTGTTTCTGTACTTTCTACAATATGTAATCCATTTATCTAATGGATCACAAAATGTAATCCATCAGTTTAATGGTTTAGAGTTTAGACAATTGATAATTTTGACTGAAACTATAGTATTCCGTAATTGGATTCTGGACTAGTAATGCATATGGATTACTTCTAATCCATGACATGACTTACTTGTAATCCACTCCATTATAGATTACCGTAAAATGGGGGGAATAGAAACATAGTGGCGAAAAGAAACAAAATTTCTGAAAAAAATCAAATCACGATTAAAAATGTTCAAAGTAAAAAGAGTCATATCTAATTTTACCTATATAATTTTATTACAGTTAATAAAGATGCCAAGAGAGTATAAATCCAAGTCTCGGAAACCATACAGGAAACATGATCCGGAAATATTAAACCGGGCGATTGCTGATGTCAAATATAATGGGCTCTCATTAAGAAAAGCTGCAATAAAGTATAAAATACACTTCTCTGTTATATATCGCCATGTTAAACGACCTGACATGAAACTTCAAGGAGGACAAACTTCTTTAACTAAGAATGAAGAGCAAATTCTTGTAGAACGCTTAAAAACTTGTGCAGAATGGGGCTATCCTATAGACACATTTACACTGAGAATGATTGTCAAGGAGTTTCTTGATAGAAAAGGAAAGATTGTTCCAAGGTTTAAAGAAAATATGCCTGGAAAAGAATTTGTTTATTCTTTCTTGAAACGTCACAAAAAGGATCTATCCTATAGAATGTGTCAAAATATTAAGAGAATCCGTGCTGCTGTTTCACAGGAAACCATCAACGAATATTTTGATCGATTGCAAGAAGAATTGCAAAATGTGCCACCTCAAAATATAGTTAATTTTGACGAAACAAATTTATGCGATGATCCTGGCAAGAAAAAAGTTATTACAAGACGCGGATGCAAATACCCTGAGAGAGTCATGAACAGTACAAAGGCTTCTACATCCGTCATGTTTAGTGGTGCTGGAGACGGTACGATATTACCCCCTTACGTAGTATATAGGGCTTTACATATGTATCATTCGTGGACTGAAGATGGCCCTAAAAATGCAAGATACAACCGCACGAAATCTGGATGGTTCGACAACTTTTGCTTTGAGGACTGGATTACGACAGTGGCAGTCCCTTATTTAAAAAAGCAACCAGGTAAAAGAATCCTGATAGGGGATAACCTGGCATCACACTTGACTTTGGAAGTTATCAGAATATGCTCTGAAAATGATATCCATCTAATTTTTCTTCCGGCAAACTCGACTCACCTTACACAACCTCTCGACATCGCATTTTTCCGTCCACTGAAAATAGCTTGGCGCAAAATCCTCGAGAATTGGAAAAGTGGTCCAGGCAACAGTGAGGCATCTATTCCCAAACACAAATTTCCTCGTCTCCTAAAACAACTGATGAACAGTATCATTGAAAATGGACCAAGCAATATGCGAGCAGGTTTTAGAAAAAGTGGAATTATTCCTCTTGACAGGGAGATGGTGTTAAAGATGATTCCTACGTCTCCCGAGCACCGTGAAATAGAAAATAATGACCAACGTGCACTAGACTCAAGTTTAGTTGATACAACTGCACCACGAAAAAAACGATCAAAACTAAAGGTTCTCCCAGGAAAAAGTGTGACGGCATATGAATCGGAATCATCCGAGTCTGCAAATGAAATGAGCTCAGATAACTCAGATTCGGATACCCTTCCAGAAGCAAATACTTCTGATGACGATACAAGTGACTGGGCTGATACTCCAGATCAAAGTAATTCCATACAAGCACCCCGATTAGAACCTCCAGAAAGGACAAGCTCAATTTCAGCAAAGTCCACCACTATTTACCCATTTAAAATAAACAAAGAGGACATTCGAGAAGGTGATTGGTTAGTTGTTAATTTTTTTGTAAGCACAACAACGGCTTGTAGTTCTACTTCAAATAAGAAACCTTATATTGGAAGAGTAAGAGCCCTTATTGGAAACGGCAACTTTGAGGGAGAATTTTATCGCGAAAGAGATTCAAGGGACTTTAAAGGATACATTTATGGATTGCCCAATAGTCCAGATATCTCTGAATTTGAATATACCCAAATTATTGGGAAGCTTAATCCTCCTGAAGAGTTTAGAAGAGGCCTTAAAAAATTTGACTTTGATATAAGATGCTTAGGATAAGTTTACTATATTTTTGTATTTCGTAAAAAAAAATAAATGTTTTTGATTAAAAATAGTTATTATTATTCAATGTTAATTATTGTTACTTAAATATGTAATAATTTACTGTTTCTAATCACCTTGTTGGAAGTAGAATAGATAACACAAAGGTTATTTTTATTTAATATTTATACGCATATTTTTCAAAAATCAAATTATATGCAAAGAACAAACAAAGACCCATGTTTGAAAATATTCGGGAAAATAATACCACATTTTTATCAACCGGTATATCGCTAATAGCTTACGAAACTGTTTCTATTGGCCCCATTTTACGGTACATTCTTCTAAGGGTTTAGATAGTCGGTAATCCCGACAGTTAATACTACATGTAATAATGTTTAGTGGGATTATAGATTACCAATAATCCATAATATGAAGTAAAAAGTAAGCAAAAAAATAATTGTCACATTTTTCTCACTGATTTCATTTTTAGTTTCATAAAAAAAATTGCATAGCGATATGAAAACCAAGAGGAACACCTTGTATACCCAAAATAAATTTAACAATTTTCAAAATGTAATCCATAAATTTAATGGATTACAATGTGCAATCCGTTTATATAATGGATTACAATGTGTAATCCATTTATATAATGGATTACAATGTGTAATCCATTTATATAATGGATTACAAAACGTAGTACATTCTTGTAAGGGTTTAGATAGTCGGTAATCCCGACAGTTAATACTACATGTAATAATGTTTAGTGGGATTATAGATTACCAATAATCCATAATATGAAGTAAAAAGTAAGCAAAAAAATAATTGTCACATTTTTCTCACTGATTTCATTTTTAGTTTCATAAAAAAATTGCATAGTGATATGAAAACCTAGAGGGACGCCTTGTATACCCAAAATAAATTTAACAATTTTCAAAATGTAATCCATAAATTTAATGGATTACAATGTGTAATCCGTTTATATAATGGATTACAATGTGTAATCCATTTATATAATGGATTACAATGTGTAATCCATTTATATAATGGATCACAATGGGTAATCCATTTATATAATGGATTACAAAATGTAGTACATTCTTGTTTAGATAGTCGGTAATCCCGACAGTTAATACTACATCTAATAATGTTTAGTGGGATTATAGATTACCAATAATCCATAATATGAAGTAAAAAGTAAGCAAAAAAATAATTGTCACATTTTTCTCACTGATTTCTCTCAGTGGTTTTCTTCACTAGCGATCTTCCCTAATTTTTCTTGTTTCTGTTCTTTCTACAATATGTAATCCATTTATCTAATGGATCACAAAATGTAATCCATCAGTTTAATGGTTTAGAGTTTAGACAATTGATAATTTTGACTGAAAGTATAGTATTCCATAATGGGATTCTGGATTAATCCATATGGATTGCTTCTAATCCATGACATGATTTACTTGTAATCCATTGCATTATAAATTACTAATAATACATAATTCAATTATTAATTATGGAATCCACATAACATTCTCTAGTATAATTGAAAAAATTGCAAATTGTTGGTGGAAGCTCATCTCGCTCTTAAAAATTAACCAAGGCATGTATTGACATGATCCAAAAAACAAAATGCTCAGAAGGCGTGGCTCTGACCATATAATTATATTTTAGGAAAATTTACACACGAAATTATTGCACAGGGTGTTTTAAAGTTAAGGTAAAATACAACCCCTCGATTAACCCTGTATAATATGCTAAATGCTAACTACAAGTCGGATTCTGAGCTCCATTGAAGCTCAGTTTTTATAAACTATGACCCAAGTGTCCTATTATTTACTTTAAAATTAAATATCGATATGATCGATATTTTTTCGCTAAAATCGCGCACATCCCTAACAGAGACCACCAGAGAATGTGCATTAGTCACCAACCGCCGCTTTCCTAATTTCAGCTGATGGGCGAGAAAAAGTTCATCTGCGACCTGTGCCAAAAAGGTTTCACCACGGAGAAGTACCGCGACGTGCACATGAAAGCGCACAACGGCGAAAAAATCTACCGGTGCAAGGTGTGCGAAAAGTCGTTCCTGTCCAAGTCCCATCTCACCGAACACATGAAATTCCACAACGAACATTCCAAGAAGTTCCTCTGCTCCGAGTGCGGCCAGAGGTTTATTAGAAACGATTATTTGGTGATTCACATGAGGAGGCATAGGGGGGAGAAGCCGTTCAAGTGTAAATTTTGTGGAAAAGGTAAGAATATAGTTAGTTTTGAGGTTAAGAAATTGTTTTCGTTGGTTTTGGGGAAATTTGGGATGATTTGGCAACGTAGGTGCGATAATGTGTATGAATTACGGTGGCTCTCAAAATTTTTAATATTCTATTTATTTTTCGAATTTGTTTTGCATTGTGGTTTAGCCCTTTCAAGTGAAAGCTCTGCGAAAGGTCTTGAAACTATGAATTTTTACCAAAAAAAATAATGAAAATTTTATGTTTTCCTTGGCATGTTTCTAAAAAAATTATAAAACTTTTTAGTGCCACAGGTTTATCCCAAAATTTCTTTACGGCGTTTGCAATGTTGCCACCTATTTTACCCATATTCTGCATATTTATATGTTTGTAAGTTCACAGTAATTTTAATATTCTATATAAAAAATTACGACATTTAATTTTGAAATCAGTGTGCGTTATTAATAATTCTAGAAAAATGCTGCACACAAATACATTTTTGCATTTATTTTCAATCAAATTGAAAGAATAAATTTTGTTTGTAGCAACTACTACAAAGCACCATATATAATCGATACCTACGAGAAAAATTTTTTTGGAAATAGATTTTTCGCTCGTCCATATATGGTATTTTCAATCATTGAAAATACCTGTTTTACTAAACGTTCTGAATTTTGATGGCGCATTTTTTAAAAACTTTAATACTTTTTCAGGATTTCCTAGAACAACTGATCTCACTGTTCATGAGAGGTATCACACTGGAGAAAAAACACATTTGTGTACAATCTGTGGTCGTGGATTTGGAAGGTAATTAATGTTTTTTTATTAATAAATATCAATATTACAGCCCAGAACCTCAGTTTAATGATAAATTTTAAATCCAACTCTAAAACCCTTTTACATATATTATGTGAAATTACAAATTATTTTCCCTAACTTTAGTAAAATTTTTAATAACTTGGCAACATAGTTCGGTGGTTCTGGACATTTTTAATATATTAATATTAATTTTTAAAGGGACAAAATACCTGCACTATTTTTGATAATTTTTTTTTTAATTAGAATTTGTGTTATAAGCATAGAAAAAGTGATAAGGTAGACATAAAAAAATATTTGTGGTGACTAAAATTGAAGTGATAAAATTACAAACTTTATTTGACAGTTTCTCAAGATACTTTCCTTTTTTTAGGGCTTACAATTTGACAGTGCACATGAGAACGCACACGGGAGAAAAACCATACCAATGTACTTATTGCGACGCTGCGTTTGCGCAGGGCAACGATCTCAAGGCCCACATCAGGCGACATACAGGCGAAAGGTTCCAATGTGACCTGTGTTCAGAAAGCTTTTTGATGGGTTACCTTCTAACACAACACAAAAGAACGATACACGGTAAGTACCACTTTGTTTCAATATAAACAATTATACTTAGTGTTTTGTATGATCCACAAATATTTAGAATTTAGGGGAAAAAATGGACAGCCGAATTATCAAAATCTTTAAAAAAAATTACTTATTGAGTACCATTTTTGATAGGTCTGAACGTGGTCAGCAACATCAGGCGACTACAGCCCGTCAACAAAACAGAAAACCCCGACGACCCTCCGCCTATCACCATTCCCTTGCCGAAGCCGGTCGTACCCGACAACATCATGTTCAACCACCTGCTGCAGCCGATTCACAAGCAGGAAAAGATGGACGACCAAATGGAGGAGCCGGGAGCGGCCATTGCCTTGCCCTTGTCCAAACCTATGGTGCCGGAGAATTTCCTACATTCGATCAACACGCTGCAGGCGCAACTGTCCTTCAGTCAGATGCACTTCAGTACTAGTCAGAGGCCGGCCGTTTAAAAACTTGTCCATAACGTGGTAAGTTTTGAAACTTCTTTTGGAAAACTAGTTTTCGTATTTTGTGGGGAAATTTTGAACGATTTGGCAACAGCGCATTTTTTTTGTTTTGGGGAAATTTTAAACGATTTGGCAACAGCGCTTCCCTATGGAAATTTTGAACGACTTGGCAAAAGCGCTCTGTTATTTCAGTCGATTACGCAGTGATTCTCAAAATGTTTTATATGTTATTAAATTTTGAAGTACAAAATAACTAGACTATTTTTGATTATTTTTTGTAAATAGAAAAATTAGAAACAAAATTTTAGTTTGAATATTCAGAAATATTTAGAGGCTTGGCAACATGGAGCAATTACTCTTCGCAATTCGGTGGTCTTCGACATTTGTAATCAATCTGTATTTTGAGGTTCTAATAGCAAAATTGTGTTTTCAGGTACTGCCCTTGATACACAAATTAATTTTCTTATTTTTAGAGAAATTTTGAACAAATTGATAACGGCGCTCGATTATCTTTTCTTGTATTTAGGGAAATTTTGAACGATTTGGCAACAGCGCTCGATTACTTTCCATTTTCTATAGGGAAATTTTAAACGACTTGGCAACAAAGCTCTATTATTTCGATCTACTACACGGTGGCTCTCAACTTTTTTAATAATTTATTTTTAAATTTTATAGTGCAAAATTAATAACAAGGTTTTTTTTGATAAATAAATTTTATAGACAAAATAATTTCTACACTTTCTTAATATTAGAAAAATATTTACCCTACATCTGCAAGTGCTTGGCAACATGGCGAAACTACCGTTCAGTAGTCCTCAACGTTTTTAATGTATGATTGATTTTTAAAATGCAAAATATTTATTTTTATATACAATAAATATGGAAGATAAAAAATAATGGTTAGTGTACCAAGAGATATACAAACCTGTTTTTTTTTAACGTGCACTTATTAAATTATTTTCTTTAATTTTGGGGAAATTTTGGACGACATGGCAACCAAACATAATAGTGTCATTGAATTTACAGTGGCCCTCAAAATGTTTAATATTCTTTTTTCATACTTACGATGCCCAGTAAAAAGTAAAGTCTGTCCAGCAAGTCAAGGAAGATTTCGACAGAAGACATCCAAAAAATGACAGAAAATATAATCTACATGTGTATTACAATGACAGAGAACAAACGTCACTGTCAGGTGACAAAGAATATTGAAAATACATTTTTTATTTTTCTTTTGAACACAAGTTGATTTTAAACTCTTTTTCAAATAATTGTGTCGTAAGTGGTAAAGCCTCAAGATATAAAGTAGTAATATTTAGCAAGTGGCAACGTTGCATACCCTTAATAGTCAAGAAAATATTCAGAGAAAATTTCAGATGAACCTGCCGCTGTAAGAAGTTTTATATAATGCCTAATAGGTGTGTGTCTACCTTAATATGTCTTTTTTTGTGGTAAATACTATATTTTTGGTTTTTGTTCTGCAGGAACTTCAAAAAAAAGCACACCAAAATATGGGGACTACTGTCAATCACCGAAAACAGTTACTGTATTATAGTTTATATTGTGACATAAAAAGTTGACCTGTTTAATAAAGATTTTATTTAATTTCATATTCCTATCAAACTGTAAATAAATAGAACATAGTAATTCAGGGATTGATGTAAGAAGTTTTAGTAAAAATTGTAACTATTGACAGTATATAAATATTCAAAAGAATTTAAATTTTTAAGTTAAATCTATGATATTTAAAAAATCATGCATATTAAAGAGTAAAAAGTTGGGTTAATATGTTACTTCTGTGCAGTATTGTCAGATTGTGTAAGCTGAAGGTCACTTATGAAAGAACCGACAACCCTGCACAGAAGTTAACGCCGTGGCCGTTACTAGGCAACCAAAACAAAAAATATGTATATTATAATGCTGTTGATGGTTACTACTTTCATAAAAATATTGCAAAACTTATTTTTTTTTATTTCAAACTCTACCTAATACAATTTAAATACCGATGGGTCTAATCTAAGTAGTTTTTTATATACAAGCCTTGTACATAGATATATTTTTTGTAGATAATGTGGAGCTTATCTGTAGAAACTAAATAATTCAACCCAAGTTTTGATTTCCTTTCTGATAGAACAGGAAAACACGTTCTCACTTGAGTCTTTCATTTCTTTTGTGACATGTCCAGAGTATATGTCTTAATTTATTTTAAAAAATATATTAATATATATTGACGTTTTCTTTGTTGAAATAGTACCATAAATGATTGTAAATAGTATATATAAAAATAATCGATCCTAAGTACATATACATTTTTTAATGAATTGTAATTATTTTTGTTAATTTAAAATAAAAGGAATTCGAATTTTTGTTAATATTTCTTAATGTGGGGTTTTCAATGTATTTATTTTTTTATATATAAATTTATATAGGGTGTTTCTAATTTATTTGACTAAAACGCGCAACACTTTTTTTGAGTCATTAATTTAAATTTCACAATATATTATTATGGTTAAGTCTGCCCAGTTAGGAGCACCCTATATACTAAATATTTTTCACTCTTCAAATTGATCATCCTATGTGGTATTTTTGTGAAAACGAACAATTTAATATTAAACCAGTGGCGTACAACTACACATTCACAATTTGTAAATAGTTTTGTAGGTAAATAAACAATATTGAAAACAGTGAATTTTTTTCTGTTTCCCTGATTCAGGTATATACAGTGCGTTTGTTTTAAGTGCGATTCGTCTTGTATTTCGCCATTTAATATATTTCATTAGACATAAATATAGTTAAAGCTGTAGTTTGTCTACTAACTACGCCATTGTAAGCTGAATAACCACCTCGAAGAATCTAATCTAACTATACAGGAGAATAAGACAACGTTATTTAGTATGTACGATTTATTAGATATGTGAATATTAATAAACCTTTTTTTGAGGAAACAAAATAATTCCATAACTATTGTTGGAAATACAGATCAGTATTAGAGACTTAACAGTATAGGTTAGGTATATATTATAAAGTGGTAAAGCTTGACGAAGTAAAAAGTTTACTAGCTAGGAGTTACTTACTACACTAAAATACTGTAAATTGAATTAGATTAAGGTTCTATTGTGACATTTAATTATTAGAGATTACATGTCAAATAGAATGTCACAACTCGTCAGATATAGGATGAATGGTAGTTCTCGGTAACCTGTCATTTGTACAGACTGGTGCAGTGTTGCCAGACATTTTCCAGCGAATTTCTTTAACGGAGCCTTAAAAAACCTTTATATTCCTTCAACTTCACAAAAAAATCCGGATCTTGTGAAAAATCACCAAATTTCGTGTATTTTACCTATTTATGTTAGGAGAAAATTTTTAAAAACTTATTTCTGTTAATTTTTGGACACACAAAAGGGAGCCAGAAACCTTCATATTGTCTTCTTTTTGGATAAAAATCCTTCAGCCCTTCGTTCGACGAAATTTGACTGTAAAATCCTTCATATTGAAGGAAATCTTTCCAATTCTGGCAACACTGCGGTAATCTGTCATCTGAACTCTTCATATCAGTGTATGTTTATTTTATATTATCTTTGGTTTTTATGTAATTGGATTTACATTGGAGTCTGTGCATAGAGTGTATACAGGGTGTTTCAAATCAAATGCGAAAAACTTCAGGGGCTGATTCCTTGTTCAAAATAAAGGGTAGTTTGCTTCATAAACGTTGGGTCAAAAGTCAACGATTACGGAGATATCGCGGTACAAAGATGGCGGAAAAATAATGTTTTTATTTTTTATCTTGAAAACGAAAAGAAATAGACTAATAAAATTTTATGGAAGCATTACTGTTATGAAAACACACTTTCTGGTAGTTTTTTCACTTTTTTAAAATGAGTGGAAGGGGTTGAAATAAACTACCCCTATCATTCTTGTTAACGAAATTTAAAGAAAAAGTTTATCAAACACATACAAAAAAATTAATTTGGATAGTTTAGTTTGTTTAGAAACTTTTTTATCTCTTGTGTTTTTTTGATAAAACTCACCGATTTGAAATTAAAAAATAAAATGTAAAGCATTACATGTCAGGACAAAAAACATTTTTGGATAAAGAATCTAGTAGGCTGCTGTCAAACAGTTTTATTTCGTAATAATATCGTTACATTTTCTTCTGAACGATAACATCTTAAAAATTATTTACCAAGACAATTTTTAATTCTGTATTTTAATCCATGAAAGTACAAAATAATAAAAAAAAGTACATATTAAAAAATAAAAATGTTTTTTGTCCTGACATGGGGTAATGCTTTACATTTTATTTTTTAATTTCAAATCGGTGAGTTTTATCAAAAAAATACAAGAGATAAAAAAGTTTCTAAACGAACTAAACTATCCAAATTAATTTTTTTGCATGTGTTTGATAAGATTTTTCTTTAAATTTCGTTAACAAGAATGATAGGGGTAGTTTATTTCAACCCCTTCCACTCATTTTAAAAAGTGAAAAATTACCAGAAAGTGTGTTTTCATAACAGTAATGCTTCCATAAAATTTTATTAGTCTATCTCTTTTCGTTTTCAAGATAAAAAATAAAAACATTATTTTTCCGCCATCTTTGTACCGCAATATCTCCCTAATGGTTGACTTTTGACCCAACGTTTATGAAGCAAACTACCCTTTATTTTGAACAAGGAATCGCCCCCTGAAGTTTTTCGCATTTGTTTCGAAACACCCTGTATATGCGGTTAAATATTTCATTTTGTAATAGTTTTAATTTTCTAATTATTTTTTATTAAACGCTAACAAACCTGCATCTATTTTAGATTTTAATAATATTTAGTTCTGAAAGTTAGTTCTTTCTTTAAGTATTATTATGCTAAGGATAAATATAGAAAAATTAATTCAAAAAGATTAATTGTATACACAAATAAAAAAATAGTAAGATTTCAGGACTTTATATTAATAATAGCAACGCTGGCCATATTCCGAAAACACGTTGAGATGACAGTTAGCATGTTTACCTCCCACTGCAAATTTTTAGGCGGGATTCGTTTTGTAGCTTCTCTACGATTGTTCTTCTCTGGTATAAGTTGGGATATAAATGAGTGTGGTTATTGTGAATCTTAGAAAAGGACTTCAAAAATAGTTACTTGTGCAGTGTGTGATCGTTCTCAGGTAAAAAAACAACATGAAAAATAACGGAATAACTTTTCACTAGTAAGTAATTATGTACGTCTTACTAGTACAACAAAATATTACGAAATTCCTTTAAAATTAACTAATATTATCTCTAGTTATAGCAAGGCCTTCATCCGAGGATATAATTTTAAAACCACAAAGGAACTCAGAACATGCTCAACAAGACTAAAACCGGAGGAACTATGCTCACATCCTATCAAGGACCAGTACAAGATGGTGTAGGGTACAAGGATAGGAAAGTAGGTGCAGACATAGAAGGGGGACAAACACAATAAAATGTCAGGTTCCACTTGTTCTTTGGACTGAAACTGTCTATAGATATCATGCTATATTTGACGAGTTATAACTATGGGGTTATATATAATACTTTTATTTCTAAGGTTTAGTTTTTTGAGCCACACACTTAAAAAAATAAAATCAGCGCCTTGTGGGAAAATATTACAATCTCTCCGCACTACTTAAAGCTCTCTCAGCTTCAAACATTAAAAGAAAAAAAAGATACAGCTTAAATATTTCAAAAATATAATCATAATTAAGGTAAAATAAATATATTTTAGGATCAACTTATACCCTTTAAATTATTCTAGGATAGTTGCATATTTGAATTTTGAATAATTTAGCAAGATTTATAAGTTATAAAACACAATAACAAGAAAGATAATTTTATATTTCCTTTAAAAATTTTGAAGTGAAACTTCTTTACGCGCGATGGGAGTAAAAACTCAAGGCTGTGAGTACCTTGACCATGCCTTGATGCACGAGCTAGCGAGAAAAAAAAGTGGCAAGTATCGCGCAAACACCAAAAAATATTTGATTTAAAGTTAAAAAAAGCATTATAATAAACTTGCTACTGTACCTGGGTACCATTATCCTCTGGTTGTGTGCTAGGAAGTAAAGTTTCATGCATATTTTCATCGATAGGTTCGTAGCTTCTGAATAACGGTCTAGATAAAGCATTTAGCTCATTTGTTAGCTCAGAATTAGAATTATTAGAGTTAAGCAACTCGCATTTTCATTGGAGGACATGGTCATATTTATTTCAAACCAATAATCAACGAGAATATTTGTATAATTTAAGGGTGCAGCCACACTATCCTAAAAACGGCGTATCGGCGTAACGGCGTAATGACCTTGAATAGATTTCCAGTAATTCTATTGGCTGAAACATTCATCTGTCAGAAATTTTATCTGTCAAATTCATCTGTCAAAAATTTCAGCCAATAGAATTACTGGAAATCGATTCAAGGTCGTTACGCCGTTACGCCGATACGCCGTTTTTAGGATAGTGTGGCTGCACCCTAACAAAATTACTGTAAATCACTCTTAGATAAGGAAAGAGAGGGGACAGCTAACACGCATATTCTCCAGTGAAAAAATTTTGAGGCCAAAATTTGATCGGCGCGGCGGCCATACTTTGATGACAAGATGTCGAGCTGTCACCAAGCCAATTTTTATGTTTTTTGTGAATACTGTTTTGTTTTAAATTTATAAACTGTGTTGTTTAGTATGGTGAGATGTTCGGCGTATGGCTGCAAAGGCTGAAGCGAGAAAAAAATGACTGGAATTACATTTTACAGATAAAAGTTGATACACAACTTGTGCTATGTAATCATAAAATGTACATTTTTTTCATTATAGCAGTAAAAATATGTAAAATGCTATTAATATGTCTTGTACCACATCCAAAGCAAACTATTTTTATTAATTCCAAGTAGTATTTTCAATATCCTATATTATAATTAATGTTTGAAACTATAAATAATGCTACTCAGACAGGATTTCTCCAGTGGCGTAGGGTATTATAATCAGAGAAATACAATTTCTGCAATAAATTTTATATATTTTACATGTAAAAAAAATGTATAAAGTATTGTTATCAAATATGTAAAATAATAATTGTAGACTATAAAAAACATGAAAAATTTTGGTTATAAAAAATCTATATGTATAGTTGTTACATAAAACTTAAATTTACCTGCCAAGATTTGCTGGGGGTGGACAAACTTGTGGTGGGCTACTTGTTACAATATTTTTTTTTCGATGTTATTTTATATAGTTTTTATGTCATTTTATATGTAGAATTATATGGGGAATGTCATCGATCGTTATTTCCAAACAAACAGAATGCCGTTGTTTTTCGATCATACGGTATATATGTATATACACGTTTAAAACATATATATTTACATTATTTTTTATTTAATTATACATTAGACACACGTTAATTAATAAATAATTGTCTTGATGGTCAGTTCACTGTGACTGTTAAATAAATTTTGCATTATCGGCTTAGATATTCTAATATTATAAAGGAGAGACTATAAAATACAAAATTGTATATGCATTACTCAAAAATAAACGATATATTAGTTAACGTTTTAATAAATATTTTTTATCGTCTAGGTACAAGCTAATTTCTGATGCTACGCCATTGGAGAATTTCGCGTGGTGACAAGTGGCCTCACTTTCAGCTGCCGTGTTACCTGTCCCCTCTCTTTCCTTGTCTAAGAAATCACTAAATACGAATTGTTGGTTAGGTTCAACATTTTTTCTCTTCTTAAATAAATTTAAGCGTTAGCATTATGAGGCATTTGCATAAAAGTGTATTTTGGGTGGTATTCCAGGGTATTCCACAAAATTTGCAGATCCAGAGATAAATTGAAAATAACGTTTACATTAAAACAGCATTATATGTCATTTTTTCAAACATGTCCTTCAAATCCTTCAATTTAATAGCTGCTAGTAAGAAGTTTCACTTCGACACATTTTTTTCATTTAATTAATAAAAATAAAACAGTAATAGATAGTGTGAATGGACTCTTACATAATAATTGTGCAAATTTATATAGGGATAGGGTTATCTACCACCTGAGAATGTTTGTCTCTTCACTATAAGAATTTACAGAGTCCTAAGTAACAGGAATATATTATAGTAATGTTTAAGAACATCCTTATATCATTCATATACTGTCTATATACTTTTCTTTTTTTACTAACCTTTTTTTTATGTTTCTTATTGATGAAACTGTCACAGATCAAGATATAGACACTATTTGAGATATATTTATAGTAACTAGCCCGACAGAATTATTATGTTCAATACTTTTGCTAAAAAACCTAGCTATTACACATTTATTTTGTATATATACTTACATTTTTCTTTAAATATATATACACCAAACTATCTACCTACCAATCTTCTGATGTTACCTAGTTACATGATATACTGGCTAGAATTCTTTTTTAATTTAAAAAATATACCTCCTTTATGTTTGTGCACTATCTAAAAAAATAATAAAGTCAAAATAATACGACTAAGACTTTTTTTTATCATTTTTCTGCCTTGAATTGTTCTAAAATGTATGTTAATTTTTTTGAAGTACTTCTTTCAGTCATATAACATATTTTCGTTAAATAAAATAAAAAACCAGGTACTTATAAAAAATAAATTAATAAATATTTTTAATAGTCATTCAAAAATATTACCTAATTTTCACAGTATATAATATTTTTAAAGTGTAATGAAACAAAGAAATTTTAGTAAAAAATAACTATGTATGTGTTTTACAAGAAAATTTGTTACAATAATATGATTCATTGGCAAGCAATGCAAGTAATTTGTTGTATTCAGTGTTTAGGTGTTTCTAAAATTTATCTGTTTGAATCCACTTTAAAAGCTTTATAGAAAACATATTCTTACCCTTTCATTTAGTTTTAATCGGTTAAATTCAACGTTTAATGCGCGTGCGCGCAGTAAGCTCTAGTGCATCACGCCATCTATACAGGGGTACCAAAATCAGGATCCCCCACGCCATCTACATTAACAGAATTCGCATTATAAACATATCTAGCTAACAATTTCTCTCTTCTTTGATCGTTCTCAGTGCCTTCGGTTAGTTCCTCATTGGGACATAACCTCAATGCTTTACTAACCCTCAGATTTTGACCGTGTAACGAGAAATACTTCTTTGAAGGTCCGAGATTTTTTGGTTTGGATTGCTTGGTTGAATTTATAGCTGCAGCAGTTTCGATTTGACTTTTCAAGAAAATATCTGTAAGGATGTTGTGGATGTTTTCCTCAAATTGGGGACTAGTGTCGGGACAGAAAACTGTATTTTTAGTTGGTTTTGGTGGTGGGTCAACTGAGGTAGATGTCGCTTCGGTAGTTTTTTCTATACGTTGTCTAGGAAAGTCGTCTCCTATTTCACTGGCTGTAGTGGATATGTCGGAGTACCCATCGTTTTTACTGAAAATGCTCTGAAGTGTCTTAACACCGAAATATTTCTTCTTAACTTTTTTCTGTTTCTTGTAGTTCCGGTTTTTTAGGTGTACAGGTGAACTACTACAACTCTCGTCTGAGTTTAACAAACTTTGATCGCTCTTAGTTTCAGAAATTGATTCATTCGAGACGTACAAAGATGGTTTGTTTAATTTTTCGACCTCAATAAGACTGGTTTCGTAGTTAAATGAAGAGCTGTTCTTTGTTACGTCTGTCTGAAGGTTTTTCGGTGATTGCGAATCGTTTGAAGCGATATCCGTGGATAGTATCTCCGAATCCAGATACACATCGGTGCTGGTTTGCATAGGGGAAGACAAGTTATCCGAAATAAGCGAGTTAGCTGAGCAATTAAAGTTGCTTTCGATCGTAGCAAAAACGTCGACTTTTTTGAACTCTCCCAACTTGATAATGTTGTTGGTTGCGTTGTCTAAAAGCACTAGTTCGCTCGTATCGACGTTTGCAAGTGTGTCATTGAATTTTGTGAGGTTATCTAGCAGAGTGTTGTTGTTGGACGTGTGCAAATCTGTCATGTCATCCGGTGGTGCTTTGACAGTTATGTTTCCGTTTTCTGTCAGGTCTAAAACGCTGGTGGAGGTTAGGTTTTCTTTGCTGTTCCTTGCGCTTGATCGAGATAACCTGTAATATTTTGGGTTTTATATAGAGTGTACCAAAAAAAATTGCAACAAATGTATTATTTGAAAAATCCCCTGTATATTGGACATGCTGAAAAAATTCCGTATAGTCTTTTTCTCAATAAACTCAATTTGTTGCAAAATTTTTGGCACCCCCTGTATATACAGGGTTGTTCGCCACATACGACACGGAGTATTGTAGCTAAACGATGAGATTTTTACAAATTGTAAGTTTTGGGTTCGATGAAGGACTATTAGAGGTACAATTTAAAAATAATTTTACAAGATACAGAGTGTCCCAAATAAGTAAAAAATATCAAAGTTGTATTTTTTTAAATGGAACACCCTGTATATTATTACATTTTTAGTTTCTACGATTAAAATGAAGGTAAATTTGATTAAGGTTTATACTTAAACCTTACCGTTTTTGAAATATTTTTCAATTTTGTGAAATTGCAGTAAACATTTTCAAGGCTTCATTTCTCCAAAGGGTATCAAAGTTTTTAATACTAAATATTTACTGAAGTTTATTTACTGATCAGTTATTGTGTTGCAATAATAAAAATAATACTACCTTATACAGAGTGTTTAAAAATTTATTTTAAATAATTATTAGCTTCAAACGGCAATAACTTGTTTAATTTAAATGGAACACCCTGTATATTTTACGAGAATCAGATGCACAATTTAATTGGTAAAAAATGGTATAATACAATTTGATAGACAATTTAATTGTGCATCTGATTCTCCTAAGATATACAGGGCATTCCATTTAAATTAAAGAAGTTATTGCCGTTTGAAGCTAATAATTATTTAAAATAAATTTTTAGACACTCTGTATAAGGTAGTATTATTTTTCTTATTGCAACACAATAACTGATCAATAAATAAACTTCATTAAATATTTAGTATTAAAAACTTTTATATCCTTGGAGAAATGAAGCCTTAAAATTTTTACTGCAATTTCACAAAATTGAAAATATTTCAAAAACGGTAAGGTTTAAGTATAATAAATCTTAATCAAATTTACCTTTATTTTAATCGTAGAAACTAAAAATGTAATAATGTACAGGGTGTTCCATTTAAAAAAATACAACTTCCATATTTTTTACTTATTTGGGACACTCTGTATCTTGTCAAATTATTTTTAAATTGTACCTCTAATAGTCCTTCATCGAACCCAAAACTTACAATTTGTAAAAATATAATCGTTTTGCTACAATACTCCGTGTCGTATGTGGTGAACAACCCTGTATAGAACAAAATAAATATAGGTGTTGCAAAATAAAAAAAAATAAAGCGTAACATTCATTTATTGGTTGCAATAAAACTACATAACAAAAATAAAATTAAATGTACAGCTTAATAGGAATGGTGAAAACTAAATATAAATAAATCTTAAGTCACTATACAGTATACATAAAATAATAACTTAAAATAATATAATATAAATAGGAATTTTCTTCATATCACATAAATTATTGTAACAAAAAACATGCAAAATAAAAACACTTTTGTAAAGTGTGTGTATTTTTTTTGAAAACTGTTTCTGTTTTGAATGATAAAAAGTCATACAATTTATCTATACAGAAACAGCTTTTAGTACAAATAAAATTAAAAAAAAATAAGTTGGCATGCTGTCACTTTGTGAATACTCTCACCTGCTCACTGATTCAGGTGTTCTAGGTGCTGTAGGCGTGTTCACTATTTCTTGTGATCCTTTCAGTAAACTGGAATTGCTTGATTCACAAACTTCTTCGTTGAAGAATCTGTCAAATTACAATTTATAATATTAAGATCCAGTGCTATTTTGTTTCCAAAAATATTTTGATTAAAAGAAAATATATAAAGTAGGCAACGCTGTACCGGTCAAGCTTAATCACGTGACTTAAAGCTTATTTGGTATGAACTGTATATAGTTAGAGGTAATAATACTGGTATACTAGCCATAGATAAAGAAAGAAATATACTTAAATGATGAAAATAATTATGAACAATACAGAAATATGCTAAAACTAACCTGAAATTTAAGCCATCCTCTTCCAAAGAATTATCGCTATCATCCGCAGCAATGTACTGAACTTGCAACACGCAATCTCCGCTCTGCTGTTGCAGTATCGACACGGCCTCCTTGTGAGTGGCGTTCCTTATGTCAATGTCATTAACATACAAGATGGCGTCCCCTATGTACAGCTGTTCTGATACGGAAGCGGGTCCGTTGGGCTCCAATTCTGATATGAGAATCGGTACTCCGTGTTCCCTACCGCCCTAGGAATACAGGGTTGATCAAAATTAACTGGTGATATTATGCTTTCTAAACGTATTAATATTTGTGTAGTCTAAAATACCTATTACACGTGTCTAGTAGCAATTAATGGTCTATAATAAAAATAGTCGTTTGATGAAATTAAACCTAAACGCGCTGTGGTTTTATTTGTCCTGTTTTGACTTTGGTTAACAAAATTTAAATTAAACTTACGATTGTTGATAAAAAAAACAGCACGCCACTAGTAGACCGGAAAGACAGAAATGCACAAGAAAGTGCTGTAAACAAATGGTGTTTTATGAATGGAGTGTTGTGTCTAACCTTTAGTTACCTACATGTTTTTAGTAAACACGTCATTACTAGTGAAAAGTTCACAAATTGGGTGTAAGAGACACGAAATACCTACCGTTATACTAATGCCTAGACCCTGCTCAGGTTTTCTCTTCACAACCACTATCCTTATATCGCCAAAATGAGCAGTACCACCGTTTGACTCAATCGGTGGTTTCGGACACTTGTCCTGGTTGTTGTGCAAGGAACTGTTCCGTCTACAAGCTCGTACCACAGTCTTATGTCTCTGAAGCAGAATTTCCGATTCTAACTGACCCCACAGCTTATCTCTAACCTCACCACGCATTTCCCTACCTATTAGAAGAAAAACAGTAAAATATAAGGCAAAAAATAATGAGATACACCTTTTACACTCAAGCCAAAAGTATTAAACTTACTTACCTAAAAGTTGTAACTGCTGTATCCTCCCTGCCAATTCCTTATCCAAGTACTTGGCCGCTAATTTTGCTCCATATACTTCAGCTGTCAAAGCCAGAATGTCATTTCTTAGCGCGGTATTCTCGGCAAGTAACTGGGCGTTCTCTATCTTGTTCTGGATTGGTTCCAGCAAGGTTGTACTGAATTTGAGTTCAGGATCTTTTTCCTTAGCATCAGTACTCACTGAAATAGAAATTAACACATATTTAATCCCTAAATCCATTAAATAAAAAAAAAAGTGTGTGCACTATGTGTTTCTAAAATGAAACTTCTTATTAACAGCTATTAAATTGAACGATTTGAAGGAAAAAGTTGAGTGTTTTAATATAAATATTATTTTCAATTTATTTCAGTAATCTGTACATTTTCAGTTTCCTCAATAGCCTGCAAATTTTGTGGAATACCACCCAAAATACAAACTTTTATGCAAATGCCTAAAAAAAAAGCTTAAATTTATTTAAGAAGAGAAAAAAATTTGAACTGAACCAACAATTCGTATTTATAGTGGTTTACATAATTTTGTTAAATTATACGAATATTCTCGTTGATTATTGGTTTGAAATATATATGACAATGTCCTCCAATGAAAATGCGAGTTGCTTAACTCTAATAATTCTAATTCTGAGCTAGCAAACGAGCTAGCTCCTTTACCTAGACCGTTATTCAGAAGCTACAAATCTATCAATGAAAATATGCATGAAAATTTATTTCCTAGCACACAACCAGATGATATTGGTACACAGGTACAATATCAAGTTTATTATAGTGATTTGCTTAGCCGCGTATGGCACAGATCGTTACCCAGAGCGAGTTAAATTGTTTCGCAAAGGAGTAGCTGTGGCAACACTGCCGTTACCACTTTTTCTGACTCTAGCTCGTATGTCGCTCGTGTGAATTTTTACTCCCAACGCGCGTAAAGAAGTTTCACTTCAAAAACACAGCATTGTATTTAACTCTAGTCTACAAAATGAATAACTTTGAATTTTGACCGTTATTTTTTACCAACATGGCAAATCTAAAATCCCTCTATCAAAAAAGTTACTGATATTCTTTAAATTGAGTACCTGAACGAATCAGATAGGTAACTCTTTTTACTTTCGTGAAATAGAAACGGAAAATAATAAAACAAGTGACAGTTCTTCCTCTTCTTGCAAAAATCAACACGAAATGTCATAATTGACAAAAGTAAAATGTCATCAGCTTTTGACATTTCTAAATATTAGACCAATGCCGTCTCTAATAGAACAGCCACGGAGCGAGATTTATGGCGTCACGCTAGTTAGATACTACGGATTAATCAATATGTTGTAGAATACATGGAAAACATAATTATTTTTCGTATTTTTGGTTTGTATTTTAAAAATGATATAGTTTACATGAAATATACATAATATACAGTTAATAAATACAATATAATAAATATATCTATTTATAGTAATAAATACTTTGGCAAATAAACTATGAACCATACAAATGCAGCAAATGTTTTACAATATACAAATAATGAATAGGTGGTACACAAGATAATGGGTAAAATGTAAAATATGTTTTAAATTTTGGGGTTTAAAAATCGATCTAATTTAACAAAAAACATTCAATATCTACTAATAGTGATGTATTATTATTTGCATTCACAAAATTTATTTATATATTATAATGTTTACTGCAATTAATAAACTAATATAAACTTGTCAAAAGATGACCATATATTTTTTTAAATTATTATTCTTAACACAAAAACTATCTACATTGACTATGGAGTACGATTTCAGCCATATTGTAAAGCGTTTGCTGCATTTGTATGGTTCATAGTTTTATATGCCAAAGTATTTATTACTATAAATAGGTATATATATTGTATTTATTAACTGTATATTATGTATATTTCATGTAAACTATATCATTTTTAAAATACAAATCAAAAAAATACGAGGAATAATTATGTTTTCTATGTATTCTACAACATATTTATTAATCCGTAGTATCTAACTAGCGTGACGTCATAAATCTCGCTCCCAGGCTGTTCTATTAGAGAGGGCATTGCGTCATCATGGCCGCAAGTTGCTAACCTAATAAAACTAACACTAGAAAAGCCCGCGGGAACTGTCAAATTCAAAGTTATTCGTTTTACAGACTATAGTAATTGTACAGACTAGAAAATATATATCTGTATAATATATAAAATACAGACTAAGGCTGTATTCCGCTGCAAAACCAGGCGAACCAGACCGGTAAACTACGGTAAAGAGCGGTTCCTGAAAAACATCGCTTTGATACGGAACTTTTTCTAAATTTCAATACCTCTATTATAAAATTTATCTTCTATGCATTTTTAATATACCTATTCTCTGCTTTTACGTTTGCTTCTTCTTTTCAATGGAGTTTAATGATGAAAAGTACTTTATTAATAAACTGTTAAACTCGTTAGACAGCTCAAGTGAAGATTTGCAGGTCCAATATTAAAACAGATCAATAATAAATAAACAAATCTAATCAATATTTATATTTTTATAGCTTACAAAACATTCACGATTACTTGTTGTCTAGTTTTTCATGTTTTCTTTAAATGTTCCTGATTTTATAAGAAACAATGGCTGCATGATAAATTTAAATGGTCCTAAAAAGTCATTTTATTTAGTTAATGAAATTTATTTACCTTTACTGCTTACCTCCATTACTTTTCGATGTAAATACAAAATATTATTACAAATTTTAGAAATTAAATGAGAATTTCACTCGAACCTCCAATATTTGCTTGATTTCTGTCACATAAATGACATTGATTGACAAACAAAACCAGAAAAACCAGCGCTGGTTAGTTTGATGATAGTTATAACCGAATTTTTCAGGAACCGTGTTCCGTAATAAGAAATCTTTCAGGAAACCGATGGAAACGGTTAATAAAACCATAACCAAGGTAAGCAACGGAATACACCCTAAATAACTACAGTTCTTACTGCTTCTGCGTATACGTAGAGGGCTCTGTCTCATTTCCGCTTCAAGACGCTTCTTGATAGCGTTCACATCCGGTTTAAAATACTGATCTGATTTTTTGTTGTTCAAGCTGTCCGGAAGTTGTGACAGTTGCGAAGAATGAAGCTGAAGAAGTAAGTTGTGCAACTCGTTCTCTAAAAGTTCTTTTTTGGATTTGGACTCGACAAGTTCTGCACGCAGATGTATAAGTTCAGCCTGTAAATTGTAAAAATAAGATTTAATTTATAATCTAGGAACATTCTGTACACAGTAATATAGAAAACGTTTTTATTTAAGTGTATTTTTATTCGAAAATCTAAAAATAAAATCGAACCAATCGGACTAATGCATTTTCGATGAATTGAGGAGGAAATATCAGAGCCCAAGCCATTAGCGATATCTATCAGAACATAGATTAAATTTGAAGCTGGTTTTTCCGTTTTTTACCACGCTATCTCTATAAATAAAACCTCGTGAAACGCGTTAAGAAGAACTTGTGAAATTGTAACGACAAATAAAATGCTTTCGGTTTCTTTTGGTGGGAAAATCAAAGATAAAAAACATCCTAATAGGAGACTGGAAGAAGTTATTATCTGTGAACAAATATTGAATGAAGCTCCGAAAGTGATAACGTAGGGCAGTTAATTCTAACTTAATAGTTCTAGGCTTTAAATAACATACAAGGTGTTCGAAAAATGCACGCCCAAAAATTTAAAGGGACGATTCCTCATAAAAAATTAGAGAATTTACTTTTTTATTTAATTTATAATAGAATTAAATAATAGAATTTAAATATAATATTTCTAGAAATATGGGTGCAGGAAAATCTATACTAATATATCAAATCCTTAAGTGACTGACATACTGATTAATGACGATCCTGCTCAAACCACTGTACCAACCAGTGTAAGAAGCTCAATTTTGGCATACAGGTTGATTCGAGGATTTAGAGGTTCGATAAGAAGGGATTTTTCGAAATTCCAGTTCCAAGAGGGTGAAACCACCCCTCAAATATTACAATATTTTTTTATTTAAAAAACGGTCAAGTTTCCGAAAAAACGCTTAAACACGTATATTTTATTTTGTTGTTTTACATATTTTAAGATTTTTTATAAATTTATACAGGGTGTTTCATAAAATATGGCCATTGAGTAATCATTATTCTGCTTAAACTGCTTGACGTTTAAAGCTGAACTCGCACTAATGGGCTACCCGGTAGATATTGTTGTTTCCAGTTCCTACAAACTTCTATAACAAGCCCAGCCAGGAGGACCCTGTACATTATTTTTTTCCTTATTCACGGTGTCCCATATAAGAATATACACTACTGGGACCTCGTAAAGCAAAAGAGATACAAAAAAAAATATTAAATTAGAGAAAAGTTACGTCTTGCTGAACCTTGATCTGCTATCTCTATCTCTAAAACTCTTTGAAATATCGAAAAATAGTCTGTCAGATTTACAGAGCAAAAATTGCCAGACCTTTGTCGGTCATCTTTTGAAAAATGCAAGATGGTAATGTTATTGCGAATTTTTTGCCAGAGAGAAAAATTTGATAGTTCCCAGACTCCCAAACCGATTAAAAGAATTTTAAGTGGTTCGCTTGTGTCTCATTTTTATTGCGCTGCTTTTTAGGATAATGTGTTTTGACGATGTATTTTTATGGAAAACATTTTTTTGTAGCGCGTCAATAACGTGATACAGAGTGTCCCATTTTCGTGGCTTTTTTTACAAAGATGCGGCTTTCACATTCACTGATAACTGATACTAAAGATGCTACACGTAGATTTGTCCTAACCTTCTTAGTTACTGAAATACAGAGCGAATTTTAAAATGTTGCATTTTTCGACCCTCTTCGTATCTTGGTTATCTTATAACTTATTGAAAAGGTAAAAAATGAGTCCCCTAGAGTTTTTAGCCGACCATACCAACAGGTATGTGTCTGTCCGTCTGTCTGTAACACGATAACTGAAAAACCGCCAAACCGATTTTAACCAAATTTGGCACAAAAATACTGTGGCACCCGAGAATCCGGCCATTAGTTTTTGGTGGGAGTGGGGGGTTGGTAAGGGGGTATGGGAGGGGGTTAAAAATGTTAAAAAATCGTAACTCCAAAATTACAGTAGCTAGCGAAACGCGGTTTTCAATTTAAGATTAGGAATAATATTTGCAACAAAATTTGTAATAACATCAAAATCAGTCAAAGTCGCAGTTTTTGGGATAATTGAAACTAAAAGAACTGCCTAGCAACTTTTTATTAACATATTTTAGTATGGGCGGCTATACGTGCCTCCCGACGCCAATTTTTTTACGCGGAATCCAGTGGCGTAATTGTAATTTTTTCGCTGGGGGTTGTCATTTTTGAAATTGGAATTGCTTAACATAGCCAAGGCAAATAAAATAAAAAAGATAATACACAAATTTACCCATTTAAAAAAAAATACTTTGTAACATATTTCAAGAATGACAGCTCTCAGCCAAAAACAAGTTACTCCACTGGATTCTACGTGGAAACCTCTACGGAACTTAGCTTTCACTTTTTCGATGATAAGTTATAAGATACCAATACAAGAAGCGTCGAAAAATGCAACAGTTTCAGGAACTAAGAAAAATCTGTGTGCAGCATTTTTAGTTTACTCATAACCGAGAAATCCTGTAAATGTAAAACACACGAAAATAGGACACTCTATACAGTGCAAGTCTAGAATTTGGATTTCAATAAACTACATTGGCGTTCCTTGAAGAAAGGCCTGGGTATTTCGCCAGAGGAAGTGAAATTTAAAGGATACACACAAATTGCAACATTTTTTATTTTGTAAAAAGACAGTGAATTTTATGACAAATACACTCAGCGCAAAAAAAATATTCAACATCGCATTTAAAAACCTACAACTTCAGGGTAAAAATATATTTTAATCACCCTGTATATCGATGAAACTATTTTTAAAATGTGCGTAAAATGTGTATCTTTACCAGCATATTTTGTAAAAAAGATTGGGCCAACAAAAACACTGGAAACACTTTCATATTATTTTATGTAAAACCACAAAGAAGTCGATGTTATAGAAAATATCGATATTTTCAAACGTCCCTAACAAGAGGTACAATAAAATTGACGTTAAAAATTACTAGGTACGACCTTTCTTTTGTTCGAAAATTGACTCATTACTTTCTACCTTCCTTTGAACCTTTGAAGTACCTACCACTCTACGCTGTATTTTTTTCAGATGGGACAGTCTGTGCTGTGGTACAACTTATTGGTACGTCCTCACGATATGTTATTAATCCTCGATCAGTCGGGACAGCCGTACTACTTCACTAGTCGTACCAGCACTTCATTTCGATACGCAAGTGATATGATAAGTAGCAACGATTGATTTTTCGTAGAAAAAATTGTTCTTTCGGGAATCACAAAGAAAAATATGAGATAAGAGATCGCGGAATTGTTTACTAAAAACCAAAAATTAACAAGAAATTCAGAGTGTGTTACAGATTAAGTCAATTTTATGTAAAATGTATAGTAAAACATTAATATTTTTATGTACTTTTTGTTGTAATGTTTTGTTAAGTTTGAGTTTACCTCAAGAAACGATACGGGTGAATAGTGATGTGGAGAATTTTCAAAATGCTGTTCAAAAACAGGTAAGTACATATATAGCATGTAATTATTATACAGGGCGGTTAAAATTAAATATGTTCACTAGATAGTTATTTTTGACTGAGATTATATATTTGGAAACACTTTGGTGTCAAAAGTTCTAGAGAAATTGTTTTTTTCATAAATGTTCTATATCTTTTTACTATTTAAATAAAATGTAAAATAAAACACTAATGAAAATTATTATTATTAAATTAAAAATACTATTTTTTATCATCTGCTGATGATGGTTCCAGTGCAAAAGTAAAAGCGTCTTCTTGTAGTTGAATTAGTGTTTTATTTTCCTGTTGTAACACCAAAGGTTCCAACCTTTAACTGTAATCCCCTAATATAATCGAAATCTTCGTTATTACTAATTTCCACCATGTATATCAATCACTCCGTCAAAATGAACTAGATTTCTGTTTATTCAAATTATACTTTATTTGTTTACGCCGTGTTTGTGTGTATAATATGCATTTAAATGTATTTGAACCTGATAATTTTGTTTGTTTAATAAATAAGATTAGTAGGAAAGATTTAACATATTTGTACTTATTCGTAATGCAAAGGACAATAATCGGCAGATAAGCAGGTACTTCTAACGTCTAGAGTACGACCGAGAATGTTGAATAGCTTTTGAAAGCTCTTTTGCATATATAAATTCTATTTATGTAAAAATATATAGCTGCAAAAAAATACAAAGTTTTCATTGCATCCTCTTATGATAGAAAATACAGGGTGTTCCGTTTGAAATAATGGAGATAAATTAACGTTTAATTTTGACTCATTCTGTATATATCAAACACAGCAAATTTTAATGGGTTGAGTTTTGAAGAAGACACTATTAGACGGTGCTTTCGGTTCAAAGTCTCAAAAATTTTCGACTTTACAACTTCGAGAAGAAAACCAAAAAACCTTGGATTTTCCAGGTTTTTTTTGTAATTGTATTTTTTTTAATTTCTAGACATTTAATTCTGTACTCTTCTCCATCGAAGAAAGACTAAGAAATCTAGACAACATCTACTCCATGCAACTCTCAGAAACTCTGAAAACTAAACTGGAACAATACCATAGAAAACTGGAAATTTTGGATAAGAAAATGATCCAGTTAGAATCCATGATTATGCTGAATCTGGACAAGATTTCGGAAAATATCAGTACAAAAAACTACAGAGATGACATTGTGAAAACACAGATTTACAGGAAATTGGATAATATGTACGATGGATTGAGCCACAGGATGTCTTATATGGATAAAAAGCACGATATGGCTTTGGATAAGTTACAGGTACCTGTTAAATTATCGACAATCCATATCGATATTTTTTTCAAATATCGATATTTCGATGTATCGATATTTTTGCCCATCTCTACTACAAAAACTTTTTTTTCAAACGTTACAAAAGTATTAATTTTTGCGAAGCGATTGACAATATAAAAAAGTCATTTCAACGCCTAGGCATAAAAATAAGCACTTTTACACCTAAGTACAAAAGTAAAAAAAATATATTATTAAACTGACAAGTGTCAAATTCAACGAGTTTACCCATTGTTCCATATGTCATTTCTTACAAGGTATGAATTTTTATATTATTTGCGACGTTTGAAATTGTTTAAAAGTACTATTTTTAGATCAAAGCCGATCGACAATCCCTATCGATATTTTAAAAAATGTCGATATTTTTACACATCACTAGTAAAAAAACATTTTTTTTTAGATTAAAACTGATACAGTGATGTCTCGTTTAGAAAAAATGGAGGACAGCATGAACCAAAAATATTCCGATATAGAAAACGAATTTTCTGATACCCAGATAATCATTGAAGAGCTGAAAACATCTCTAATCAGTACAGAAGAAAACTATCAAAATTTAACAAGCGGTATTTTACATGTAAGTAAAATAAATCTGTATTTTTTTAATTGAAACATTCTTTAATCATTGATTAAAATAAAATATTGTATTTCTTTGTAGAATACCATACAAAATGGTCTTGTAATAAACTCAATAAATGAGACGGTAAATGTTCTATCTCAGGAAGTTCACTATGTCATTTCACCAAAAGTGGAAAAAATTGAAAATAAAACAGAGAAAAACCTGGAGATTTCCTTGAACTCACAGACACTGCTTTATGCCATGAAATCTGAACTTAAAGAAGACTACAACAATTATGCTAACAAAGTAATTATAATTATACATACATTCCTCATAGAAGATACCCAAGATATACAAACGAGATGTAAACAGAAAAATGCTAGGTTGCCATTTATTTAATAAAAAAGTTTATAAATAAAGATCTTATATGATTAGTAACTACGCCAATGATGTTGACAAATCTTGAAAAAAGAATTATATTAAGTCTACAAATCAAACTGTATACATCTTTGTACCGTATGATCGAAAAAAACGGCGCCCAATGACGATCGATGACATTTCCCATATAAATTTACATATGAATTGACAGCGATCTTCATTTCATAGCCATCGCTGACGCCGTTTTTTCTCGATCATACGGTATAAATAAACAAACGGTTTGTTTGCATTTTCCTTGTATATGTTGGCCCAAAACAAATCAATCTATATTGTTTAGTCTATTTTTTATACATGTCTATAATAAATTCAATATGACATAAAACAAGAGACGTAAAAATGACATGCGTTCAAGGAAATAAGTAAATCTAGAGAAACATATATTTTTTAAGAATTATAATACATTTTAGGTGGCCGATATGAACATAGAAGCCTGGAAGAAGAACGACATAATAGATATCAAAATAGAAACAATAGAAAAAGGTATAAATCAAATTAAAACAGAAGTCCAAAATGGCGTTAGATCACTTATGCTTCAAATCGGGAAAACTGGTGGAAAGGAATCACTAAACAACGGTAAAAATTAAAAATAAAATTTCTCCAACAAAAATTAAGAATTTCTTTCAGAAAAATCTCTGGAATCTTTGAGGAAAAGCTTAAATTTAAGCATGGAGAAGATTTTGTCTAATCAGGGACTATTTTTGGAAAGTTGCCACAGAGTACAGATGGACGAATCGCAAATTGAATCAGAAATAAGTGTGATGCTTGAAAAATTGATTGATATGCTTGAAAAAAAGTACGTAATTATCAATTTAAAAAAAAAATATTAATACAATAACTAAAAACCTGTTTTTTTTTAAGAATGACGACAGTAATGAAAGACATAAAAACCCTAGAAAAATCCGTCAAAAATCACGATTCCAGAATTAACAGGAACATTTTACAGGCCAACACAAACGTGGTTTCTTTATACGAAAAAAACACCAAAAATAACGAATTGGTAGAACACGAATTAGAACGAGATTAAATTCTTTATAAACTCATTGTTTACTTTCGTTCAAGATGTCCTGCCTAAGAGCAAAGATGCTGAAAATGTAAGAAATATGTGTACAATTGTCAAAAAAAAAATAAGTAAAGATAGAACAGCTCTAAGGGGTGTCCCTTAGAGCCCCTCTATGTTTTCTTATTTCTCTGTGGTGATTATTAGGTCTAGGGCGTGTAACCTTGACATTTGAGTTGAATTTTTTGAAACGCTCACTTTAAAAATACCTATTATGTGCTATAACAAAGAAAATTTTAATTGAAATTATCAAAAGATTTAATTTTATTACCTATTTATTAATTAGTAATATTGAAAATAAACTCAAGGCTATACGGTAGCAACAGCATTATTTACATAAAAAAAATTAATTACACATTTTATTTTTCAGAATATTACAAATATTTCAGAACTGTTGTTTAACATTACCCAAAATTTGTACAATCTGAATTCAAATGCCATCAGTAATTGGAACGAATTAAAAACTAACTTTACAATATTTAAAAAATCCTTAGAAAACATGAAAAACATTCTTATAGACAGCAAAAACCAGAGTATATCTGTATTAAATCAAAACGATGATGTAAAGAATAATTGTACAGAAAATTATGGAAATTTAATTGATATAAGAGCTGGAAGTCCACTATGTCAGAACAATACAAATGAAAAGACTTCAACAGAAATACCAGATGATCTTAAGAATGTAGTATTAGAAATATTTGGTAGTCCAAAATCATTAAATTCAACAAATTCGAATATTAAGCCTGATAAACCCAAGACAAAAAAATCAAAAAATAGGTGCAAACCAAATCTGATTGGTTTGATAGATATCAGGGCTGATTCCAGCAGTGATAGTGATATTTTATGCAATAATACTCGAAAAAATAAAAGAACAAAGAAGAAAAAAGCTAAGTTATCTGTAAAATCAAGATTTAATGATGAAGATTCTGATGATGACTATGTTTTAGAAGATGATGAGCTTGAAACAAGTACAGAAATAACTACAGAAAGTACAACTAATGCAGATTTCAAAACAGAAACCACAACATTAACTAATTAAAGGAACTTTAATTACTAACGTCACAATTTACCAAAGACTATTTGATAATGTAATTTTTTTTATAAATAAACTGTCTTCAACTATATCTCTCTAAATATGGTATTTAATACCTCCACTTACCTCTAATTTTGCACTATTCTGAAAAATGGTTTGGGCCTTATGGGACAGCTGGGCAAAACATGATCCTAGAGTGCACAATTTCTGTCGGACATTAAAAACTATATTGGCCTCCTCCCCATCAATTTCTCCTACGATAATAACAAAAAGAATTCAAAGAAATTCCACGTATTAGTTAATGTAAATTATAAAACCGCAAAATTACAGAGATAAAGTTGTTTTAAGCAATGCCATCGGCAGATTTTATGTAGTAATATTACTTGACCTTACCCAGAGCTAAATCCAAATCCACAAAAGCTTTGTCGAACTCTTTCTCTAGAATATCAAGCCATCTAAAACCGACGCTAGCCATTTTTTTCTTAAATCACTTTAAGCATTTAATTTATAAAATAAAATTATCTTTATAACTTAATTTTTCCTTTGCTTTGATTTGACGTTTAAATATTTTAGCGACGACTGCGACCTCTGCGGATTAATAAGAGAGCATGTAATGTCAGATAGTATATGCAACCAAATATACACACATAGAATAGGTTGATAAAGTAGAAATTTGTATGGTGTGTTTTAAGTGGTTGATCTGTGGCTGACGTCTACTTGCTGCACTTGCTCAGTGAATGTTGCCAGATTGTATGTCTATTTAAATGTTAATCAAGCTCATAGAAATATTTCTAAAGCGTAAACCTAATAAACATTTATAAATGAGTAATTTATATATCTAATTCATGATGGCGCTACCTATACACAGTAAAAGCAGAAAACTGTAATCGCTTAGTTTTAAAACTTCCCGTATGGTGGCGGCATAATCGTTTAGACGATAGTTCCAAAAATTCTCACTAAAGAAGAATGGCGCTGTAATCAATTAAGCGCGTCAAAGGAAAAATTTGAATAGACGAGGTGTTTTTAGATAGATAAGGATAAGTAAATGCAAGATTTTCTTGTTTTTCTTAACTGAGTACTTGCACAATAGAATAAAATACCAAACTTACCAATTTTAGAAGTTGTTTAAGGCTTCTTGTTATCAAAACGTTTAGAAAAAAAATTGAGAGGCAACTTGTATTTGATCTGTCGACAATTGTTAAAAGTGACAAATGACAAGTATCAGATGTCAACTGTGGATGTCAACAATCAATATCAAAAATAAAAATATCTGGAGAAGTTAAACCAAAACAAACGTTAAAATGGGAATTGAAGACGATGATCCTTACGCTCAAGCGGCTGTTGGAAAATTAAAAATAAAAGGCGACAATGGAATCAAGAAAAAGAAAAAGAAGAAGGACAAGAAACATCTGGAGAAACAGGTATCGAAAGCTATGGAAAGCAACATCGAAACAACAGAACATGTCCAACCAGCCAGAGTCACCAAGACAAAAGCAGAGCTTGCTTTCTTAAAGCAGCAAGAAAAAATGGTAAGTATTTACCTAATAATTGTTCTGTAGGTCTTGTTTTTGATGGTGTATTGTTTGTAGCAAAGTCAAAGGATACTGGAAAAAGCTTCAATGACTCATAAGGAACGGGTAGAGAAATTCAATCAGCATTTGGACAACTTGACAGAACACTTTGATATACCTAAGGTATCCTGGACTAAATAATAAGGCTCTATTTTTAAGATACAAATATATATTACACAATAAAATCTCAGAAAACTATTTGGACTTTTTAGTTTTATCAATAAATTTATAAATCACATTATTTAAACACCTAGCAAAGTTTTCATAGGAAAACCCCGCCTCCAATCTTTTTCTTCCTTCGTTACCCATTTTCCGATAATCCTCTTTTGTTAACCTGTACATGAATTCTGCTAAACTATCTGCGGTGGGTTCACATAAGTATCCCGTTCTGCCGTGATCTACTGTTTCACGTGGGCCTCCGCTGTTCATTGCAATCACCGGCTTTGAAGCCAGCATAGCTTCCAAGGGCACAATACCAAAGTGCTCGTTTAATGGGGTATATAACAAAGCCGTACATGATGTAAGTAAATCTACTTTAAGTTTGTCTGAAGGTGACTTGATAAAAATAATTTTATCTTGAAGATTTTTCTGCTTCACTAGTTTTGATAGTTGATTAAATGTCTCTTCGTTAGTTTTGTTTATTGGATCATATCCTCCAGCTAGAACACAGTAAATCCTTTGCCATTCTGTGGGATTACAAATTTTCTTAAGCTTTTCCATTCCATAGATGGCAAATTCTAGTTTTTTAGCTGGATGAAATCTGTTTATAGACAAAAATACAATCGGATTAAAAGTAATTTCTGGTACAATTGTCCATATTGGTTTGATTTCTTTAATTCTCTTTACACTCTGCTGGAAAGAATATGCAACTGTGGGGTATAGGATTTTAATTGGTTTTTTGATTTGAGGAAAAGTCTGTTTAAACATACTGGCAGTATATTCACTATTAACAAGAATAATATCAGCTAAAGCGGTTGCTCTTAGTTCCAACCAGTCAATTGGTATGCGATACAGCCTTTTCAAAAGATTTCCTGGTGGTGAGGCTAATAAATCTGGGTGATGACAATAATAAACGACTTTTTGATTTGCTAATCTTAAAAACGGTACAGATATAGGTATAAGGTCTATAAAATACAAGTCTGGTTGATGCTGTTTTCTATATAACAGAAGATAAGCTACGGTGAGGTAAACCATGCGAATATAAGCACAGAGAGCTTGAAATCTTCCGAATATCTTTCTGGGTAACCAATCTCCATAGACTTCTACCGTAAATTCCTTGTTTTTGAGCTCCTCGAACGCGTGATCGGGGTCAAAATGATTAGTTAGAAAGATTACTTCATGTTTTTCCTTTTTTAAGACGCCGGCAACGTCTAATACCAATCTTTCGGCGCCTCCGATGCCCAGATCCGGGTGGATAAAGGCTATTTTCAGTCTTTTCTTTGATACCATTGTAAATTATCAAGTATTTGAGTTAAAAAGCCACGTTATAACATTTCTCAAATTATCTGTATTTTAAATTAAAAGCAAAGGGAGCAAAGGTTAGAAAAAATCTGACAAATACGTCAAAAAATATGAATGTTGCTAGACGTCCGCTAACCGGATGAATAAAATAAATTAATCATACGGTTATAGATTTCCATTTTCTTTAAATTTAAATAAAATTTATTTAATCAAGTCTCAAATCATAAAAAAAGAGCCAAGTGGCTTTAGCGTTGCTTGGATGTTTGTGAAGATGATCACTGAACGATGTGTTCTTTGCTCTTTGCTGCCTTTTTCTTTCTCCGACATAATAGCGGATTGGATTGTCCATATTATATTCGTCTAGAAAATTGTGCCATCTAGATAGGCTTACGTGAAAAGATGTTCTTTCGGCCCTACTATTCCAACTCCTAGGCCTTCACACGTTTCTTGAGCCGTCTGTATACCAGGTTGCCTCAGCTCGAATGGATACACCTTTTATCCAGTCTTCTGAGTCTTCCTTATATATTCCTGGTGTAGGTATAATTATGTCAAATTTGTTGTTAAAGCTATATATTGTTGTTAAAATACATGAAGTATCTTATGCATATACTCAATCACAATAAATCATTTATTTAATAAATAAATATAAAGATTTTATTATTTTTCAATTTTTTATAACCGCACGATTAATTTATTTTATTCGTCCGTTTAGCGAAGGACTAGCCACTTCCAATCCCTCCAATAGAGTAAGGTTAGAAAAAAATCTGGCAGATCTGTCAAGAAAACAATAACAAAAAGTATAAAAATTTAAGAGAATACAAAAGATTGTTTTTTTATATAAAATGGCATCGGCAAGTACAACATCAGCTCGATCGTTATTCTCCGATTCGAAAATACGTTTGGCCGACAGAATCCAAGTAAATGTGAATAACATTACTGCAGTAACAAGACAAATTACAAGAGGCTCGAAGAGTCAAGAGATTCTGATGCACTCGGCTCGGAATTTCGCGGCCCAAGAAGGACTGATCGAGAATTCCGAAAATAATTTGAAAAAACTACAACTACTATGCACGCATCTTAATGTTCAACAGGAGGCTCTGCAAAGACGAACCATGCAATTTGACCAAGTGAAGGAACAAGTACAAGCTATGCAAAGATGACTCCAGTCGTAACAAATTTAATGGTTTTGGTTGTGTAAGACTTGTTTGAATTTAGATCATTGTTATATCTTTCAGATCTTTTTTTCTCTGCTGAATGTAGATGGCATCACCAAGATACTGCTAATTTTCTGTCTTTTGAGCCTCGTGGGAGATACACTATGGACCAATCAACGATTGAAATAGTTGAGAAAACAGTGTCCCTAGGATAAGTGATTGGTACTCAAAAAAATTGTAATTATTAAATGTTATTAACATTTAGCTGTACAAAATCAACGATATCGGGAAGGATAAAGGGTTTACTATTAACTGAAACATTAGATTATACTTTTTATTGTCCATATCTTGTCTTTTCAATTATTTATTTGAAACATTGTCTTCGCAAATTGTTTATAATCTTTAATTTTGTCTCGTCACATACATCTAACTGATACTTTTTTTACACCTTCGAAACTATGTATATATATTTTTGAAATTCTTCTTAAAATTATTTTTTAGCTACCTATATAGATACAATAAATATCCTTTTTTATATAATATATGCATTAAAAATATACAGGGATATACATAATTGTTTTTATTTGTAAAACCTGTAGATAATATATAAAAAAGGACATATTTTTAAGCGTGATGGATAATAAAACATGTTCCAAACGAACTGTTATTATTTAGTAGTTTTTTTTACATTATATACGTTTGATTTTATTAAAATTATTAGTTAATAACTTAAATGAGCCGGGTTTAAATGTTATAAATAAATAAATTAATGTTAAAAATGACGGTAAACAGGTACATTTAACAATACGTCTAACGATACAATTATTTATACAAAATTAAAATTAATATGAATCGTTACTTTTGTTTAACGTAGAGGAAAGTAACCAATATGGAATAGTATAGATTTTTAATCTCTTTTCTCTCTGTTTTAGAGGTTTTTTCCTGTCTAAATGTGTTTAATAAAAAAATCTGATATACGTTTTGATTAGTTTGAAGTGTTTGGAAGGTCCATATTTGGGTACCTATCCATATTTAGGTGCCTTATGTTCAATTTGTTTTTGAGAAAAAAAATTATATTACTTTATATTAATATATAAATAAATAAATGTCAATAGTCCATGGGTATATTGATAAATAAGTTCTAAATTATAAGAAAATGCATTTTCTACGGAAACTTAAAGAGATAGGTAAAAAATGGTATAATATAATTTGATAGACAATTAAATTGTGCATCTGATTCTCGTAAAATATACAGGGTGTTCCATTTAAATTAAACAAGTTATTGCCGTTTGAAGCTGATAATTATTTAAAATAAATTTTTAGACACTCTGTATAAGGTAGTATTATTTTTATTATTGCAACACAATAACTGATCAGTAAATAAACTTCAGTAAATATTTAGTATTAAAAACTTTGATACCCTTGGAGAAATGAAGCCTTAAAATTTTTACTGCAATTTCACAAAATTGAAAATATTTCAAAAACGGTAAGGTTTAAGTATAATAAACCTTAATCAAATTTACCTTTATTTTAATCGTAGAAACTAAAAATGTAATAATATACAGGGTGTTCCATTTAAAAAAAATACAACTTTGATATTTTTTACTTATTTGGGACACTCTGTATCTTGTAAAATTATTTTTAAATTGTACCTCTAATAGTCCTTCATCGAACCCAAAACTTACAATTTGTAAAAATCTCATCGTACTCCGTGTCGTATGTGGTGAACAACCCTGTAAAAAACTAAATGGTATTACATATTTGGTTATTTTCCTCTAATAATTATGAATACAATTTAATTTTTTTCTTCTTAATAATATAACAATTTAATCACTAATTCAGTCACCGAGATATGTAGCTTTAAAATTAAAAATCGCAATTTTTAATGCTCTTCCCTTTCGAGTTGTCTCATTATTAAGCGCGGTCTAGAAGCAACGACTTGCTCGACACAAGCAAACCGTACGATAACTCGTTGCGTGTGGACCACGCTTTAAACATAGATAAAGGAAACAAGTCTAGATTGGGATTGGAATGCTCGGCTTGCCGCCAAAACTTATAACTGTTTTGGAGCGCATACGTTGTGGGGCGCTGCTATAGCGGTTCCTAAGAACAACCACCAAACAAGAACAGAAATAATTTTCTCTTGTCAAAGTAAGAATTTTTAAAAATTATAGAATCTCACAAAATTTAAAACGGTTCATTGAAAAAATACCGAAAAGTGTTTAAAGCGTCCATTTTCAAAGTAATTATTGCTATCTTGTGAGTTTAATTTAAATTTTATTTACTCAAACCCGTGATAATTGTGAAAAAGTGGCATTGAAAACTTAAAAAGCTGTGTGAACTGTGAACTGCAAAAACCATCGGCATCGTGGATCGTTTTATAACTTCGGTTTCCAATGTTTCATAGGTATTTCATAATGTAACACACTGTGTTTTATTTAAAAAATTAAAAGATAATAATAAAATTGAATAAATAATATTTGGCGACATAAATCCGGAAAAAAGCCGAACCGCTCCGAAATTATCAAAAGCTTTGGAGAGCGACCGTTGTAACAATAGCGCCAAACAGTATTTACATTGTCCTTATGGGTACTTTCCAATCTATAGTTGTTTTTTCTATCTATGGCGAAAAAATATAAATGTCGACGTTCAAAGTTATATATGTACGTCACTGTCAACTTACAGTACTGCCCTCTAAATGTCAAAAATAATGTCAAAAACGTCAAAAATGGGGAAAACTAAAAAGATTCTTAATAAATTTGAAACGTACACCACACTTAACATTTATTACAGCGATATAGGCTATCTTTAAAGAGTTCTCTCAATTTTTCACAAATAATGTACATTAAGCTCAATTATTGGACGTCGGATACATACATATTATTCTAGACCACTCTATATAATTTTTAATTCCTTAATTTAGGACTTTGGTTGCATATTCTTCAATTGGAGGCTTGGTAAATGAAAAAAAGAGATTTTAAGCAAGGCGTTTCTTAAATAAGTGCAAATATTTTAACCATAGATAACAAAAAAAAGTAAAAGGTGAAAACAAAAATTACAAGAATCTGTGTGCAGCATTTTTAGTTTTATAAAAATGGATATTTCTTTTACAGAGATCTACCAGATGTGAAAAAATATTTACACTTAATAAGTGTAATGTTAAATAATATCCTATAATATTTAACATTCACCCTATAGAATAAAAATAAAGAAAGATTTAAAAAAAATCGTTGAAATTAAACATAAACCGAATTGACTGTGCTGTATTTTTTTTGTTGTAAAAATATATTTCAAAAAAAGGTCTATAATTAAATAAAATTTAAAGCTTAAATTTACGAAAATTCGTATATTATTGTTTATCAAATGAATGATATTGCTGTCGAAGTGATATGTGTTAAATCATACTTAAGTCTAATTCAATACACCGCGTGATTTAATAAAAAAAAAACCGTCATAGTAACTGCCTACTAATTTTACTTCTTTTTAATGCTTAACAAAAAAAAATCACTGAAAATATTAAATTATTTCTAGGCATACTATGACGTAGTTTTAATTTCATCACGAAGTATTTTTGTACGTATTTTTATTATTTGAAAGAAAAAGTTAATATAACTTATTAGGATTTTTGGTTATAAATATTAATGCTTTATTTACACAAAACGTACTGTAGAATCGCGAAAATTAAATAACTTAACTTTCAGATTCGTTATTATCAGATAAGTCTTCTTTTAACCAGTTAGGAATCACCCTTATACCTATTTTTTTAAACAGCTTTACCAAAGCTGTATTGTAAGTTGAATAATATCTCTGAAGATATTTTAGTGACTTTTCTTCCATGGGAGGGTACTGTCTACCTTTGCTACGGCCCAAGCATTTGGTACTGTCCCCTTTTACCACCTGACAGTAGAATCCCTTTTTCTTATCAAATCTGAGACAAAGAAATTCATATCTATAGATATTAGCGGCTCAGAGTGATAAAAACGCTACTAAAACTCAGAGTAAAAGAAATAATAAAGATAATTTACCACATGGCAGTAGAATCACTGTTTATTACCAAATCTGAGAAAAAAATACATACCTATAGATATTAGCGGCTCAGAGTGGCAAAAATATTATATATAACTCAGAGTAAACATGCTATTTTTTTATATATTATACCATATATAAATTATATATTATATACTCGTTAAAGAATGAAAAAAACTCAAAAATGTATTGAATAATGTGTAAAATGTCGTACCTCAAGTGTTCTGTGTAGTTAAAAAATGGCGATATCTTCAGAAATTTTTGCAATTCGTTCATCACATCTATAGGACTGGATTTCAATTCCTCACCATCGATAATATGGATAGACTGGGCGGAAAAGTACGTCAGCCATCTTTCCAAATGTTGAGCGTACTTTCCAGGGTTCAGACACCTGTCAAAAAATGACAGCTCAAAATATAGGTAGAAAATCTTACTACTCTAAATTATTTAATTAATAATCTTCTAGTAACATTTTAATGAACAGTGCTTTCCATAAAATCGATAAAATGAAAAATATACGAAATAATATACATGTACTGATTAATTAATTACTACTGAAAATACCTGTTCCTAAGGTCTCTCAAAGGTTTCGGGGCAGTATCACTAGCTGTGATCACTTGGTGGAAGCTGTAATTATTAGTGACGATGTCACCGTGAGCTTTGGTATGTTGGTACCACGAATAAGCCCTCTTGGCTGGTGATATTAAGATTGTGATTATCTTCGCGCGAGGTAGTAAAGCGTGCACCCTTTTCGGTACTAACTCGCCGTCAAAATAAGTGGCGCTTTTCTCGAAATAGTACCGAGTCGATGTTGAATTGGTGTCACTGGGAAAAAAATTCATATACCTAAAAAATACAATAAATAAATAGATATATAATGAAAAAAAATTCTATAGTTCATATACTATGGGCTGGCAAAGGTTAATCTTGGGTCGATATTTCCGTATGTAAGAAGAAGAGTATAGTCTGTAAAACGAATAACTTTGAATTTGACAGTTCCCGCGGGCTTTTCTAGTGTTAATTTTATTAGGTTAGCAACTTGCGGCCATGCTGACGCAATGCCGTCTCTAATAGAACAGCCTCAGAGCGAGATTTATGACGTCACGCTAGTTAGATACTACGGATTAATAAATATGTTGTAGAATACATGGAAAACATTATTATTCCTCGTATTTTTGGTGTGTATTTTAAAAATGATATAGTCTATATGAAATATACATAATATACAGTTAATAAATACAATATATATACCTATTTATAGTAATAAATACTTTGGCAGATAAACTATGAACCATACAAATGCAGCAAATGTTTTACAATATGGCTGAAATCGTACCCCATAGTCAATGTAGATAGTTTTTGTGTTAAGAATAATAATTTAAAAAAATATGTGGTCATCATTTGACAAGTTTATGTTAGTTTATTAATTGCAGTAAACATTATACTATATGTACTATATAAATAAATTTTGTGAATGCAAATAATAATACATCACTATTAGTAGATATTGAATGTTTTTTGTTAAATTAGATCGATTTTCAAACCCCAAAATTTAAAATATACTTTACATTTTACCCATTATCTTATGTACTACCTATTCATTATTTGTCTATTGTAAAACATTTGCTGCATTTGTATGGTTCATCGTTTTATTTGCCAAAGTATTTATTACAATAAATAGGTATATATTATATTGTATTTATTAACTGTGTATTATGTATATTTCATGTAAACTATATCATTTTTAAAATACAAACCAAAAATATGAGGAATAATTATGTTTTGCATGTATTCTACAACATATCTATTAATCCGTAGTATCTAACTAGCGTGACGTGATAAATCTCGCTCCGTGGCTGTTCTATTAGAGACGACATTGGTCTAATATTTAGAAATGTCAAAAGCTGATGACAATTTACTTTTGTCAATTATGACATTTCGTGTTGATTTTTGCAAGAAGAGGAAGAACTGTCACTTGTTTTATTATTTTCCTTTTCTATTTCACGAAAGTAAAAAGAGTTACCTATCTGATTCGTTCAGGCACTCAATTTAAAGAATATCAGTAACTTTTTTGATAGAGGGATTTTATATTTGCCATGTTGGTAAAAAATAACGGTCAAAATTCAAAGTTATTCATTTTATAGACTATACAATGCGTTTATAATGTACTGAACAAAGAGGGAACAGTAAAAACGTTGCCAAACGTATGAAATAAACCGAGAAACTGTGCACATTGCTACGGGACGTGGAAGGGGTTATAGCAGATTCGTCGCGGTCGACCGGTTGTCCCAATCAGTACTTAAAATTCTAGGAAAGGGCGTACATCATGCGTTCAGCTTCACGATTTAATTACGTCTCGTGATACTTTAATTGTTTATTTATGAACGAGTCGTAATTTTCCCTATAGCTTGTAATTTTTAAGCACTTTTGGTAAAAACAAGTGGAAGTGAGATGGTGTTTGACAGTGGTCGCGCTATTAGAATTCTGAATTGAAAATCGAAATATCTCGAAATCCATTAGAAACAATTGATTGTAGTTTTTTTCAAAAACTTTCTTAATATTTCTGCTGTATTTTCTTGGCAACCCAAGTAGCAAAAAGAAATTCTAAAAGGATTGAATTATTTTATAACAGTCGAATAGCGTGGTCTTAAGGACTGCTTGATTTTATTAAGCTTTTGGTTTCGACCATTCTGTTTTTTAATAAAAGTTGTTATATTAAACTATTTTGTAGTGGTTTTTACAACGTATCCTATAACGCATTAAACGATAATTTCTTTTAGTATGATATAACACTTAATAAGACAATGCTATATGATAACAAACATATTATTTTATTAGACTCTTATACCCACCATGTAAGAGTTCTATAATATATATATATATATACCGCTCACTCGTCGGGCACGCATGAAATGCATTGCGTGCACGAATCCATGAAAATCTGATCACGTTTGTTAGTTTAAATACTAATCAAATGAGATTTGGCAACATCTATTTGTCACAAACCTCAATATGTCCAAAATAGTTCTATAGTGCCTGGAAATTCTGCGTAATGATAGATATTTATCCTATACCGATTTATTTTACAACAAAGACTTATTTAAGGGATTCAATTATAATAAAATGGTTGCATTATAATTCGCCATGTTTAAGGCAGAATTTTTGTATGGCCTATGGCCGCCATTATATGAAGCAAAACCAAAAACATCAAAATAAATTGTAAAATGTTATTTTTGAAAATTATTTTGTGATAAGATTCCCACATACAGTAATAAAGTGTTTAATTAAATTAAAAACGAGAATTTTTGAAAATGTTATTTTATTTTATTGTTTAAATTTATATGTAAACCTTAATCGCAATTAAAGCGCTTTAATTTTTTGCCAAATACATACCTATAATCTAGCAGTAAAATTTTCGGCGCAACAAAAATTGTCCCTTCTTTTCAAACCCTATTAATGATTTTTTATATTACATATTTGTTGTACCTTCTGGCTCTACCCGCCATTTTCATTGTCGAGTAAAGTCTCCTTTTTAACAATCCACATCCTCTAGATTCATTTTACGACACGCTTAAAATATAATTTGCTCCTAATTTTCTTCGGTAAAAAATAAAATACTCTTGTACCTCGCTAAATGATCAAACGTTTTTATTCTTCTGTTTCTTAGATGTGACCACGTAATACACAATAAAACTAGTTTTATAATAGTCATATAACGCTGTGTAAAATAGTTGCATAAGAGTTGTATACCCTTTTTATAGAACTTCTATACTACTAAACGGTTGTATAAAAATGGGCCTTTTTTGGTTGTAAAGCTATCATATTACGGTCATATAGCACGTTATATGAATTGAGGTATCCTATAAAAATTATCACATAGCTGTTTATACAGCCTTTATAAAATAAAATTTGCTACTTGGGAAGCAGTATGTGAAAGTCTTTATAAATAAAAAAGTTACATGATTGCCGAAAATTGCTATACACTAAAAGTAAATGGATGGGGTTTTAAAAATTTTGAATGGAAAAAAAAACAAGCCTATCCAATTTTTCGTATTTGAACGTCATTTGAATATATATCATTTGTCACTAAAATTATAACCACTGTACCAACTTATTTCTTTGTAAAATAAAATAAACTGCTTTCAAATTAAAATGACAGACTATTCTTGGGAAAAAAACAATTTTGGTTTTTCATAAAATGTTTTTTACACGTAAAAAACTAGTTTTTCACATTAAAAATAATCTCGACTTACCAATCTAAGCCTCTCAAATAATTGTTTCCGTTAAAAAACTGAATTTCCTCGAAAGTAGTGGGGCTGGCCAGATTCTTAGCTATGGCAGGATGCAGCGCTAAAAAAGTATACAGTGCCGTAGTTCCGGTTTTTTGAGGCCCGATAACTAAAAACCTCGGTAATGAATCGCACGATTTATTTTTCGACCATATTTTCTGATGTCTTTGTGTATCGCAAGGATTCTAAAAAAATATATATTAAAAATAAATAGAATATTTAAAAAAATAATAAATTTTTACCCCCCACACTGGATCTGATTCGCCAGGATACAGTTTAAAATAATTTTCAGCCAATTGCAATGGAGGCGCTGACGTAAGTCTGATGTTAGTCCAACACTGTATAAATTTAATGACAGATTCGAAAGTATACAGTCCTAACCTGTCGTTTCCATAATTTGACATGTGCGTCATAAATATATTTATCTGTAAAAATGTTTTTGTTAAAGAGAGACTTAAAAAAAATGAATCGGAATATAAGTTATCTTTTATACGTCAAAAAACTTACAGGGTTATATACAATAGTTTGGAACAACTCTCCACCTTGTATGGATTCGTCAAGTTTCTCTCTACCACCCGGATACCTATCAATTAACATGGTGTGCGTGAACAAACCGCAGGTTTGTCTAGGCAAAACCATTATGTTTCTGTGGATGAAACCTCTTCTTAACCTAAAAGAATGTTATGACAGAAACATACCAGACATGTAGAACATATTTTAAATTGTCAAATTTTTCTTAAGCTATTAAAATTAAATGATTTTTTACCTTGCTGGCCTCAAATTTGGATACTCCTCAGTAGCTGTCACCCGAATATTCCACACTTTCTTCCAAGCTATATACAACAGTTCGTGCACTGGATAAACGCCAGAATGATGCGGTGATATTGAATAGCCAGAATCACTTGGTATACCTTGAAGATAGATTTTTAATTTTATTATAAATCAAAAAACTTAAAAATAACAATCCTACCATATTGTTTGGCAAAATTCTTGTTCAAAATCATATCTTCCATCAAGAGAGTTAAGTTATCATAGAGATGCGGCTGTTGATGGTTCCACATGTGAGAGAACCACATGAATTTATCCACGTTTCCCAGAATCATGTCGTCCCCTTTGTCTTCTTCAGAGTTTCCATGGTGGAAGTATTTTCCGGAAAAACCGAGGTTGAATTTGAAATTGGGCACCATACTTGACAAACTTAACGAGAAAAAAAGAAACGCTTAAAACATTTTAGAATAATTTTACATATAAAATGACAGCAATCTTTATTTCATAGACATCGCTGACGCCTTTTTTTCTATGATATTGTATTATTTGCAAATATAATTTTTTGAACACTGATACTTGCAAAATATACATATAAATTTTGTGGATGCAAACAATAATACATCACTATTAGTAGCTATTGAATGTTTTTTGTTAAATTAGATCGATTTTCAAACACCAAAATTTAAAATATATTTTACATTTTACCCATTATCTTATGTACCTATTCATTATTTGTATATTGTAAAACATTTGCTGCATTTGTATGGTTCATAGTTTATTTGCCAAAGTATTTATTACTATAAATAGGTATATATATATTGTATTTATTAACTGTATATTATGTATATTACATATAAACTATATCATTTTTAAAATACAAACCAAAAATACGAGGAATAATTATGTTTTCCATGTATTCTACAACATATTTATTAATCCGTAGTATCTAACTAGCGTGACGTCATAAATCTCTTTCCGAGGCTGTTCTATTAGAGACGGCATTGGTCTGATATTTAGAAATGTCAAAAGCTGATGACATTTTACTTTGGACAATTATGACATTTCCTGTTGATTTTTGCAAGAAGAGGAAGAACTGTCACTTGTTTTATTATTTTCCTTTTCTATTTCACGAAAGTAAAAAGAGTTACCTATCTGATTCGTTCAGGCACTCAATTTAAAGAATATCAGTAACTTTTTTGACAGAGGGATTTTATATTTGCCATGTTAGTAAAAAATAACGGTTAAAATTCAAAGTTATTCATTTTATAGACTATATTTCATATATAATGATGACGTAACGATGAACGATGGCTGAGCAGACTGTATATCAATATATGTATAGTATTATAATACTATTCTTTCTGTTGATTAATGCGTTAGATATTCGATAAGAACTAAAGGCACATTTTCATTACCACTTTTTTCCAGTTATGTTTCTTTTATACATACTGGGTGTCCCACTTAAGATGGATACAAACCAATATCTTGGTTGTTTGTTGAGCGATCTTTTTCATTTTTGGCAGGAGGCTGTATGGCTATAAGACGTACATTTTGCCCAGGGTAAGAAATGCGATACCTCATAGACGTACGTTTTAATGGGGTTTAATATTTTTCGAGTCAAGAGTAAACTACCCTTAGGACAGTATTTATTTCAAACCTGATAAATTATATTGAATCCTCCTTACCTAAGATACTTAAGTTCTAATTTTGATAAATATTGATACAGGGTGTGTCATTAAAATAAGACGTTTTTATTTTTATTATTATCTTTTTTAAGTACTTACGACGCCACTGGATAAACAACTGGCTTATTATCAATAACCAATTATATCCAATTTTCAACTAATAATCGATGGTGGTTTGGTCGAAGATACTTGACTTGACTTGTTGACTTTTAGTTCGTTATAGTTTTATAAATCTTTGTTTAGAGCATATTTTTCAAAGTTAATAGTGATTGTTTTAAATAACTATTTGGATTTTTTAAAATATTCCTCAATAAAACGAATAAAAATTATATTTCAGATTCCATTGAAAACTGGCTGTTTAAATTATTTTGTAACTCATTTTATTCATTTGTATTAGCAAACTTAAAAAAAAACAAGTTTTTAAAGTAAACAAAATAAATTGAAAATATTTAGTTTTTTGGTATCGTATCTTAATTATGGAAGCTATCTGAAAACTTAAATCGATTATTAATTGATAATTGGTTATAATTGGTTATTGATAATAAAACAGTTGTTTATCCAGTGGCGTCGTAAGTACTTAAAAAAATACGTCTATGAGGTATCGCATTTCTTACACTGGGCAAAATGTACGTCTTATAGCCATACAGTCTCCTGCCAAAAATGAAAAAGATCGCTCAACAAACAACCAAGATATTGCCTTGCATCCATCTTAAGTGGGACACCCTGTATATGTAATATATTATGCTTCTTTTGGAATTTAAATTACACTGTATAAACTTTTTAGGCTAAGTAAGGTATAGTCTGTCCAACGAGAAGATCCTTGACAGTGATAGATGTGTCTGTCATTTTAATTTCAAAGTAGTTTATTTTATTTTACAAAGAAATAAGTTGGTACAACTGGAACGCATAGCAGGAAATATTTAAAATTTGATTGACAAGATGACAAGTGATTACTTCAAAATATTGTGAAAAAAACTGTATAAAACTGAAAAAATGTAATCGAGTTATTTTATTTAATAAAACGGTATGTGTTAATACAAAACAAACAAGAACAAGACACTACATACCAAAAAAATATAAAAAAGAACTATTATTTACTTTCAAGCTTTATGAAACTACCCGCATTTATGATTATATTTATCAATATAACTTATTATGTACAAATACAAATTTGTAATATTCCACAGGAATAAATAAAACAACATAGGTAAATAAAACAAACTATTAAGTGTTATTAATAATAACACCTACCAAATTTTATACCTTAAAGGTTGATTAATTAACTTTAATCTTAATTTTTTTAAACCAGTACCTTTTGACATTATTTTTCTGCAGTACTAAAATCCATTATTTACCTATTGTGTGATGTCGATATTTTACAGCTACTCCAGTTTTTAGTATGTGTTTAGTTTGATCCTTCTACCATATACGAGATGCACTTATCTACGACGAAATGGTATACAAACTTTATAGATGGCAACTTCATTGGTGTATAAGACTTTCTGCCTGGGCAGCGAGTATTAACCATAAACTGTGCTCTGGGTCTACAGTTAATTTTCACTCGATTTTTCCTCCACTTGACTTCAAAGACACAAAACACGCGTAATAATACGAATCAAAATGCATCATCTTCCAAAACGCAGGGTATTTAACAAAAGTTGACACAAAATTATAACCTATAATTTGGCAAGACTTTGACAAACGTCAAAAATGACAAAAATCTAAAGGCGAGTTCATACGCATCGGCGTCCGTTTGTCGTTCATCGTTCCGTCAAACCAATAAAATTGAAATACGATCTGTCATTTTTTAAATAAACCAATAAAACTGGTTAAAAACAACAAGACACGACGCATGACGGATTTATATTTAAACCCATCCATAGATAACTTAAAAATGATTAGAAACTTTTTTTAGTAAAATAAATAGATTGGTATGGGACGTCATCTGCTTTTCTTCTGTCATTGTCTGTCGAAATCTTACCTGAGAAAAAAAACAGACTATACTTACCGAGTTTGAGTACTTATTAAAGCTTGCACATCCTCAGGTTTGAGCCTAGTTCCGATATCCCCAACGAAAATATCGTCAATATCCACCAAAATCGATCTGTCCAGAGACAAACTCAGCTGTCCGTGACTAAGATAGCTTAAACTATCCAAGAACAATAACCTGTGCAGCCAAAACTTCAATCCAGAGCCAAAAATAACCCTGTGAATGTCATCATACAGCCCGTGGTCTTGAATAACTGTTGGTAGAGGAGTCCTTATGCCGCTCTCATTGATCTGGAAGTAATCGTTCCTATAAGCCCACTCCAGAGGCTCATAAGTACTGTGATTGGCCTGAAAAACCACCCAATCGTTTCCTGGTAATTCACCCCAGGCAGTCTCACCAGCTCTGGTGAGTCTCAAGATCTGTGAAGTTGGATTTAAGGAGGCGTCTTTAAGTTTCAAGTTCGTGTGAATGAATAACGGGAAACCTTTGAGCTGGGAACCGACATAGGTCTCTTCTTCTGCAGGCACGAAACCTATAATCCCCACGGAATACTCTCTACAGTACTTGTCGAGTAGTTCCCTGTTCCAGTTATCCATCTGCAAGTATTTGTTGTAGTTTTCGAAAACTATGACGCCGTATCGGCCTTTGTCCAGGGTGGTTAGAACAGGAAGACTTTTCCCTGTGACCTCGACTTTGTATTTTATCCTGGTGTGGACTAGGAGTTCGGCAATGTCTTTTCCTAAATTTAGAATACTTTCGACAAATACTAATACTTTGGGGTAGCTTTTCAAGCGGGCGTCCGTTTTGTGGTCGTGATTCTGTAAAAGTCTCGGACCGTTGAGGTTTCCACATTTTATATTCGGTTCTGGACGAGTATTGGTCCTGATAAACCTGGAAAATAATAACGCAACATTAAATTACTTCATATAAGTGAAGGTGAACTAAATAAAGATCTTTACAATCTGCAACTTTCTGTTTTTTTAATCAAGATTAAGGCTGGACAGAAAGAGTAAAACTGTTTTAGTCAAAATTTGTGCGTATTTGTGCGATTTCAAATTTTGATGCAAAATCCGGCAATACCGCAGAGAAGAAATGTATCAATCCAACTTTTATTATCTCTTTCCAATACATCTTATTTTTCATTTAGCTATCTACATTACTGTCTTACACGTTAAAATACAAACCACACAGTTTCGAAGACCAGATCGATATAGTTCCTTTAGAGTCAATATTCAAAAATAAGTTGATTGAGAAAATTAAATAAAATTCTACAAAACAAATAAATTCTAGGCGTTAACGTAATGTAAAACTATCATATTACATCATACTATAAAACATCAATAAATAATGTAACGCGTATAATATGTAATAATAAATATCAATTAACATACAATGGGACGATTTGCAGATCATATTCAGTTAAAGTACAAATTTAAATTATTGCTGTCTTTCATGCGTGTGATACGTTTTACAATTTTTCAGATACGATTCATAAAATCATAGATAAAAGAAAATAATCTTCTATTAAGATAGATATGAAACTTAATAGTAAAATTTTGGGTCAAAGCGCCCCTCCGTGTTCTTAGTAGAGACTACGTTTAACCCAGCGCCTTCGCCTTTTCTGCTGTAAATATTTTTATGTTTATATTTGATTTCAAAGGATTTAGTTTTAAAGTTATACTGATATATTAGTATATCAGAGTAACTTTAATAAAACATAAGAATATATATATATTTTACAGTTTATTAAATATAAATTTTGACTACAAGGTAGAAAGTAAATCACAATATTTGATGAAACTTATAAGTATACCATTTTTACAGTTAATAAATAATAAAACTATTTCTGACTATGATGTTTAAAATTTAGATAGATAGAATATTAAAAAACATACCGGTATTTGCAGACGCAGGCCCAAATTCAATAAAAACCAAAATTGTTCCTGCGAAAATCGGGCTTTTTTCACAGAAAAGGTATTTTTGATTTATCAACAATCATTGTCAAGTTGACAATATACAGGGTGTTTTCTAATTAGTCTAAAAAATTGTGGTGTGATTCCTCATGTGTTCTTAAAACAATTTTTATATAACCATTAGGTCTAAAGTAGTTCCTTTCTGATCTACAGGGTGTTAAAAATTAAAAAAAAATCGATATTTTGCTTAAAATAAATTGTACACTACTGCTTTTTTAAAGAAAATATATTTTTTTCTTGACTGGCCATCCTTTTTCAACAAAATTGATCTTTTGATTTTTTCTTGTTCATCAAACGGTTGCCGAGAAAAAAATAAATATACTTATTAAGAGCCCGCCTTAATCCGTTTTCTAACGATTTTTTATTTTTTAGATCAATTAGGAAACACCCTGTATATGCATATCACAGGCAACCAAATAAACTAGTAACCTCTAAAAATTATTTTTCCTACCGCTAGTGACCTACCGTGTTTTTAGTGAGTACTAAATTATTTTATCAAAATTTCACCATATAAGTTTCCAGGCAATGCATAAAATATAAAATCTGACTGGAAATAGGGATGTGCAAAAATATCGATTCATCAAAAAATTATCGATATGTTAAAATATCCCCATTTTTTTACTATCGATATATTAAAATATCGATTAAATTTAGTGTTTTTAATTTTTGTTGCCTGATCCGGCAAAAACAATAATTGTATTCGTCAATCAATCCTAATTTACGTCATATACTAACATACCAAATCTCATTTTTTTATCTGAAAAAAATTTTTGTTACCTAAATTTTAGGGTTTCTGCACTAAAGTCATTCAAAAGAATCAAATAGCTTCAGTTCATAAATTTTGTAGAAGTCTAACTGATTAAGTTTGAAGAAAAAATCTGAGTAACTTAAACACATATTTTTCATACAAAATAAACCACTATACTGGTTTTCATACAAAATAAACCACAAACTGTATATTTGAAATTTTTTTATAGTTATTTTATTCTAATTTATTTTATTTTCTTGATGACACAGACATAGCTTTATTTAGTATTTCTTTCAAGATATTCCAAAAAGGGGAATTTTGGGATTTAGAATTGAACTGAACTATTGAATGGATATTATCAGAAATTGTATTAAATATAGGTCAGCCAGTTCACTAATCTATATAGGAAACCGATAAAATGTATCGAAATGACGAGAAAATAAATATGGAATTGAATCTTTTGATGTGTATACGGCGTGATAGATTTTCTATTAGATAGGAAGTAGTTTTTTTTAATAAAAAAAAAGATTGTGTGTAACATATTATTATAACGAAACTTTAATTCCATAGTTTAATTCTATATAAAGGAATTTGTGATAAGATTTTTTTTATTTTTAAAAAAATTTCAGGATTTTTTCAACAAACAAATTTTAAGGAAGTCTGCTATTAAATGTTTTAACATCCTGTAGCTTTAAAACTAAGCATTTTTCCAGACCCATGTTGAGAGGAGCTTTTTTCCAGATTTTTTTGTTAAGGAATCAATTTTCATACCCTGAAATTTGACTGAAACATCCTGTATAACATAGATGATATTAAAAAAAATATAGTACAATAACATAATGTATAATATATAGTAGTTTATGTTTTGGTCGATAAATTTGTTAACTGCGGCATATCATTTACGTCATTTAATTTGCAAAGTTAAAGAAAATTTATTACAGATTTTGTTTAAAATGTTATCCAAACGTTTTAGAATCGGTTTTAGTATAATTAACAGGCGGAAAAATAATGTTTTTATTTTTTATCTTGAAAACGAAAGAGATAGACTAATGAAATTTTATGGAAGCATTACTGTTATGAAAACACACTTTCAGGTAATTTTTTACTTTTTAAAATGAGTGGAAGGGGTTGAAATAAATTACCTATCATTCTTGTTAACGAAATTTAAAGAAAATCTTATCAAACACATGCAAATGCTTTAATTTGGATAGTTTGGTTTGTTTAGAAACTTTTTACCTCTTGTGTTTTTGATAAACTCACCATTTGGAAATTAAAAATAAAATGTAAAGCATTACATGTCAGGACAAAAAACATTTTTAGATTAAGAATCTAGTGATAATAACGATAATAATAATCATCTAGATAATAATGTATTGCAGTAGAGTAATGCCAAATAAAATAATATTAGGAACATCCTAAAAGTAACAGCGGCCGACTAGATTTTTTCTAAAAAATTACAGCAGCCCACTAGATTCTTTCTCAGAAAATGTTTTTGTCCCGACATGTAATGCTTTACATTTTATTTTTTAATTTCAAAGCGGTGAGTTTTATCAAAAAAATACAAGAGATAAAAAAGTTTCTAAACAAACTAAACTATCCAAATTAGTTTTTTTGCATGTGTTTGATAAGATTTTTCTTTAAATTTCGTTAACAAGAATGATAGGGGTAGTTTATTTCAACCCCTTCCACTTATTTTAAAAAAGTGAAAAAATTACCAGAAAGTGTGTTTTCATAACAGTAATGCTTCCAAAAAATTTCATTAGTCTATCTCTTTTCGTTTTCGAGATAAAAAATAAAAACATTATTTTTCCGCCATCTTTGTACCGCGATATCTCCCTAATGGTTGACTTTTGACCCAACGTTTATGAAGCAAACTACTCTTTATTTTGAACAAGGAATCAGCCCCTGAAGTTTTTCGCATTTGTTTTGAAACACCCTGTATAGTAGTTTATGTTTTGGTCGATAAATTTGTTAACTGCGGCATATCATTTACGTCATTTAATTTGCAAAGTTAAAGAAAATTTATTACAGATTTTGTTTAAAATGTTATCCAAACGTTTTAGAATCGGTTTTAGTATAATTAACAGGCAACAAATGTCAAAATTTGACATACGAAATGTCATTCTATTCAGTGTCATTTTCTATTGAATAAAGTAGAAATATACCGAGGGTGCCATTTAAAATTCAAAAGTTGTAGTCATTTCCGGTGAAACAGGAAGTGGCCAAAAACAATTGGATCCATCAATCAATCCTAGTTTATGTCATATACTAACATACCAAATCTCGTTTTTTTATCTGGAAAACAAATAGGGGTGAGCAACTTTTGAGGCGCACCCGGTATACATAAAGTTTAATTTAAAATAACGAAGATATGAGCAACATCTTGAACAAACGAAATAAACATATAAGGAAATGGAAGAGTCACAAAGTTGCAACAAGACCACCTGGACATTTTCGGGTGGTGGTTATTTTTTTTTTAATTTGAAGTAAATCATTCAAGAATCACGGTACTTTTTTTAGATACTATTACTTTTCGAATGAAGTTAAGCTGAAAATAATTAATAAAAAAATCAGAATTTTCAATAAAATCCTTTCATCGATTCTCCATGAACGATTAACCTACTACCCTTTGACTGTAAATCACCCTGTATAAACATCTCAGATGTAGAATAGTAATGTAAATAGTTAAATAAAACTCTTATCTCGTTCCATATGTCTTTTTTCCAACGCAAACAGCACAGCGTGCGACTGCAAGCAAATTAAAATTTATATCTTTATTTAGATTAACGTAAATATGGACTTAACATTGGGAAACTGCCAACAATTCGAAAATATTTAACAATTCCAGGCACATCTGTCCGTTCATACGGAATGCAGACTAATGAATTACACCAACAACATATTATACTGAATATATTTACCAGAGAAAAACATTTTTTTAGAATTCAAAAAGGAAAAAAAATAAATTTTTCTTTCTGATAATAAGGAAAAAATAGAAAAATAAAAGGCGGAGGACCTTCCTATTAAAATTAAGAGCTCACACTTGCAGAGAATTTTTTTGATGTGTCTACCAACCTTTTTTCCAGAGTATAAAATGAAAAAAAAATTGTCGATTTGTCGAAATTTAAAAGAAAATATGAAATAAATCATATTCACACATAGGTCGACACATTAAATATTTACAGCATAAAATTATACGGAATTAAAAACAAATCAGGGAGATTCTTATCAATATGAATCTATTTGATTACCGTTGATTAAATATGACATATACGAAAAAGTCGTTTGACATGCGTGATAAAATCTAAGCATTATTTGTAAAAGGATTAACTACGGATGCATGATTGTTTTTTTAATTATTCTCCTTAATTATTACAATCGTTGTTTTTCAATGAGTGAAATAGCTGTATTTTTCTGTCGGTTTGAATTTAAATTGTTATTATTTATTGGATTTGAGCATCAATGGAATGTATAAGTGCCATACATGAAATAAGAGTCTAGAATTTATTATTATAATTTATTCATATTGGACATGAGTATTTTTTTAAATATTCATGCATATTTCAAAGCGCCAATAAGCTTTCGACTTTTTTGACGGTTTTTTTAAGTTTTGATGTAAAAAATTGATAAAAAAATGGAAGAAATTTTTTTTAAACAACCTGAATATTACTTTCTTTTAGATGGAGAATTAAAAAATGAACATTATTTGTATTTAAGGTATTTCAAAATTTTTACCGGTTTCACAGATATTTATGGTATTGTATTATACCATTATATGATAAAAAAAACGCGTCCAGTTGGCTAAGAAATGACGATCGATGACATTCGCCATATAATTTTCCATATAAAATGACAGCGATCTTCATTTCATAGCCATTGCTGATGCGTTTTTTTTCAATTGTATTGTATATGGCTTTTTCAACAGCAAATTTTTATCAAAGCCACCTAATGATTTTAGCCTTTGTACCTATTTTACTGTTGAGGGAGCCATATTCATTATAGTGTATAAATAAAACATGACAAAAATAATACAATCACTTACTTGGTTAAATATGGAGTCCTAGTCTGCCTTAAGTAGAATATAATTAAGATAATACTAAAGAACACTATGGCAAATACACATTTCCTTAAAGTAGCTGGCCCAAGGACCCATCTCACTCCTCTACGAACACCCCGTCTCACTCCTTGTGTATGGAAGGCCCCCAAAAGAGGTCTGGCATCCTCCAACATGATTTTTCACCCTTTTTTGGACAATACAATACTACTTTTTTCCTTAGATAACTTTGGTTAGCACTAATCTAAATTCTTATGGCTTAAAATTATGGCACTCTCAAGTTTGGAATGTAATTTTGATAACTGGAGAACAAAATTTATGTTTTAAAGTTTTGAATATTATTTGGATCTTGCCACTGTTCTCCATTTACTATGTTTCCAAATTTCTAAGTCACAAGACAGCACTATCTTTCGCATTTTTTTCTGGGCCTCCAAAAGGGTTATTTTTCGAGCTTTTTTGCACATATCTGCATGTTAAAGACATCCCTTAACAAGCTCAGTTTTCTAGAAAAAAAATGCAAGTAGTAATAACATAAAAGATAATTTATGATGTTAAATAATAGGGACAACTGTAATATCTAAACTACTAGATTATCAGACGCGCTAAAACTGGGACAAGCTAGATAATATGTAACTATTGTTTATTTACATAGGGCATACCTAAAATTTTACAATCCAAACTTTTTTTATAACCTTCAAACATAAAGAAATCACTACTTTTTATTCACAAATTCCAATTGAAACTAGAAGCACAAATCACATAACTGTGTTTGTTTACAAACACTTTATTTTATGGAAACAAATGGCACTATGAAACTACTTTTTTTAGTGTTTAAAAACAGAAAAATTTCATTGTTTTTGTCTGCTGTTTAGCTCAGAATGACAGACGGAATGAAAATGAGAAAAAGAGATAGGAAATCTTTCGTAGAAGTTCGAGAAGAACTTCGGACGATGTCGCTGATGAAGTAGTGTATTATTGGTTGCCTGTTTATTTATTTTTTTAAAAATAGATACCACATGGTTTGAAAAGTTTATTGTTTCCTGCAGAAGTTTCCTGTTAGTATTTTAAAACCATTTTAATCATATCATTGCAGAAGCAAGACTTACAAATTTACCCTTAAAACAAAGTTATACTTGTTAAAAATTTATCATGTTTATTCTCCTATAAATAATTTTGTTACATTTAACTCTGATATTTTATTAAAATTAAAATAACATTACAGTTATTTGAAAATCTAAGAAATTTTGAACCAAGACAAAATAAGGCTAATAAATTTTAATTTAGCTTTTAAAATGTAGGTCTCTTCTATTTACTATAAAAAGAATAAAAATATTATTAGTGCGTAAGACATATTTAATTATAATAGATATATGTTATAAATATTAATTTTTGTAGAAACTTAAAACAGTATTTTTATCAAATGAAGTATTATTCTATTATGTACCTGTTGTTGAAACAGTCTTATCACAGCCCGGGTAGCTCAGTCGGTAGAGCATTGGACTTTTAATCCAAGGGTCCAGGGTTCAAGTCCCTGCTCGGGCGAAACTTTTTTTGCTTTCAAATTATTATTTTTTATTTTTTAAACATATTATACTAATTTATATATTTATTTTCAAACTTTTTAAATAGAGATTTTGCTATAAGCTATATAGATCTCTATTTAAATAATTTCTTTTTTCTAAAATAAATCAGATATCACTGATATATCGCATCAGAATCTAATAATGTAAATGGTTTTGTATCATTACACTATACATAATTACAAAATAATATGTTTTTAGAAAAATATAGAAAAATAGAAGCAATTCCAATATCAAAAAGTACATTTTTTGATAAAGTTCTAATATGAAAATATTACTCATAATATATTTTACATTAATAAATTTTAGTAGTGCAAATCTAAACTTAAATTTCAAAAGCAAAAACACACCTTTGAAATGTTTAAAAACAATTATGAATAATTATTTTGGATTGGTTGATTCGCAAGATCACGTGATGGTTAAGAGAAATAAACGATACATTGAATTAGATGTACCATTTTACATAACAAAGAGTGAAAATCTAGATAAGTTTTTAGAGAAAATAAATAACAAACCTCAGTCTTATACCTTTTATTTGGACGATGTAGAGCATTTTAATGAAACAATAAATACTATTGTGAATTCGGTGAATTTCAGAGATGCCTTTTACGTGGTTTTTATTTTTAATGAAGATCAGATAATGGGGGTACAGATGATTGCAGACATAATGTGGGAATACAGGTAAATTAGATTTAATATGTTTTTTTAATTAAGACAATATACGAGGGGATCAGCAATATAGCCCAGATGTTTGCTGAATCTGATTTTTTTGGACTTATTTTCCCAGTCGTTGAATATACAGGGTGATCCGAACTGTATTCCGGAAACTTTGGCAGCATATTCTGCAGATAAAAATAAATAAAAAAGTTCGTACAAATGTATGTCCTAAAATTCTTAGTTTCGGAGATACAGGGTGTAGAAATTTAATTTTTATTTCGATTTTCTTCAAATGACTTCTGAAGTAACGTCAATATTTGGATGAGAAATTTGATTTTGATGTCAATACGATTCTTACTTGTAGAGGGCAACACCTACTTATTTTTTAACAGGTTTTTAAAACTACACCCTGTATATGAAATTTGCTTCATAGAATAACATACCGAATAATTCTATGTTTGCTGATTGGGAAAATAAGTACCGAAAATTTTCACTGTCTCCTGAACTGATAAGAAATGCGTGAATAACGCAAAATTTATAAAAAAATAGAATATTGATTTTAATTTTTTTCAGATTACTAAAGACTAAAATCATTGTTCTAAACTCAAACCAAGACATTTTTAAAATCTACAACATCACTATCAATGATTGTGGTTCAACAAGTAACGCCTCATTGATTTATGAATACTCACCTAATCAAAATTGCTCTGTAGACACTTTTTCTTCAAAAATTAACATTAAAGAAGTGTTCAAAAACTGTCCTTTACACATAACTTGGTCTGCCTTGCCTCCATTCGTTAATTTACCAAAGGATCCAAGAGGAGGACTCTTCCTGGACATGTTAGATCCATTTGGCGCAATCTCTGGACGTCTAGTAACTTACAGACCTTACAACCCAACATATCTGGAAGAATTACGATTTATGTACTATGGATCAGTACAGGAAGACCTAGAAAATGAATATGCTGATATATTTGTGGGACCTACAGATTTAGCACTCATGGAACTATTTGATCTGTTGCCTATAATCACTTCTGATAGCCTAGTAATCATTGTACCTACTCCAGTTGATAATTATTGGGATACTATCAAGAAATTAGCTGGGTTTGATAGAGTGCTGCTGTATTTTGGAGCCTTAGGTGCCATGACCTTTACATTTTACCTTTTGGTGAGATCCATAGAACCAGAATTTGGATCTTTTGCCCAGGTAGTGTTTATGTTTTTGGGAACGTATTTGAACGTGGATAGTTTTGTGAAATGGCCTAAAAATAACTATCTCAGATGTTTTCTAGGTGAGTATCAATGATTCATTGGTAAAAAGTGGAGGCAAAAGTGTCCCACCCCTATAACTTTTCTATTTTTTTCAGATAAAAAAAGAGATTTGGATATTAGTGTAGATTGATTGACGTATTCAATTGTTTTTTATCACTTCCTGTTTCATGGGAATTGATTAGAACATTTAATGTTTAAAGAAATGACACTCTTATAGAATATCATATCATAATATGTCAAATTATGACATTTTCGCTTAAAAAAATCTAGAGTGCTATGGTTATGTTAAAATCACTAATTCTTGATCAAGGAGTCTTGGAAAAATATATTTTATCGTCTAATGTTTTTCGTGTTTTGTCCTGGAAGGTTAAAAGATGCCCAAATCGTATTTTTAATCATATCTTAATTTTTTCAAAGAGAACATGGGTGACTCATTAGCATATTTTGAAAAAGCATTTTTTTTGGTACCACGCACTTGGTATTTCGAGTCAAATTGTCGTTATGAACCGCATATTACAATATCAAATAAATCATTTGCGAAAATGTCAAAAGTTGACATATGATATATAATTCTATTCAGAATGTCTATCGAATAATAACTCTGATTTTTTTTCCACAGCGAGTTACGTTTTAAAAAATATTCAGAAATTATTATTTCAAGGAATTTATTACGGGTAGAAAAAATATTGTGCTGGCTTGGCGTTGGTTTCTATGCAATTTGACAAATAAATAAAGCTGTCTCTTTAGTTGTCAGTTTTGAGTCAATATTTTTTAATTCTCTTTCGTGTCGATTGCTGATTGAACTGGAGCCAGAAACGTCAATCAATCCTAATTTATGTCATATACTAATATACCAAATGTCGTTTTTTTATCTGAAATTTTTTTTTATAGGGGTGAGCCACTTTTGAGACGCACCCGGTATACATATGTTTATTAGTAATCTCTTTCTAGCAATGTGTCTGTTAGGAACAATAATAATAATAGTATACACTCAAGCCTGTGTTTTTGGTATATTATTTGAGTCTGTATATGGAAAACCTATCACGAACATGGAAGACTACCTCAAAACCGATATTCCTTTAAAACTAATAAACGGAACTGATGCTTTATTTCAAAGTTTTGGATCAAAGGAATACAAGGAGATGTACAATCGTCGTCAGCTGCTGATCGAGTTTTCTAATCTCGAAGATGCAGCTGATCATGCTGTTGCACAAAGAAATTTTGCCACCATGACAGATATGGGTAAGAAACAATCTCAAAGACTATACCATACCTCTATACAGGGTGTTCCTTAATGACATACTAATAATTTAGGGGGTGATTCTAGGACCAATTCTAAGAAAAAAACTTCGTATGAATGTATATCCTAAACATCTTAATTTGTGAGATACAGTGTGGTAAAATTTAAAAAAAAAACTTTTCTTATAATAACTCTGATTTTATTATAGATTTCTTTATGAAACTTGTGCCTGTTGTGTGGAAATCATTTCTGCATCGGCTGGAAGGAAATTAAGATATAAAACATTTTTTTTGTAAATCAAAATAAGTATTTTGATGCATGGAAGATGTGTATCAAATATAACATCAGGCAGAGATATTTCAAAAAAATAGAAAACTTTTCCACCATGTATCTGAAAAGTTAAGATGTTTAGGACATATTCATATGAAGTTTTTTTTTAGAATAGGTCCAAGAATCACTTCCTTAAATTTTAGCATGCCATTAAGGAACACCCTGTATAAATATCTATCGTGCTATAATCTCACATGAATACGGTTTTTTGTTTCACTGTCTTGGCAGATAAATTGTGTTATGTATTATTATACAGGGTGAGCCTTAAATATGTGCAAATATTTTCAGGGGTAGTATATTTCGACACCAGAAACACGATTATAATATATTTTGCGCAATTTTTTTTTAATTTTGAGTTAAAGAACATAATTCTTGATAATATGGCAACATAGGTAGTAGATTAAATTTACAAGAAAGAAAACCCAGAAAAGATTAAGCAAAAAATAATATTTTTTGTAAATTTTCAAAGAGAATAACTCGGTTATTTTGAACTTATTTGAAAAACGGTAAAGAGAAAATATGTTTCTGTTCTCGAAAATATTTGTACTTATTTAAGACACACCCTGTATAATAGTATGTTCTCTCATTTTAATAATATATTTTCAGCTTACACATTGACGAAACCGAACTTCAACAAAGCCTTCGGTCATTTTGAGGTGTGGAATATGAGGCTGTGTTTTGCTGTCAAAAAAAATCAGTATTACTTCCAACAATTTAATGACTGGTTCTCAATAATCATCGAATCAGGATATTACGAGAAATATAAGAGGCTATACCAGGCGAAAAGTGCATGGAAGAATAATTTAGAACTGGAAAAACAAAACTTTGTTTTGTCTTTGCGAAAATTCTTAGTAGCTTTTGTATCTTTGATGATCGGATTGTTTTTTTCGTCTGTTGTTTTTATTGTCGAGTTGTTTAATTATAAAATATTTAACAAGTATTGCAAATCTAAGAAATAATTATATATCTCTTAATAATATAGTATGATCGAAAAAAAAACGGTGTTAAAGACGGCTGGGGACGATAATCGATGATAATTTTGGCGAGGTCAATCTCTAGACTTCGTTTACTAAAAATTTACATAAAACTTCTCAAAAATTAACATTAATTATAGAAAGGCTAGCGTTTACCAGTGACTTCGTTCGCGTCGAATTAATCATTTGTAATGGCGACGATAAAGCAAAGCAAGAATTTCCATTAACATACAAACTGGATAACATTTTTTCACATTTATGTCTTCTACATTTGCTAACAATATGGCGATATTATTATATAACTTGGTAATATTTGAGGGGTAGTTTCATCTCGTTGGAATTTGACTTTCGAAAAATCCGTTTGCCAAAAATAAGTTTTTTACGTCAAGCAGTTTAAGCAGAATCGTGGTTAAGAAATTACCCAACTTTTTGGAACACCCTGTATGATTTTTTAAAAAAATTTAAAATATGTAAAAAAACCAAATAAATTATGCTTGTCAAGCGTTTTCCCGAAAGACTAACCGTTTTTTAAATAACAAATATTGTAATATTTGAGGGGCGTTTTCACCCTCTTGGAATTTGAGATTCGAGAAACCCCTTCTTATAGAACCTCTACACCCCACAGTCAATCCGTTTGCCAAAAATCCGCTTTAAACGTCAAGCAGTTTAAGCAGAATCGTGATTACACAATATTTTATGAAACACCCTGTATAAATTTATAAAAAATCTTAAAATATGCAAAAAACAAAATAAAATATACGTGTTTAAGCGTTTTTTCGGAAACTTGACCGTTTTTTAAATAAAAAATATTGTAATATTTGAGGGGTGGTTTCACCCTCTTGGAACTGGAATTTCAACAAATCCCTTCTTATCGAACCTCTACACCCTAGAATCAACCTGTACGCCAAAATTGAGCTTCTTACGTTGAGTGGTTTGAGCAGGATCGTGATTAATCAGTATGTCAGTCAATTAAGGATTTTATATGTTAGTATAGATTAAAAAAGGATAGGGCATTACGTTTCCACATGCAACACAAATCTATTTACAAAAAAAAAATTCTCGAATTTTAAACTAAAGAAGAATACGAACCAAGTAAACGACGTCTAGAGCGTGAACTCGCTAAAATTACCATTGCTTCTGATTCCTCAGCCGTCTTTGACACCGTTTTTCTTCGAAAGTATGGTTTTACCGAGAGGTTTTGGAATATTAGTTTTATCTTACTCTGTATATACAACAAGGCATAAATAAGGATATAGGATAGAACTAGAATTGCCTATCTTTTATTATTATTGTTCTAGAACGATAATATTACAAATTTACTACTAGGGCTATCTTCATACATATATTAACCTACGTAGCAATATTTAATTTTAAATTTTATAGAAACAACATAAAGTTTTAAGATTAACACATCTATAAATTTTGGTCATATCGATTTTGATGAAGCTATAAAATGCCTACAGGGTAATCTACATCTCTCCTAATAGAGAGAATCCAAATATATTTTTAATTTCTATATAAACACGATATATCTATAGAATCAATATAAAATTACATTAAATATTGGTATATTCTCAAATAATTATGTTTGTTCAAAAAGGATCTGTTTATTTTTGAGAATAATCTTAAGTAAATACGAAATATTTTCGTATCTCTGAGATCTATTTAATGACAAACATTATAAATTGAGCAAAAAAACCAAATACATATTTATTCCAGGTTATCTATTTTAATAAAGCAGTCATGTGGATTGTTTTTAATATAAGTTTCTTTATCATTTATTCAACATTTGCTAAATTATTGCCAATCCACTCAAACCTGGAGGAAGATCAAGCAATCCTTACAAGAAACCTGATACAATTAAGTTTCAGAAAAAGCATGGTAAATGTATATATTTCCGATTATTCCAACCATTATCCCAAGTCTTTAAAGAACCTCCCTTTGCTTCTTACCAATGCAGAGAACTTGGAAGAATTCCTCAAAGACTTACGGCAAAAACCTCAAAATTATTTTATATTTTTGGACACTCTGGAGAAGCTTAATGACTCCTTGCTTACTATCAGTGAGTCAGGATTGAAACTGAGTACTACCAAGTATTTGGTGGTTACAAATTCCAAAGAAAATTATAATAATCTTGCTAGAATTCTTTGGAATTTTAGATTACCTCAATCAAAGATTATTTTCGTTCATCCAGATAATGTAGAAGTTTATGAATTGGAGATAAAAAATTGTGGGGATTCTGTAGGGGTTCAGCAAATCTTTTCGCTAAGTGAAATGGCTGCTTTTACTACAGAACCATTTTATGATACAAGAAAATCATTCAGGGGTTGTCCTTTATATATTGCATGGAGTATAGTGCCTCCTATGGTAAACTGGATTGATGGACCCTATCCAGGGATATACATAGAGATGATGAAGGTTTTCCAAAGCATTAGCACGAGGAATATAACTTACAGACCCTTTAACGGTATATATACAGAGGAGATTTCACATTCATATTATTTTGGAACATTATTAGATGATTTTGCTGAGGAATACGCAGACTTGTTCCTAGGATCGATAGATCTATACACTACAGAGATTTTTGATATCAGTCCAGTGCTATGGGAGAACAGCATTATATTCCTGATTCCTAGACCTATAAATGATTTTTGGAGAGCATTTATTCCCGAATCAGTGGTTCCAATGTTTTTTATTGGTCTCTCAGTTTTAGTTGGCTCTGCATGGTTGTTATCCTATTTTTCTAGAACAAATGCAGATTTCAGAATATTTTCTTCGTGGTCTAAAGTCATTTTGATTTTTTTTGGAGCTTTGCTGGGTGTACCCTGTATGCATATTCTTCCGAAAACCAGCACCTTAAGGTTATTTTTTGGTAAGTATACAGGGTTGTTCACCACATACGATACGGAGTATTGTAGCTAAACGATGAGATTTTTACAAATTGTAAGTTTTGGGTTCGATGAAGGACTATTAGAGGTACAATTTAAAAATAATTTTACAAGATACAGAGTGTCCCAAATAAGTAAGAAATATCAAAGTTGTATTTTTTTAAATGGAACACCCTGTATATTATTACATTTTTAGTTTCTACGATTAAAATAAAGGTAAATTTGATTAAGGTTTATTATACTTAAACCTTACCGTTTTTGAAATATTTTCAATTTTTGTGAAATTGCAGTAAAAATTTTAAGGCTTCATTTCTCCAAGGGTATCAAAGTTTTAATACTAAATATTTACTGAAGTTTATTTACTGATCAGTTATTGTGTTGCAATAATAAAAATAATACTACCTTATACAGAGTGTCTAAAAATTTATTTTAAATAATTATTAGCTTCAAACGGTAATAACTTGTTTAATTTAAATGGAACACCCTGTATATTTTACGAGAATCAGATGCACAATTTAATTGTCTATAAAATTATATTATACCATTTTTTACCTATCTCTTTAAGTTTCCGTAGAAAATGCATTTTCTTGTAATTTAGAACTTATTTATCAATATACCCATGGACGTATATTTTTTTATAGCAAAAAATACCGAGGGTGTCGTTTAAAAATTAAGTTGCAGTCATTTCCGGTGAAACAGGAAGTGAGCAAAAACAATTTAATACGTCAATTAATCTTAATTATTATTTATGTCATATACTAACATACCAAATCTCGGTATTTTTATCTGAAAAAATAAAAAAGTTATATAGAGGTAAGCCACTTTTGAGAAACACCTGGCATATAAAGCTAATTGTTCTTGAGTTCATAATATGTTTCAGGAACATTTTGGCTCGAGTCCTTCATCGTTTCAACCTTCATCCAAGGTTCCATAGTTGGTTCCTTGAGCGGTTCAGTGTATGGTCCTCCAATCACAAACGCTATAGAGCTGCTACAGTCTAGCATCCCTATAAAGACTCTAAGCGCTATGCAGTTCCTATTTCGAATCGGAAAAGACAAAACAGACGCTGAAATTTTTGAAAGAATCATAGTTCTGGAGAATACCACGTATTTGGAAGATGTAGGAAAGCTAGCTGTGCGCGATAGAAACTTTGCTACTACTTTGGATAAAGGTAAGAAATTATATTTTTTTACATATGTTTTTGATGAGAAATAAATCAAAAAAATATATGACTCACTGATTAATCACGATCCTGCTCAAACCACTCAACGTAAGTAGCTCAATTTTGGCATACAGGTTGATTCTAGGGTGTAGAGGTTCGATAAGAGGGGATTTTTCGAAAGTCTAGTTCCAAGGGGGTGAAACCACCCCTCAAATATTACAATATTTTTTATTTAAAAAACGGTCAAGTTTCCGAAAAAACGCTTAAACACATATATGTTATTATGTTTTTTTTACATAATTAAAGATTTTTAAAAAACTATACAGGCTGCTTTGAAAAATCTGGTCATTGATTAATCATGATCCTGCTTAAAGCGCTTGACGTAAATAGCTGATTTTTGGAAAACGGATTGATTTTTCGAAACTCGAATTCTAATAGGGTGAAACCACCTCTCAAATATTAATATATTTTTATTTAAAAACCGTTTTTAGGTTAGGTGTTTCATAAAATACGACAATTGAGTAATCACGGTTCTGAAACTGCTTGACGTTTAAAGCAGATTTTTGGCAAACGAAGTGACTGTGAGGTTCGATAAGGAGGGGTTTCTCGAATCTCAAATTCTAAGAGGGTGAAAACGCCCCTCAAATATTACAATATTTGTTATTTAAAAAACGGTTAGTCTTTCGGGAAAACGCTTGGACACCCATAATTTATTTTGTTTTTTTAACTATTTTGAAATTTTTTAAAAAATCATACAGGGTGTTCCAAAAAGTTGGGTAATTGATTAACCACGATTCTGCTTAAACTACTTGACGTAAAAAACTTATTTTTGGCAAAAGGATTTTTCGAAAGTCAAATTCCAACGATATATGTATATACAGGATGTCTCAGATTTTAATCGGGAAAATTTAATAGACGATAGAACTTGCAAAAATAAAACAAAAATTTCATATCAACTTGTAAGATTTAAAGCTTCCTTTTCGAGATACAGGGTGTTAAAGTTACTTAAAAAAGATAAAAAAATTACGATATTTGAAAAACTATTTAATCGATTTTGGTATAACTTGACCCGTTTATAATACTTACTATGGGACTTAATTTGATGTAATTAGATTTAAGTTTAATGGCCAGGGGCGGCGGTGGGGCATCACTGTTAAATTATTTTAAAGGAAAAAATAGGCACGCCACTGCTTTTTTAGAAGTTTTTATTTTTTGGATTTAGTAATTAAAAATATTATTTTTTTGTCTCCTGACTTTTTTGTCTATCTTGCTTTACTTCTTGCGAAAAAAAAAAAATTCTAATTGGTAATTAATATTATAATTAGTATTCTAATGGTACCCTGTATCTCGAAAAGGAAGCTTTAAATCTTACAAGTTGATATGAACTTTTTGTTTTATTTTCGCAAGTTCTATCGTCTATTAAATTTTCCCGATTAAAATCTGAGACACCCTGTATATCGCCATATTGTTTTTTCTCATGCTGACATAAATGTGAGAAAATTTTATCCAGTTTGTATGTTAATGGAAATTCTTGCTTTGCTTTGTCATCACCATTACAAATGATTAATTCGACGCGAACGAAGTCGCGGGTACACGCTATTGATACTGGGTGTTTTCTTTTCAGGCTTCTTGACTACCAGACCCAACATTTTGAAATCTTTCAGCACATTCGAAGTGCTTGATCTAAAACAGTGCCTGGCCATGCCAAAAAACTCGTATTTCTCCAAGCAGTTCAACGAATGGTTTCAGAGAATCCTGGAAATCGGGATCATGTCCAAGTATATAAACCTCTACGAGTTTTATTACGCCCTGAAACAATACGTGGAGACAGAAAAAAGAATCTACACTATCAATTTGAAGCATATCATGCCAGCCTTTGTGATATTGTTAACAGGATATGCTGTATCATTTGGTGTGTTTGTTCTGGAAATGGTTTTTAACCAGTTTCAAAAAAGGACGAAGACGTTGTTTAGAAAGACATACAAACACAGATATTTAAATTAATTATATTGATTATAATTATTTAACAATTTTTTGATATTATAAGTTTAATAACTCAAGTAGTCAAATATAACGATTTCTATAGACTTTTTTTACCTAAAAATGTCTTAAATGTTTATTTTTTTACTTTTAGTAGTTTTATACAGGTACGGACGAAAAGTTAATACTCTTCAAACCAGTTAAAAATATGTAGCAGGCGCCCCCTACAAAGAGGTGTCTTACTGACATCAAAATCAGATTTCTCATGTCAATAAACTCCCAGACAGTAATTTTCATCCAAATATTGACCTAACTTCAGAAATTATTTGAAAAAAATCGAAATAAAAATGTAACTTCTACACCCAGTATCTCCGACAATAAGCATTTTAGGACATACATTAATACGAACTTTTTTACTTATTTTTATTTGCAGAATATGCTGCCGAAGTTTCCGGAATACAGTTCGGACCACCCTGTATATTTAAATCTAGAAAAATATTGAAATATATAGAAAATACTTGAACAGAAAAAATGTTTTTCTATTCTTTTTGGCACTAAGACTACTCTGGACTAGATCTACTTTGTTTAGGCGAAATGCGAACCTCAGTCCTCTGCCATATCATTGTCAATGGCCTACCGACTTGGCAAGTGTTTAAACCCACACCAAAAATTTAAAATGATGTTTAATAATTATTTGTTTCTAAATTTTATTTGATTTTTTTTTGCTTTATGTGAAAAATAGGTACGAATAGGTATGGTATGCCGTTTAATAACTGTACGTATTTCCTTAGACATATTAATAGGATTATTTTAGTACACCATAAAACAACTAAAATGAGTTTACTTACAGCCGTAAGTGCCTAAAAAACGTTAAAGTAGTTATCTTTTAATTTTACCGATCTTCACAGTAATGTCCTACATAAAGGTAATAATAATTTTATTTGTGTGCTTTTAAAGATTTTTTTTATTAATATACATTGTATATAACATAAAAACAATAATTTCTAAATAAATATAAAAGAAAATCTCACACCGTTTTATTTTTGATGGTTTGATTGACCAAACCAAAACTATTATTCTTAAGCTATTTTTTTTAATTGCTTGTAATTTTTATAACTGTAACTAACAACGATCTATAGAAAAAAATACTGAAGTAAATTTATCTAATTTAAATCGATTTTTATCGTTTCCATTAGAATAATTTAAGAAAATAAGCAATAAAAATAATTCAAAAGCCTACGTAAAGTCGTTATAATACGTCATTTATTTTACAGAAAATTTATTTTATGTTTAACTCTTTTCCAAAACTATCATTTAATATATTTAACAAATAATAAATAGTGTAAAAAAAATATCAATCAAAAGTTGTTTTTTTCATATTTTATCATCATTTTCAGCTTAATCAACTATTTACAATTGGACTCTATGGATGTGAGAGCTGGACACTGGATTCACAGACCGAAAAGAGAATAGAAGCCTTCGAAATGTATGTATACCGACGGATGCTGCGAATCTCATGGGTACAAAGGATCAGCAACGATGAAGTACTCCAGCGCATGCAGAAACAAAAAGAGATAGTGAACACCATCAAGGAAAGAAAAATGCAATACCTGGATCATGTGATTAGAGGTGGTAGATACGAAATACTGCGCCTCATAATAGAGGGCAAAGTGCAAGGGAAAAGATCAGTAGGAAGACGATAGAACTCATGGCTAAACGATTTAAGGAGATGGTTTGAACGCTCGTCTGCGGACATCTTCCGGGCTGCAGTTTCCAGAGCCACAATTGCCATTTGGATCGCCAACAACAACATTTGGATCGCTGTATATACAGCTTTGTGGATATATCACCCTGTATATAACATCATAATATTTATTAATAGTGTTCATAAATTCATTTATGAATGACTATTTTTTTTAATTTGATTTCTATAGAGCAGATCCTAATAAAAAAATGTAATGTTTACCCAAAAATCAGAAGAAAACTAATAACTCTGTATAATTTAAGATGTAGTTTTTCTCGGTCAAATTTCCTGAGAGGTGAAAATACCCATCATGTCATTTTCGTTGGTTTTTACGAATTTTTAAATTTTTTATTACTATAATAAACAATAAAAAAAATTGGCGGGGGCGTTTTTATATTTGATCGCAATCATGTTACATTCTAGCGGTATTTTTGCAGAAATATATATAAAATATATGCAAAAATCAACGATAAACGTATTCTGCTTTGTTCTAAAATTACGAAAAATAATGGGCGTTTTTTAGTAATAGTCAGCTTCAGTATGGCTGATACAAAAAACAAAATTATAATTTATTTTTACCAAAAACAGTTTGAATGAACTCGCATGGATAATATAATGCGGAAAAAAAGGTTAACGAGTATTTTCATTAGTAGACTATACAAAGTGGCCAAAATACTTTTCAAATAGTTTCTACATATCTCAGACAATTTATAGTAAAAACAGAGAAATTTTTGTAGTTTTAATTTTACTGATTTAGATATTTTGTTAGGTCAACATATTTTAATAATTTTTTTTGCAACCGATAATCTCTGCAACAGATAATGATCTTTTATAAACAGAAAATGATAGAATTTAATGTGCCTATTAATCTTTTAAAATTTATTATCTTCCCAATATAGAATTTGGCTGTATAAAAACCAAGATTTTTTTAAATTACAGAGATGCTTGTCTGTTCCTATATTCTTCTTGTACCGTTAAACTTATTTAGAGTTGGTAGGAGTTCTTAAAATATAAAATAAAGCACACCGAACCACAAATCGCATGTATCTTCGTTTTGTGCTAATATTCAAGCGATCTAAGATGCTCCTCCTAGTGAATATACAATTTGTGGTCAGTAAAAAAGCTTTTAAAATTCTGTAGAGTGTGAAAACCTATTAAAACAATAATAAAATGCGTTGCTTTGATAATTTATTTTGATTGTTTTCAAATACTCGGAAGATTTATAGTGTTGTTAATTGTTGGTGGGTGATTTAAGATGAGTTCTTTTGATGTAAATAAGTAAAGAAGAATGGTAGAGTGATTTCACAGTCAAAAAAGATGCCACAAAGTATTTAATTTGTCAGAGTTTTTCAAGAACGATTAATTTCTCTAAAATTCTGCATTTTTTCAGATATAGTTTTGAAAATTTAGTATATTTTTTTATTTATTTTTCAGAATATTACAATGTTTTGGTTGTTTTGTTTGGCAAAATCCAAACCTTTAATACAAGGCAGACTTTCCTTGGCAGAACCAACGAATTACTATTTCCGTGATGCGAATGGTAAGAATTTTGTTTCATTAACATTTAAAAATAAAGTACTAGAATGATTATAGTAGATTATTTTGGACTAATCCAATTTTTTTACTAGACTTTTATCTTAAATAATTTTTTAATATTAATTTTTTACTTTTTTTAAAGTAATATCACAGATTAGGTATCCTATAAGTATACAGATAAAATGCGGCGTGCTATGTGCGCAAACTAGTAACCTAACTAGCACCCGATTCCGAAAATTGGAACCACGAAAAATAATGAAGAAAAAGAAAAGTTTATAATCTGTATAATCTGTGGTAATATCCTGTAAGTTATTATATATCGAGAAAGTATGGTTACACTCGTTGAATTTGACACTTTATGTAAAGTGCTCCTCTTTTATGCCTAGGCGTTAAAATTACTTTTTTATATTGTCAATCACGTCGCAACAATTAACACTTTTGTGACGTATAAAGATAATCATATAGTTATATATGTAGGTCCGGGAACTTATGCTTTTGGATATGACGTGGACGATCCAGAAACGGACAATCTTCAATTTCGGGATGAAGAACGTCATGCCAATGGCACAGTAACTGGAAAATATGGATGGGTTGCACCAGATGGACAGGTTTATATGGTCAAATACATATCAGATAACTTTGGATACAGGTAACTATTTTTAATTTTCTTGCAGAGTTTAGATAATGTTTTATTTTGTATTTCAAGTATTTTACTCAAAAGTAACAAAATAATAATAAATAAACTAATAGCCCCTCTAAATAATTCTTTTAAAATTATTATTATTTTTTTGTTATAGGGCAAAGGTAGAAACTTTACCAAACTTCAAGAAATACAAAACTAGAAGATTTAGGACATCATTTAATAATTTATTCTAATTACCAGGTTTATTTATTTTAAATACATCAAAATATATTTTAAGGTTGTTCTAAAATTGTGATATTACTTAAAACTATTTATTTATACTATATTTTATTGCATGAAATTATTTAGTCATCTTTAAGTCAATTTTCTTGCCATAGAAATAAACAAATCATATAAAATAAAGAGTCATTTTTGTATTATTACTGTTTTTTTCTTAAGTGCTTCTTTATTGACAGTAATATAAAATCTATTAAGAACAAGACACATTTCTAATAATAATTTCAAAGAAATGCAGTAAGCTTCATGATGCTTGTGTTGACATATCAAACAATATTGTGCTTTATGTTCATAATAAATACAAATTCATTTTTAATTAATCATAATAATCAAACTACAACATGTTTAAACGATTTTTTAAAGACTTATGTTCAGTATGATACAAATATTTTGATTAAATTTGAACAAGATCATAATGAACTGGTTCCAAATTTACTATGTTATATTTTTAACGAAAATGGTTTGAATGAGTTAACAAAAAATATCGAAAATATAGGAAAATTTATTAGTTCTTTTATATTTTTAAACCCCAACTTTAAAAAATTGCAAAATGTTCTGTTGAATATCAAAAATTCCCAAATAAAATATATTTCTAAAAAGTTTATAATAATAATAAAGAAAGAAGTTGATGTTTCCGATGTTGCTAAGTTGTTATTTCAATATAAACTTTATTATTCTATGGTAGTTAAAGAAGTTGAACCGGATGTGGTATTTTATACTGTAAAATCAAGAAACAATGGGTTTAAACAAATTAAAATAGGTGATTGTGGTTCAAAATACAAGGATATTGTAGGCAAAATGCAAAAATACTCTGAAATATATCCTAAAGATACTACATTGAATGTAATATGGAGTCTAATGGATCCCTATATTATTGATCCAGATAATGATTATCCAGGTAAGAAAAAAGTAAATAAAATCAACTACATCCATAGATTTTAGTATTCCGCTAGTAGGAATAAAACTTTTTTATTCCATTAGTGTCTAAAATATCACTTTAAACGACTTATATGAGTAAATAACACTCCCATTATTGTATGATTGTGTATAAAATCGTCTTGTATAAAAAATAACTATTTTTTATATTATAGGTATCACAGTAGATGTTTTGACATCCTTCAAACACACCAGCCCAATAAAAATCCATTTCAGACCGGCAAATAAAATCTACAGGACAGAATTTGTCTTAAACTACACGTTCAATGCTGTCCAGAACTCATTTGACAGCCACTATGCTGACATTTACGCTGGTGCAACTGACGTAACCATTGGCAGACAGTTCGATATGAGTCCTCTAATTGACAGCAACCCGTTGTACTTTTTTGTGCCCAGACCAGTGAGGCAGTCTTACATTGAAGTGATTTTCAGTGCCCTTGATTACAAGACTTGGATTTGTTTGACCGGGATTTTTTTGGTTTGGACGAAAATTTTTGGTTTGTTTGCCAAAAATTGTGATGAATTGGTTATGTTTCGGTCATTTTTGAACAATATTTTTATGTTTTTCAGTTATGTTTTGGGGTTTTCGTACAAAAATCAAAAACCTAAGAGACTTACTGTCAGAATTTTATTAGGTATATATTTTTTGTCTATTTAAAAATCTATTTTTTTAAATAACTTGATACCACACACTTGGTATTTCGAGTCAAATTCTCGTTATGAACCGCATGTTATAATTTCAAATTAACCATATTATGCGAAAATGTTAAAATTTGACATATGATATGTCATTCTATTCAGAGTGTCATTTTCAATCAAATAAAGTAGAAATATACCAAGGGTGCCATTTAAAAATCAAAAGTTGTAGGCATTTCCGGTGAAACAGGAAGTGACCGAAAATAATTGAATACGTCAATCAATCCTAATTTATGTCATATACTAACACACCAAATATCGTTTTTTTAACTGAAAAAATAAAAAAGTTATAGGGGTGAACCACTTTTGAGACGCACCCGGCATATAGCATAGTTTTGAATTATCACTCATAGCATTAAGTAACTTTTTTTTAATTTTAGCAAGTTATTTAATCTTCTCCATTCAACTGTCAACAACAATTCAAGGAAAATTTATAAGCGTCATGTCAAATTCGCCATACTTGCCTCCAATCACCAACCTCAAATCACTAATGGCGTCTAGAATGCCTGTCAAATTATTTGACGTGTCTAAATACGCATTTACAGATGTAGAAGATCCAGATGTGAAACAATTACTGGCAGTATACCGGAGTGTCTCTCCAGAAATAAGTGTATACGATATTTGTATGGAATGTGTGGAAAAAAAGGATTTTGCAACATTTTGTGATAATGGTTAGCATCTAATAGTATATTATTGAACGAGCAATTTATGCTAGCCTATTACGGGACGTCGTTGCAGCCACCCTAAGTTATCAATTTCTTTTTCAGCATTCCTAATCATGAACGACAATGCTTTGGAAACGCACAGCATCTTCAAAGTGTGGAGCCTAAAATACTTCTTTGCCATGCCCAAAAACCACTACCTCTACAAGCATTTCTACAAAAGGTTCCAAAGGATCGTGGAAAGTGGTATAGTTATAAAATACCTGAAATTGTACAGGCATCACTTCTCACTGATTAATAAAAGGCAAAAGAAAGATACAGAGTTCGTGTTAAGAATGAAGATTCTAAGTGGTATTTTCTTCAATTTTATGATCGGAATGTTTGGAGCCTTTCTTGTTTTTGTTAGTGAAATAATTATATACAGATATAAAGATTTTATTAAAAAATAATCACTTAAAGAATTTAAAGTTATCAAAAAATATTGTTTTTTTTAGTAATTAAAGTAGTAATTAAGGTCTTAAGCTTCATTCACAACCTCGCAATTAGTGGAATAAATTAGTGGTTTCAATTACACTTTATACTTTTTAGTTTACGATCATTCACAATGTTTAAAAACAGAATTAAAATTAAAAGAATATCCTAGCAACAGCTTGCGTTATTAGTTAGTTCTATCCCTAGAGAAAGCCTAAATTTAGCCACAGAACTTTTTCTTTAATGGCCATAAGCGGGAGTAAAAGCCCAACCGCCCGAACAAACACTAGAGGCGCCACCGGTCATCAAATGGTGTAAAAATTGCGAAAATTTAACCATCTAATTTTGACACAAGGGGTCGCGCTTAACTTTTTCAATTTTAATTCAATATTCATTGTTTTCAAATTATATTATTAGACTTTGTTGTATTTTGTGAATGTATAAATGTTTTCTTAGTATAAAGTTGCATTATAGTAATTTAAATTATATTACATACATATTTAATTATGACATGTATGTCAGTTGCCGTCTAAAATGTCATCTTGATAACAAAAAGTTAGTTATTGTCAAAAGTAGTTAAAATCATGTTAACATATTAAAATTTACAAGTTATAATTAGATATTTTATATTATTTCAACAACAAACACATAATAGTACAGCGTAATGTTGATATGCAGGTCCAAAACAAAAAGTGCCGTTATATTTTTCAGTTTTCGTTGTGAGCCGCGGAAGTCTCAGTGATTTTAGTGTTGTCGGATATTTTTATTTGCGAAATAGAAATATTGCGTTTGGATTGCAAACCTAAAAGTGGAAGTTTTATTGCAATGTAAGTAAGCGTTTGTTCATTTTATATTTTACTTTTTTCATACCTACGACAAATATACTTATATTGAAATTTTATAATTCGTTTTATTTAAAAAATGTTAGAAAACAAGCTTGTAATCCTGTAATTGACATAATTGTGATGTAATATATTCATTTAAATGTAATATATTACTTTACAATTAAAAAAAATGTAAATTTAAAAAATATATTAAAAATATATACAGGCATTAAATGAAATTTTTTGAGTGCGAACAAACACGAGAGGCGCTTTATTATTTACTTTCATTTCTTAACATGGTAGACGAAGTTCTAAAGGGGGATGTTTTGTGAATTTAGCTTATAAAACAATCAACTTTTGATTTATAACCACAATTTCTCTTGACGGAAGATAATCAAAGGCCAAAATGACATTTCTCGCAAATTTTGAAGGATATAATTAGTGGAAAAGTATAAAGTTTGATAACTTTTTCTACTAATTGAAGATGTCTACCACTAAATTTGACGTTCGGAAAGCTTACATTGAAATTAGAGGAACTTTAACGCTATCTGTATTTCTAAATATTAGATTCTTAGGTATAGTTTAAAATTATAACAAAAAAAACTAAATTTAACTATTTATTAAGGACTGTGTATTACAACATCAAGCAAAAGTTGTTTTTTACCCTGTTCTGTCATGGCGTTACAGTGCAAGTTCGTCAAAATCAAACACTGACCTCCTTGACATATTTTTGTCGGACTCTCATTCAGCGTCATGATTGGACCATAATATTTTTGTCTAGAACCAATAGTTAATTGTTATTAATTTAATAATAAATTGTTTTATTAGGAGTAAAAATGAAGCTCTTCATTCTACGTTACAGGCGAGGCACAAAAAATCATTTTTACTCTTCATCTTATTTACTTATTAAAAGCAACACTATATAAGCAATTATACAGGGTACCCCAAACTATTCCGAAAACTTTTTAAAAAAGTTTATATAATTTTATGTCCTAAAATGCTTATAGTTTATACAGGGTGTAAAAGTTTCGTTTTTATTACGTTTTTTTTCCAAATAATTTCTAAAGCAAGGTCAGTATTTGGATGAAAATTGGTATCTGGGAGTTTTTTGACATGAGAAATTTGATTTTGATGTGAATATGACTCCTATTTGTAGGGGGCGCCACCTATATGTGTTTTAACTGTTATAAATAGTAATAACTTTTCGTCCGCACCTGTATATAACTACCGAGTGAAAAAACATACATTTCAGTGAATTTTTACATAAAAAATGTCTCTTGCTAAAAATCGCTACTAGCAACCGTTCTCAAGATATTTAGAACGGAAATAGTCAATACATGTCATTATTGACAAAACATAAACACGTTGAGTAGATAGTAATACTTGTGTGACATTTGAAAAAAACCGTTTTAATATGATATCTAGATGATATATTGGCTAAAAACCTTATGTTATTATCCAGTGTGGACACTGCAACCGTGTAATTCAAGTTAGTGTTGAAATTTGAGCCGACCCAAACCATTATTTTATCACTGGAACTGAACACTTCACTATCGTCATCTCTGTATCGTTCTTCAGCATCGTTTTCTGTAGTCTCTTCGTCATCAGGGTTTTCAGTTAGATGGACGTTACTGATCCTGGTTGCCATGACGATGACGATTGGTTCATGATCTTCTGAAGGTAGTTTGGGTAAATTTAATTTACTAAAAAGAATAATAAAATATAATGTACGCAAAGGTTCATCTAAATGACATTTTAGTAAAAATGTTATGGAAGAGGGGCATATAAAAAAAACTTGCTCGAGCGCGATGCTACTGTTAATTTAAGTTCCACCACACAAATTGCTACTTTTTTTAAGGACCTAATTTTGCAAATAATTTAAAAACTGCTAAGCGGAAGAGTTATGCAGTTGATAGATAGCCTAACAAATGCATCCACTGTAACTGCACTATTTTACACAAGAACAAATTTCCCCCCGTACGAATCCTGATACTATACAAATAAAAATACAAAAACAAAGCACATTTCGACATCGAAAAACCTGAAGAGATCTAACATCTTTAAAAAACACCGCCAAACGTGTAAAAACAGTCTCTTTCCTATTATTTACCTCTGCCTGTACACGCTGGCCGATTTGTTCTTCTTCAGTTTGAGCAGAACGATGCACTTGATGATGCAGTAGCGGATGTCGAGCGGGTGGAAGCGCGAGGCACAGCGCGCGTCCAAGGTGGCGCCGATGGTGGGCACTTGGTCGTGTTCGTGCCTGAAGTGGGATTCTAAGGTGCAGACGGAGACGAAGCGACCGCAGTCGGCCATGGGGCACTTAAGTGGCCTGGAAAAAAATGAACAGAAAATAAGAAAATGGAAACTAAAAATATTTTGGGATTGTTTTTTTTAATTTTATTGAGCTCTTGGGAAAAATAGGAGACGTAGAAGTAAAATTTTGAAAATTTTAGATTTTGTAGGAAATTTTATATAGATTTGGGATACATGAACAGTTAGAGCTTTAATTGTTTCAGTTTTGCGTGAAAATCGTTTTTTTAGACTCTTGTTTATGGGAAATAAACATATTTTTTTTCAAACGTCACAAAAGTACAAATTTTTGCGACGTGATTGACAGTATAAAAACGTCATTTTAAGGTCTAGACATAAAAGTAAAGCACTTTTACGCCTAAGCATAGAAGTGTGAAAATATATTATTAAACTGACATAAAGTGTCAAATTCAACGAGTGTAACTATAGTTTCTCGTTATATAATTACTTACAATGGGTTACTTTTAAATCTTTTTATATTATTTGCAACGTTTGAAATGGTTTAAATAGTTATTTTTTATACAAGACGATAAAACGGTATTTCATCGTCTTTGAACTTTCGTCTTTCATCGACCGAAATGAGTCGATTTTTCGGGAGAATTTTTGGGAGACGATAATGCAATTTTATCGTCGTGTATAACAATATTTTTTTTTATAGCGAGTTACGTTTTAAAAAATATTCAGAAATTATTTTTTCAAGAAATTTATAACGAGTAGAAAAATATTATGCTGGGTTGGCGTTGGTTTCTATGTAATTTCACAAATAAATAAAGCTCTCTCTTTAGTTTTCAGTTTTGAGTCAATATTTTTTAATTTTCTTTCGTGTCGATTGCTGATTGAATTGGAGCCAGAAATGGCTCAAAACGAAATAAGTAAATTACCAACAGATATTCAGGCTAAGGCGACGAACGCCATATCCAAACTACTTCTATTTAAATCCCGAATAACTTATGAAAAGGAATACAAACATTTTCAAAAATGGAAGCAATTAAAAAACGTGCGAGAAGAAATACAGTTTTTAACATATACTCGCTGTTAAAGTACCATTTGATCTAACCTTCCGGTTAATCTTAACAGTTGCTATAGAAAAAAAATATTTGTGACATTTGGAAACAATAGTAGGGTTCTATTCGGAGTAAAAATGACTTTTTATATTATCAATAACGTCGCAAAAGTTAATACTTTTGTAACGTTTAAAAAATTTTTTTTTGAAATGTCTGAAAAGTATTAAATTTCAATATACCGAGTACTTAGACACAGAAACGCGTGGCCAGATCTGTTAGTAAAAATATACCTTTTTGATAATGACATCATGCTCAGCATACTCTGACGGTTACGCAATAAATTAACTTGAGGATTTTGAACATATTGTTCGGGTTTTGGAATAAATTTAGTTTCGGTACTTGCCAGCACTTCGGTCTTTGCATCACCAGCACCTAACATTTTGTTTTCTGAAACAAAGTACAAAATATTTTCGTATATGTATTTTTTTGATAAAATAAGGAATAAGTATGAGGCTACTGTACATAATAACGTTTAATGATCATTTCATTTTAATGATTATCCTCAAATATGGGACACTCTGTACATCACAATTTTTTGAATTTGATGCTAGTTTATTGCGAAAAGAATATTTCCCCGTTCCTGTCTTAGAGGAAAAAAGAAAACAAACTGCAGTGGACACAATTTTTTTTATCTTTTTAAGTGCCTCTGGCTGAAACAAACCCATGATTAGAATAATCAATAGAAGAGAATAATTTCTTATGCTAAAACAACCACCTACGATATGTGACCGAAATTTAAATCCTCCTAATTTCTGCCTCTGTGCGTGAAAGCATAAAATAGAATTTTTACAATAGAATTAAAAGTACCTTTAATGCAGTATTTCTCTAGCATGAAACTTTTTTAAAACATACTTGCATAAAAAACATATTTCTCTAGATCATACTTTCGTGGATAACTATGATGCTATGTCATTTTAAAGGTATTTTTTGTGCGATTCTTCTATATTATTTTACTACCAACGGCCTGCACAAGTTGAATGAGTGTAATATGTAGAAAAGGGAGAAACTCTATTGTCCTTATAGGTCGCAGTGTTTCTTAATATTGAGAAAAAAGCTCCTTAATATTAAGGAAAAAAAATAGAAGTGATGCTGAAATAATTGCAGATTTTACCTGAAACAAAGCTTTTTTTGAAACAATCCCTACAAAAGAACATATTTTTGTTATTCTGCAACATGGCGGATATTCTATATCGTCCATCGCATATCTCGCATTCAGCAAATCCTTTTTGGGTATCCATTATTTCGGTAATTTTGACGTGTCTGTCACAAACAACTATAATATGTCAAAAGTCAATGTCAACCGTTTATTTTTGATGCTCAATTCCGTTTTTTACCTTGGTTCTCTCTGTTCCATTTCTATCTAATCAAACATGAAATTAAAAAAAAGTACTTATCTACTATTTTTGATAGATATAAGGCAATTTTAACAGTTGCTATGGAAAAAACAATAATAATATGACTTTTCAATAACAGTGCCATTAAAAAAAACAGTAAACAGTAAATTTTACAAGTGTGTTGATGAGACTTCATTAGTAAACATTAACAGATGATCGATCAAACTCAATAAATAGTAAATTTTAATGTAAAATTGTTTAATTTAGACACTCGATTGGGGTTGTTACTCAGCGTAATGTCAACCGAGTATAACAATAAATTGTCGGAAAAAAGAGCCAATAAGGAACAGGGAACTAGATTATTTTATGTTACAATAGTAATATAAAAAAAAACACATTTTGTTGGTCATTAAAGCTTTAAGTATAATTTTCAGTGATATCATATGGCGTTTACGATAGTTTTATTCACATATTGATGAGTATTTCATAGGTTTTTTTCAATGAGTACTAATTACTTTCGTTTTTATTACACTGTTTGAATCTTCAGTTATTTGGGTACTTTCATCTTTTACTTTTGCATTCAACTATCGATTGTTCCATCTCTTTTGAACAAAGAAGAGGAAAGCTTGTATAAATATAAATTAAGTCAGTTTCACTGAAACACTACATTTTTTTCTTTGTGTTGGTGTGCATACTTGGACTTAACATGATATCGTTTAAGGTAAGTGTTTATTAGTGTATAAAAAATATATGTAAAATCTTAGATTTTTAGAACTGCCACAGTGTCATTTTTAAATATAATGATACTATGGTGCGTCTCAAAAAAGATTCACCCCCTATAACTTTTTTATTTTTTCAGATAAAAAAACGAGCTTTCGTATGTTAGTATATGACATAAATTAGGATTGATTGACGTATTCAATTGTTTTTGGTCACTTCCTGTTTCACAGGAAATGACTACAACTTTTGATTTTTAAATGACACTCTCGGTATTTTTTTACTTTATTTGATAGAAAATGACACTCTGAATAGAATGACATATCATATGTCAACTTTTAACATTTTCGCATATGGTTTATTTGAAATTGTAACATGCGGTTCATGACGACAATTTGACTCGAAATACCAAGTGTGTGGTATCAAATTATTCCTAAAAAAATGCTTTTTCCAAATCTGCCAATATTAGACGATCAAAACTATTTTTCAAAAACTTCTTGATTAAAAATTAGTGTTCGAACACAGCCTAGGCACTCTAGATTGAAATTTAAAATACGATTTTTTTAAACGAAAATGTCAAAAGTTGACATGTGGTATGTCGTTCTATTCAGAGCGTCATTTTCTATCGAATATATCGAATAAAGTAAAAATATACCGAGGGTATCATTTAAATATCAGAAGTTGCAGTCATTTCCGGTGAAACAGGAAGTGACCAAAAATAATTGGATACGTCAATCAATCCTTATTTATGTCATATACTATCATACCAAATCTCATTTTTTTATGTGAAATAATATATGTATGCATGGTATACATGTTTTTTTGTGCACTGTATCAAACTTTGATATAAGATATAGTTTTCCGTTTGAATTCGTTGAGAAAAACTTTACATCTCTTTTTGACACGCCCTGTAGAATAATCTTTAATCATAAAATTATTGGATCATACAGTATGCACACAAAGAGTAATTCAAAGCACAAAAGAACTCTTTGTTTATATAAATTACTCATTATTTTCTACTAATGATACGTATATACCAGCAGTTTTTTTTTAATAAAATCAAACAAATCATTATTATTATTTGCAATTTGTTTATTATTAATATAACGCCCTCGTTGAATCAAAATCGTGACCCACATCTAAGAGTGATCATGAATTGAGGAAATAAAGTTGAAGGTTTCGATAAATGAACAATATTAGTGTGTGCTGATCATTATATCATGATTAGGTATTTTGTATTGATAAAATAGTGGAATATATTTGAACATCAAAATTGTTTGTATGGGCGTTCCTGCTTTAAATATACAGGGTGTAGACAGATTTATGTAACGTTACTTTTAAAAGAAATCTTGTTTTACTTAATTTTCTATAATAATTTGTTATAGCTCTCATTTATTTATTTTTTCAAAGACTCTTATTTTCATTAATTTTCTTTGATTGACACGTATTTTCCTACACATAATTCGATTTTTTCAATTTTCAGATGACACAAATAATTTTTCTGATAATTATTTTCAATATTTCAAGTTACATAGATGCTAGAATTATTCACAATGACTTAGCATTAGAACAAGAGCAATATCAGCAAGATTATGACAAGTATTATCAGCAAAGTATTCAAGAAAATTCCGAAGAACAGGATGATTTAGACAAGCCAACAAGTACTTCACAAGAAACACATTATTATTATGTAAGTCAAGCAAAAATCAATTTTTTTTGCTAGTTAAAATTTCCAAATTTCGGAGTTTTTCATATTTTTTCTTTTTTTTTAGGATTATCCAAAGTACTCCTTCAAATATGGAGTAAACGATTTCCATTCAGGTGACATAAAGTACCACAAGGAAACAAGGGATGGTGACAAAGTCGAGGGTGAATACCACTTGGTTGAACCCGATGGTTCTTTAAGAACCGTCGAGTACCATGTTGATAAACTCTCCGGTTTTGTAGCAGTAGTCAAAAAAACAGCTCTTACTGATCTAAATTCACATGACGAACATACAAATTCTGATGTACAAACCCATCAACAATACCAAGAAACAGAGTCTTAGAATATGATTATTTATTTTTTTTTGCAAAAAAAATTATTAGTCTTTTTGTTGTAAAGTTAGGGCTTGGCTCGACACATAAAGTTTTACATGGCAGGTAAGAAGGATTAAAACTAGCGTAGATTAGGGTTCCTGGGAGATCCTGTTTGATCCTTGACTCGGAGGCCTTGGGTATATTGCTATACCCCTGTATTATTGTATACCAAACCTTCCTTTCATTCTTTGTTTGCATTAAAGCACTTCCAGCTCTTTGCAAATTTCCTGATGTCGTTGATGTTGACTTCTGCTGCTTCCTCTAGTCCCTTCAAAAAAGAGGTACCTACCCTAAAGCGTCGGTTTTTCAATGCCAGATAGTGGCACAGCAGGTGCTCTATGGTTTCTTCTTCCTCTCCGCATTCTCTGCAGTAGTCATCGTTGGAAATCTTCTACCTCACGAGTTTTACCCCCGTTGGACAGTTTCCAGTGACGACACTTATAATTAGGTTCTTTTTGTACTCTAGTAGTTGTTTCCGTTTTTAATCAGTTTTACTATTTCCGTCTTGTAACGGAATTTTAAATTATGTCTTTATTTTCGAGAAAATTTAGTCCAAACATAAGGAATATTTTGTTGATGTTTAACCATCAAAATCTTAAAAATAAAAAAGTTGTCTAAAAATGTGCTACAACACGGATATCGTATAATCCTTTATCTTTAATTTTTTTCTTCATTTATGTAAAAATACCTAGCCTGTTTTACGTAAAACGTTAAATTCCGAACGCTTTTTTTGCTACTTTTTTGGTCTAGTGAAATGGACTTTTAAAGACGCTGTAATATATCTCTTTTTTTGCAAATTTACCGTAAAACTGTTTTTTTTTAACTACTGTATGTTCGTCTACACATAATACGCACATCATGTACAGACGGGGCTTCAGACAAAAATATGTTAAGATTATTTATTGCAAGACTTTATTTATTGTTCACTGTGCTTTAAGGAGCAATAATATTTTTTTCTATTGTTTAATATCTTTCATAAAATAAAATTCCGGCTAATAAATAACCCAACAGGATGAGAATATAATGTCTACATCAAGAATTGACAGAATAACATTTTTCATGGAATTTATTATAAATTCTTTTAAACCATATACGTTTTTAATTGTTTTTAATCTTGATTTTATATGTTGTCTTTGGTTTTTATGTCACTGTAAATTATACCGATATTTTGTATCGTTTAGTGTTAGAAAATGTGTTTGTTTTATGATTTGTAAATCTTGCTTGTATATATATTTTTTTATATCGTTATAAATTATAGAGATTTTTTATGGTATATGTCTGTTAAGTTTAAAATATCGTATCGTTATTTTCTGTATTTATTTTTATTATATTTAATTAGCATACCTATTATCTGAATTAGCAAAATTAAACAATAAACAATATTAGTTTAAAATAACTGTATGTATGTATTAAGTATCATTGTTACCCAATAAAATATGTGTATTTTCTAAATATTGTAAGCAATACTGATTAATCAATTTTAATACAGCTAAAAATTTGCAAAACTTCGGACAAAAGTTTTTTTTAAATGGCACGGTTTGTATAAGAAAGCAATTTTTAAAAAATCATCTTCTTCAAAGGTAAAGTGGTAAAATATATGAAAAATTATTATCCAAAGTAGTTCATTGGTAGTATATTTTTACTTTATTTGATAGAAAATAACATTCTGAATAGAATGACATAACATATGTCAACTTTTGATATTTGCGCACCAATTTTTAATCAAGGAGCCTTGGAAAAACAGATTTGATCGGCTAATATTTTTCGTGGCTTTTCCTGATTGGTTAAAACATGCCCCAATAGTATTTTTAATCAAAATTCAATTTTTTTTAATGGAACCAGGGTATTAAATTAATTGTGTATTTTTTAATCCCATATTCATTTTTTTTATTTTTTTTTTCTTTCCTGTTGATATTAACGATCAATTTATGACAGAGTTCCGATATTACAGCATGTTAAAAATAAGTTCACATGAATAAATTAAATAAAAATCACTTACTATTCTACGAAACGTGATTCCTTTGGAGTAACCTTTGGTGTTTTTAATGGTATTTATATGATTATGAGTGGGATTAATTGAACTTTACCTTCGCAGATTATGTTTTTATTAAAAAAAATAATATGTAAGTGATATAACTGTTTTTACAAGATATTGATATTTATTGCGTGTGAGTTTTCCATTGATTGTTTGAAATTACTAATTCACTAGTATTTGAATTTATTAATTGTATATTTATACTCTTTCTTATATTTCTCTAGATTAATGTTGTATTTGATTTTTTAACAAACTATATTTTTTTAAACGTCACAAAAGTATTAATTTTTGCGACGTGATTGACAAAAAAAAAAGTCATTTTAACGCCTAAGCGTAAAAGTACGAAAATATATTATTAAGCTAACATAAAGTGTCAAATTCAACTAGCGTAACTATAGTTTCTTCATATACATATAATTACATACAAGGTATGAATTTTAAATCTTTTTATATATTATTGGACACGTTTGAAATTGTTTAAAAAAATATTTGTGGCGTTCGGAGTGAAAATGACTTTTTGTGCCTCGGCTGTATGTGGGACTCACTAACTTTTTTTTATTAATAAATTTTCAAGCTTAAAAAATAACAAACAAAAACGTTAAAGCCTCTTAAATGTAGTACAAAATAAAATGCTAACACTGTATTCTTCTAAAGGACGGTACAACCAAAGTACAACTTAGATTTGTACGCCATAGTACCTATTTGGAGATCATGAATGATGTCTGTCTGGGATTACTGTTACGTATGGCATTAAAAATCTGGTCTCGAATGAGAATTTCCTCGTAAATGCTATAGATACGAGATAAAAACCTTGAAAAGGCTTCTTTCAGATGAAGAGTAGTAAGGGAGTCTGCTAATATAAATAAGATAGTTGTGTGGGGATAATTTCTAGTATTGTTCGGTTTGCAATTATGGCGTTATTAAATGTAAGTAACCTATATCCATTATATTTTTACAAAACTTAAGAGATATGAGTATTATTCCCAAGTAAATTTTAAAAAAGATAAATAAGTTTTCCCCATTTTATTTAACAGAAAAAATTATTTGAAACTTTTTAAAGAACTTCTTAAAATGAAGTACATTGTTCATTTTGACTAATTGATACGATTTTGTTTTTAGTTATGATCTTTGGTAGATACAAAATTACTAAATTAGGCGAAAATTTAATATAGTCCGGTCCTGGTCAAACAAACATAACAATCACAAGCTGTCAAAAATATCTATCTAAGTTATTATTCTATAAATCTCTATATTATCTATAAAAAGTTACAAAAGTACACCCTTAACATAATAGGAACTCTAAAAATTCAATATTCAAAAAAAATATTTCGTAGGTAAGTAAAATGCTTCAAAAGATTTTATTTATTAAACAGTAAACAATTCTCAAAATTAAGTAGTTTATAAAATTCGCTAGGCAGTGGTACGATGTTTTTCGACTATTTCTCCAAGTATTCTGGTTCTGGTACTAACTTGTTTTTCATCATCCACTTGCAACAGAATATTTCATTCATTTTTATTTAATAATTCTTGATGATCATTATCAATATTATTCTTCTTTTTATATTCACCGTCCTTAGTAGCTGTTCCTGTTGGAATTCTGCTTTTTACTTTTATATTCTTTAATAACTGTCCTGGCCTATTTGGAAAATGTACAGAAAATAAATCCTTTACAACCTACAGACTATTTCCTGCATTAATATTCTCAATTCATGATTTTATAAATGCTTTTCTATCTCCCTGTATAAAATGAGCACATTGAAGTGTCAGACAGTGAAAAATATTTAAAAAAGTACCCCTTAAAATACCATACGATCGAAAAAAAAAACGGCGTCAAAGATGGTTGGTGAACGAAAATCGATGATAATTGGCAAGACCATGGTCTAGACATCCTATTTTTCTTCATTTTATAATGGCGCTTTCTGCCAGTGGGCCTTAAGAAGACTGTAATTTATTTTTATACAGAGTAAATATTATTTTTAAATGGTGTATTTTAAAATAATTATTGTAGTTTAGAAAAAATATTTTTTTAGAAATAGATCTGTGTAGATCTTTCTATAATTAAGTTTTGTGTCAATTTTAAGTCTAGAGATTAATCTCGACAAAATTGTCATGGATTGTCATTCCCCAGCCGTCTTTGACGCCGTTTTTTTTTCGATCGTGCTTTTCCTCATAAAAAATTAAATTTGTATCTAAATGATATCTTTAAAATCCTCTAATGTACGGGTTGTATCACAATAAATATATTAATTTAAGAACATTTTATCAGTTTATAGATTTTGAAGAATATACAGGGTGAGTGTTAAATAAGTGCAAATATTTTCAGGGGTAGTATATTTCGACCCCAGGAACACGTTTATGAGGTTTTTTTCGCACCACCTGAATCCCCAGTGCGAAATTTAAATTCCAGTTAGTCATCAAAGTTTAATTGATATCAAATATAGTTTATCCTTTACTACGATTTAATTCTAGAATTTTCCAAAGTTCTACATATCATTTAGCACGAACTAATTTATCAGCGATCTTCACTATGGCGCAAATTCGTAATAGATAATAGTGCTGGAAACAAAGAGAAGCATAAAACAGTTTGGTATATCACGATCGCGATGTCACGAAGGAAAATTTACTCTGCAAAGAGATAAAAGTTTTTCTGGGAACTGATTTTTCTCGCTCACACGTACCTACCTAAGTAGTAGATCAAGGTACTGAAATGGTAGCAGTACCATGGCATGACTGTAAATCGTGGATAAGATTTCTTAACTAGATTTAAGGCGGCGTTAAATGTAGCAGAATAAATCTCAGACAGTTTGGTTTTCTTTTATGGTGTTGACGTAGATTTATTTGTCTGTGTAAATAGTTAAGACGATTATCTATCCAAGAAAATCCTTGTCCTGCATCCAGGATATTTTATACAACTCGTTCACATCAAATGTTTTATTGGATTTAATTTTTTATAAAATATATACAGGGTGAGTCCTAAATAAGTGCAAATATTTTAAATAGTATATATTATACAGGGTGTCCCAGAAATAAGTGCAAATATTTTCTATTTTTTTTTGAATTTTTGTGAAATTTGAATTTTTTGGATTTTTTTTTAACTTTTAGTTAAATAACATACCTAATATTTTGATAGTATAGCAACATAGGTAATAAATTAAATTAACAAGAAAGAAGCCCCAGAAAAGATACAGTGGTTCTCAAAATTTAAGCAAAATATAATGTTTTTTTTTAATGTTTAAAGTAAAATAACTCGATTATTTTGGACTTATTTGAAAAACGGCAAAGAGAAAATATGTATCTTTTATCGAAGTCTAACAGCCGTGAAAAAATTTGCATCTATTTAAGATTCACCCTGTATAAGTAGGTATTGTATATAGTTCGTCAAAAAGAGTCAGTGAATAGTTCGATAGACTGAATTATTTTTATTATTTATATTTTTAATGATTAACTGAAATACTGAAGGATATTTTTTTAATAACAATTATTTTGTTTGGTTTGTTTCAGGCACTGGTACTTATAAGTTTAGCAGCTATTTCCCAAGCAGGTTTCGCTGGCCATTATGGTAGTTATTCCCTAGATGCAGCCCTAGGACATGGCGGAGTGGCATATGCCCCAGCTCCTGCATATGCCATTGCTGCGGCCGTGCCAAAATATGCAGCTGTGGCACCTGGGGGACCTGTGCCATATTCCACAGGAGAGCATGGTCACGACGTAGACTATTACGTAAGAACCTTTTTATAAACTTTTTTTTTAACTTTTTTAAATTCACACTACAGATTAGGTATACTATATGTATACAGATAAAAATCTTATAAATATCGCTAAACCGAATAGCGTGCATGGACGTTAATAAGGCTAGGTATTATTTCCTTTACGTGAGGTGGTATTAACAAGAGAGTTAATATTTATGTTTTAATTTATAGTTATCGGAATTTTGTTCGAAAAACGAAAAACAATAAAGAAAAAACAAAGTTTATAATCTGTGCTCACACAGTCAGTTAACTGAAAGTAAAAAAATCCTTTACGTAATATTAAAAATAATTTTTCTTTCTTTTTAGGCCCATCCGAAATACTCATACAACTACGGTGTAGCGGACGGATACACCGGTGACAGTAAGTCCCAAACCGAGACACGAGATGGCGACGTAGTCAAAGGATCGTACAGCGTTGCCGAACCTGACGGCTCGATCCGTGTAGTCCACTACACCGCCGACGACCACAACGGCTTCAACGCTGTGGTCAAGAAAATCGGACCAGGTTACCATCCAGGGGTAGCCAAGTTTGCTGCGCCTGTAGCCTACGCTCCTGCTCCAGCATACCATGGTGGGTTTGGTCATGGTATACTTGGTGGAGCGTATAAGCATTATTAGAAGAAGCTTTAAGTACGCTTGTAGCATGACAAACAATGTAAATTACGTAGGTTTAGTGTAAAAATACTGGCACAAAATCTGGTAACTCAAAACGTACTGTAAATTTTGTAAGCCGTAAGAAATAAATTATTTAAAAATTAGATACTGTGTTGGTTTTATTTTGTAAATGAAGTCAATAATTCTATTAAAAAAAGGTATTTACAGTATATATGTCTCCGGATTATCTTTACAAGAGAAAAATCTTTTTTATTATTTGCTTTTTGGACTCACTTCAAAAAATTCATTGCTATATTTTGATTGAAAGCATTAATTAATGTTGTTTTTCATGAACTTATTTTCCTGAATATGTAACTTTGTTTACTCTGAAAACGTATCTACTATTTGTAAACAAAATTTTACACCTTTAAATGACTTTTTACCAGTACCTAGTAATTATACAAAGTATTTTGTTAAAACAATGACAGTGTTTCATTAACGATTTTGTTTGGCACATTTCTCACAGCTCAGACAAGGTGAAAAAAAATGTTGCAATACATTCTTACTTTGTTTATATAATAGCTAAATTGTGTTATAAATAGAATAGATTAAATAAGTTCATTTTGTTTAAATTTATTTGGAAGACTGAAAGGATTCTGAGAAAGTGTTATAATAAGAATATGCTTTATTTCACATATTCTCAAATTAATTATAAGTAACACTATTATATAATCACCCCAAAAAAAATATATCTCATTTCTTTTTATAGTTTATGCTCATTTTTTGTCTCCGTTATTATATCTTTCAAAATAATACCAGTCCAGAAATAGTTATTTTTTATACAAGACGATAAATTGGTAAGGAATTTATTACGAGTAGAAAAAATATTGTGCTGGGTTGGCGTTGGTTTCTATGTAATTTGACAAATAAATAAAGCTGTCTCTTTAGTTGTCAGTTTTGAGTCAATATTTTTCAATTCTCTTTCGTGTCGATTGCTGATTGAATTGGAGCGAGAAATGGCTCAAAACGAATTGAGTAAATTACCAACAGATATTCAGGCTGAGGCGACAAACGCCATATCCAAACTACTTCCATTTTTTCACTTCCAATTTAAATCGCGAATAACTTATGAAAAGGAATACAAAAATTTTCAAAAATGGAAGCAATTAAAATACGTGCGAGAAGAAATAAAGTTTTTAACCTATCCTCGCTGTTAAAGTATCATTTAATCTACCGTTAAAGTACTTTTGTATCTACTATTTTTGAAAGATATTAGGCAATTTTAACAGTTGCTATGAAAAAAAAATACATTTCTGTCAACTAGTTCGTTGAACATTACTTTAGTTTTTGCTAAATTTATTTTGAGACCTACTTTATTGCTGGCTGTATTTAGTTCTTTAATTTGTGTTCGTTTTTCGTCTGTTTTTAATCCCTTGTTGGTCCAATCCAGTTGACGGAAGGCCTGTCAATGCCTTGTTTAGGATATATCACATCGAAAGCCTTCTCAAAGCCTATAAAAGCTATGGCCAGTGGAAGTTCGTATACTTTTGTTCAGCTGATAGTTTCTCTAGTGCATGTATGTGATCGTGCTGAAGCCTCTTCTAAAGCCTGCTTGTTCTCGTGGTTGTGCAGCTTCTAGTGTGTTTTTTATTCTGTTGTTTATTATTTTTGTAAATATCTTGTATGCTAGTTTCTGATATCTTCTTCTGAATTAGAATTATGTTGGCGCTATTCCATTTTCTTATATTTAACTTAATCTAAAACAAATAAATAGAGCTTTAAATAAAACAAACATTCTTCAATGTCACTGTTGAAAGAAAATAGACTTATTTAGTAAGATTTATGCAACACATCATTAAAGGAACATTAGAAACAATTAAATTTTATCAACTTTATCTAGACAAAAGATTTAATAAGCTGATATTATCGCGAATGCGTGGAGGAATGGACTAGGTACTTATTTTTTATGTAAATTGCTTGACTAATTTTAATAATATCTAGAAAAAAGCAGATCCTTAAATAAATTGAAATAGGTATGGTCAAATATAACAAATCGAAGTTGGTTTATGAATAAAGTACAGTATGCTCAAAATAGAAGTACAAAATGCTCAAAAAGTTTATTTGGTTTGAACTGTATTTATAGTTTTACTGACATCTGTCACATTGCATAAGTATGTGGTTGTAAAATTATTAAGAGATATTTTTTTGTTTCCTTTTTAGATAATGTTTGATTAGAGTGAAAGTTTTTTTTACACAAAAGAAACACCAGGTCGTAGAGTGCAGCAAAGCTCAAATTTTCTCTAATTTAATCATCATTGCTTCTCTCCATATTTCTAAATCCGTGCTGCCTTTAGAACACTCTGTATAGTCAATATCAATATTTATATATTAATTAACCAAAACAAACATTGAAATATGTTTATAAATTCATATTTTTCAATGCCGTTACAATTTTTTTAATGCACGCAAAGAAAATTAAAAAAAATGTTCGTACAGCTATTATTGTAATGGCTCTTCGCATAATGACATAATTAGCACCAATTAAAAGTTCTTTAAATAGATGTAGAACTAAATCGCATACATAACTAATGTATACTAAGCCAGGCAGAAAATCGCTATTAATTGTAATTGTTGCAATTACTAATAAGTCAAAACGATTAAATCAAAAATTACGCGTATTTCTGCTTGATAAAAGAATATTGCTTTTCTGATTTGTGTTTTTCTATATTGATTCTTCCATAATTATATTTAAAAGTAGTCTCTTTCTCTTTCTCTTTCTCTTTTTCTTTCTCTATTTTTTCTCTTTTTTCTTTTTCTTTCTCTTTTTCTTTCTCTTTTATCTTTTTCTTTTTCTTTCTCTTTTTCTTTCTCTTTTTTCTTTTTCTTTTTCTTTTTCTTTTTCTTTTTCTTTTTCTTTTTCTTTTTCTTTTTCTTTTTCTTTTTCATTTTCATCTTTCGTTGTTTTTCTTTTTCTTTTTTATCTTTTGTTGTTTTTTCCCTTAAAAAGAAAAATATGTGTTTATCTTTCTTATTTTTTCCGAAACGCCTCGTATGTATGGAATTGTTGTTATAATTGTGTATAATATATTCTGCGTATGGCTTGGGGTTTGTATTTTATTTAATGGTTTTGTCAATAAAAAAGATCATCATAATGTCTATTTTCGATCTTCTTGAATAGATAATTCGGAATTCACGTCAGCGCGTAATCTGATTATCTAAATAGTTAAAGTTGTATTCTATTGCAAAATCAACACCAAATAAAACCTCCCGAAGACAATGGTCCGTCTCATTATCACACTAATTGCTATAATTATAGCTGAGTGAACTGAATGAAGTAGACGCCTGAAAATCATCTACACTGAAAAAAATCTTTAGAACACTTTAGTTTTTTAAAACAGATACATCTACAAAAACCGTTGACGTTCTGTTAAAATGACATTATATCATGTTAAACTTCATAATTAACAATTACTACCTGATAAGAATTACTTAATAAGGTAAAACCAAAAAGCCCCAAACTTTCTATATGATTATTTTTAATTTTTACGTATGTTATGTTCTTTAAAATCAAAGAAGCGATTGCCATACATTACTAACATCTACAGATGCATGAGCAATACATTTATTTTTATTAGATTGTATTAAAAAAGCCTCCTTTATTTTTCTTTTAGAGGCTATCGTTTCTTTCATTATAATTTTGGCGTTATTAAAATTTATTCTGTGCCCTGTGTCCCATGAATGATGACAAATCTTAGATTTGTGAAAATCTCCCTTTCTTAAATAATCTTTATGTTCTTTAATTTGAACATTTAAAGGTCTAGAAATTTATTGCATTCACATGGTATTTTGTATATTACATTTTTTGTTAGGTTGTACTCTCTTTCTCTTTCTCTTTCTCTTTCTCTTTCTCTTTCTCTTTCTCTTTTTTCTTTTTCTCTTTCTTTTTCTTTTTCATCTTTCGTTGTTAATAAATAAAAAATATATGTTTTTCAGCCTTTATTAAAAAAGATATTACACATAGATTATACACAAATACGATCGAAAAAACGGCGTCAAAGACGGCTGGGAAATGACAATCCATATAAAATGAAAAAGTCGTCTAAGGTTTGACCTCCCCAAAATTATCATCCATTGTCATTCTCAGCCGTCTTTGACGCGTTTTTTTTCGATCGTATAAATATATATTGTGTATAGACCATTATAGCAGATTTTTCTCTTTGTGTAGCATAAATTTTGAGCTGTCAAAGGACCGTCTGTCTGTCTGTCCGTCGTGAGGATTTTGGGCAGCCTTGCCTTGGGGGTCGCTAAAAGCGAAATTGCACCATAGACTCACATCATAGGTTCCAAGGTGGGGTTCCTGTGCGCTGGGAACCAAGCACAGCATATAAGCATTGTTTGGAGGAATAAGTGTGTCAGTCGTTCCGAATAGCGCATATTTTAATAAGAATTTTTGCGAGAAAAAAAAAGATTAAAAATGCACAGCAGTTTAACGGTAATTAGCTGTTTTAATTAATTGCAACTGAAAAAAAAGGTGTCGATTGTGGAGAAGCCGATGAAGTCTGAAATTGTTTGAAGTTTTTTGTGATAAAAATATAAGTGTTTTAGTGATATTAGAATTTGGAAAACGTGTCTATAAGAATAAGTATACACTATTTTCACCCATTTGAATGATCATAAATTTTATTATTTTTTTTTGTAAAATACCACTATTTTGAATCTAAATGGAAACTAGATGGTCAGTGGTCTCTTTTTGTACAGGTATATTAACTGGAAACATTATTATAATTAAAGAACTGATAGGCCTCGAAACGAAACATAAAAGAGGCTTTTTTAATCCAATCAAATATAAATAAATGTATTGTTTAGTCATCTGTAGATGTTCTGGAATGTATGGCTATCGCTCATTTGATTTTTTCCGTTGAACAGCATCACCAAAATTCAAAAAAAATATTTCATATACAGAAATTTTAACCTTTTTTTTTGGTTTTACCTCATTAGTAAATTGTTAATTTGTCGTTTGATTTTATATAAAGTCAGTACAGGGTAGAGTCTTAAATAAGTACAAATATATAGGTAGTGTATTTCGACCACACATAAATACGATTTAGTTTTGTAAAAAAAAAATTTGAAAAATTTTGAATTTTTTGGAAAAAAATTTTGGAATTTTTTTTAGTTAAAAAACATAATTTCTTCATAATATAGCAATATAGCCAGTAGGTTAAATTTACCAGAAAGAAAATCCACAAAAGATCTAGTGGTTCTCAAAGTTAAACCATCATTTTTTTTGGGAAATTTTCAAAAACGGTAAAGAGAAAAAATATGTTTCTTTGATCGATATCTACAAGCCCTGAAAATATTTGCACTTATTGAAGACTCACCCTGTATAATTCGAACGTTAACGATTTTTAATAAAGGTGTATGCTAAAAATCTAAAGTGTTCTAGTTACATTTGAAATCATTTCTTCCTTATTCTTTTGGTTTTTTGCTTCCGAAGATGGGTGAAGGTTTTTTCCCCTCATTTTTAACGTAAAATTGAAATTATCTTAAAAAAGTGTTAGATTTAAATGTGGAATTATTAGGATTTAAAATTTTAATATAGAATTTAAAAATCGTGGAATTTACTGATGGCGGTTTTTTTAGGAAATATATCGGGGTTGTCGCTCAAAATCGTATATTTAAACATAGGCTCTGATATGGCATTATACTGTTTTTTTCTCTGTTACAGTATTTTCTCTTTACTGTTTTCAAAAGAAATCCAAAATAACTGAGTTATTTTACTTTCAAAATTTAAAAAAAATTGTTTAAATTTTCAGAACCACTGACTTTTTCTGGATTTATTTCCTCTAAATTTAGTCTACCACCTATGTTGCCATATTATCAAGATATTATGTTTTTTTAACCGAAAATAAAAAAAATATATATTATTTTTTTTTTCGAAAAATACAAAATTTTCTGGAATATAAATATACCACTCCTAAAAATATTTGTACTAATTTAAGACACACCCTGTATAAATTTATAGGAAATATTTTCAACAGTATTCAATTTGCAAGTTGGTAAAGACTCTAGCCCAATAAAAATTTTAGCTACTTCGAGTTAAATCAGAAAAGTCAGGAAAAAAACGAAAAAAATAAAAAATAAAAATATGAAAATAAATTTTTCAAAATAAAGTGCATCTCGAGATATCTTTTGCACAAAACATACTGGATTGTGTATAAATATTATTCTAAAAAAGTTTTAACAAACATGTTTTTGAAAAACCCTGTAGATATTGCTCAACATCTGTAAATAATTATTTTTTACCAAAAGTAAAAGTGTCAGATGGTAAGCACTGGAATTTTTGGCAAACAAAAATTTTATTTGACTTCAATTTCTCACATCGACATCTGTCATGTATTAAAGCAACTACCAAAAATTATTTATGTGATGATAAATTAACGTGACGGTACTTTCAATTATTTTAGGTAATAATCTTTGGTGTATTTTCGTTGGTACCAAATATACACGGCGGAATTCTTTCGCAAGAAGAGGATCCTCATTATAAGTATAAGTATGTGCCTGAAGAAGTAGATTATCACGTGAGTATAAACAGTTTTTAATGTTTTTTTTTAATAAAAATATCGTTAGTTTTTTGAACAAAAGTGAACAAAAAATGAACAAAAGTGAACAAAAAATATTACATTATTTTTGGTATATATTTTTAAAATTCCAACACCCTGTGTATTGTACTGTATATTATACATTCTCTACTAAAGTTCTACACTAAGGCTTATTCAGGTAGCACTTGACAGCCATATGTTTTGTCAAGGCACTTTTGCCAAGGCATTTGACAGCCATATGTTTTGTCAAGAGACCTATTGTCGTCTGAGTCACAAACGTCACAAAAGAATTAATTTTTGCGACGTGATTGTCAATATAAAAAAGTAATTTTAACGCCTAGGCATAAAAGTAAAGCACTTATGCGCCTAAGAACAAGAGTAAAAATTAGTATTGTCTTTTTTTAGTCTCATCCAAAATACGCCTTTAAATATGGAGTATCAGATCCTCAGACAGGAGATCACAAATCACAGACGGAAGTACGTGATGGTGAAGTTGTCAAAGGGCAGTACTCATTGGTTGAACCCGATGGTTCCATCAGAACAGTCAATTACGTAGCCGATCCTGTAAATGGTAACATTTTTTTTAGAAAATTTGTTTTTAGTATCATCAAAAAAGAAAATTAGACCAATTTACATTTGATTGAACATTTTTGAAGCATTCTACGTAAAAGGGTGCTTTGGAAATGTTTTCATAGAAATATAAAATTTTCCATAACAAAAAAGTTACAGCGATTTGTTAAAAATGCATATTTTTGTAAAACACCCCGTAACTCCGAAACGGTAACAGATATTGATGTGCGGTTTTCACCATCATGTTTTTGATGAAAATTGAGCTCCAGACATCGATATTAGTTTTCATCTATCTCCTATAGAAAAGGGTGTTTTCATTACATTCAATCTAATCTACAATCTTTTACATAACAATATTTCTTTTATCAAATTCTTTGATAAATATCTCGAAAAAATACACAATACTAACAGATTTTTTCTTCAAACAATGGTACTACTTCCTGACTGTTTTCAGGCTTCAACGCTGTCGTTTCCAAAAGTGGGCCATCTGTCCATATCGAGCCGCAACAACATCTGGTACCGGAAACTGTAGTACAGGCAGCGCCACCTGTGTCTACTTACGTCAAAAAAGTCGTACCGACATACGTCAAGCAAGTGGTACCTGTTTATAAATCGCTACCGGCCGCGACACCTAGCATACAGTACCAGAAGCCGATCGTGAAGTACACCACGCCGATAGGTAAGAATTCTGTATTTTTACTTTTTTTAACAAGTTTCTATTCATTTTACTGGTAGTATACTTTTAAAAAATAGTACTGACGCTTTATGTTATTATTACATAAAAACATTCAAAAAAACAAATTTTGTGGAAAACAAATAGTGCTAAAAACTCCCATGTTTTTTGGAGGAATTGATCTTTTTTGAGAATAGATTATCTCTTATCTTTTTTATAAATTATTCGCCGGAACCTGTACTGCATTTTGAAAGTACCATCCATTTTAAGGAAGGTAGAGATAAGTGCCTTTTCTGGTACTTGTCTGCTTGTTAAAGTAGGAAATACCATCCAAAGAAAAAGGGTGAATAACCACTCCACCTCTATTTTAGTATAATTTTGCTTCCATTTGTTAATTTTTCTTACGAAAATATCAATATGAATTGATTGACAATGAATTAACAGACATTTTAGACGGTTTGTATATACATAAGTTTGAAATAATAGCGAATAAAATTAATATAATAAAGAAACATAACATTTCTTTGCAATACTAATAAAATAAAGTGTTCTGTAATACTGCATATAAATCTTTACTAGATGGCAGTGATTAAACATATTTGTTCTTTGAACTAAAATATATAGCAATTATAATTAAATTAATTTTCATTTGGGGTAAAATTGCTTGTGACAGTAGCATAAAATAAGATAAATTAATATTTATAACTAATAAAAATATTTAAGTCTCACCCACACAAAAGTTTCAAAACGCAATCAAACATTTTTCTTTAGTCAGGTACTAAAAAGTACATGAGGTACTATTTCCGCAGTTAATAAAAAATGCTTAATTTAAACAAATTTATTATAATTTAAAAAAATCACTATAAATACTATAAATTTTTTATTGCTTCAGATATAAAAAAACGAGATGGGGTTTGGTTTGGTTGTTACTAATTTTAAGGATCATTTAGTTAATATTAGGGGATCATCCTATACGGTTTCACATATTTTATTAATTTAATTTTTCCATTTTTAGATAATTCGTATTTAGGGTTGGATGGTTGTAATTATATTCTGTGTGATATATAAAACAATAGCAGCCAATTATTCAATTCATTTTTTCGGGGTTATATGTTTTTGACAATTGGCTTTCTATTTTCTTACTAAATTGAAAATTGTTAAAGAAAGCGGAATGAATATATGTCGAAAAAAATTGGGCAATACATTTCAATGTAATTATAGATGACTTACATGATACAGTATCAATATTTCTCCAATTATACAGGGTTGTTCACCACATACGACACGGAGTATTGTAGCTAAACGATGAGATTTTTACAAATTGTAAGCTTGGGGTTCGTTGAAGGACTATTAGAGCTACAATTTAAAAATATTTTTACAAGATACAGAGTGTCCCAAATAAATAAAAAATATCAAAGTTGTATTTTTTTAAATGGAACACCCTGTATATTATTACATTTTTAATTTCTACGATTAAAATAAAGGTAAATTTGATTAAGCTTTATTATACTTAAACCTTACCGTTTTGAAATATTTTCAATTTTGTGAAATTGCAGTAAAATTTTAAAGCTTCATTCCTCCAAGGGTATCAATGTTTTTAATACTAAATATTTAATGAAGTTTATTTATTGATCAGTTATTGTGTTGCAATAATAAAAATAATACTACCTTATACAGAGTGTCTAAAAATTTATTTTAAATAATTATTAGCTTCAAACGGCAATAACTTCTTTAATTTAAATGGAATGCCCTGTATATTTTAGGAGAATCAGAGGCACAATTAAATTGTCTATCAAATTGTATTATACCGTTTTTTACCTATCCCTTCAAGTTTTCGTAGAAAATGCATTTTCTTATAATTTAGACCTCATTTATCAATATATCCATGGAATATTGACATTTTAGATTGTTTTTAAAGCAACAAATGTACAAAATATACAGACTAGTAATATTATCGTATATTACTAGCCCATTTGTATGCAAAAAGAAAACTATTTAAATCTTTATAAAAGAGTATATCATTAATTAAATATAACACCATTATTTCCGCCCATATACTAATTAATGACATACTTAATTGTGTTCGTTAATAAATTATTATAAATAAATGTGGATTTTTGAGTCAGAAATCAATATAATAATAAGTTATCAAATTAAAGTCTTTGTTGTTATAAATAAGCATTTATTAAAAAATGAAATATCATTTTTAAGGTGTTACTTTTTATCACACTGTCTAATGCCCATACAAAATTCAATTTTTTAGTATTTGGAGCAATTATTATTAATCAACGCAAACAGTCAGTTAATGTAGTTTGAATACTGGAATCATATTAATTGGTCCTCTTTAACAAATATTTAAACAGTTTTTTTTATTTTTTAATGAAATAAACGAATTATATCGACAATATTAGTATCTGTACTCTTTAAAAATTTGGTACATCTTTAAAAATAATCTAAAATGTCAATAGTCCATGGGGATAATTTGATAGACAATTAAATTGTGCATCTGATTCTCGTTAATAAATATCTTATAATAGTTAATAATATATATAAATAGATCTTTAATAAATAAGGTACAACCTAGCATTTTTGTGTTTACATCTTGTTTGTATATCTTAGGTACCTTTGTTTTTTACCCTAAGATTTAATTAATTATATCATTTGTCTGAGAACTGATGTACATATCTTTAATAGTGACATACAAGCAAAGATCAATTAAATCAAACAAAGGAGTAGGTTCATAAATAATTTAGTACCATACATTAGCATACACACACGTATGCTAATTGACTTCGAAGACTTATTATAAGTGCTACAGTTTTTTTGTGCCATTTTTCAGACACACAATAATCGGAAATGCTCGCCAGCAAAGAAATGTGGCATTTCGTTTTAAAAACCTGTTTAATTGTGTTTTTTTTTCGTAAGGATTCTTATAATGTCAAACTGGATTACTTATCATGCAGCCTTGATATTTACGAAATTAGTCCTGCTGCTACTTAACGAGTACCCGAAAATTCGTCTAGAATATTAAATTAGATTCCACAATTATATTTGCATGTGTGTGGAGAAAAAATACAATACCTGTTATACGCTTTTATTTAACTTGCAATGTTGTACCTTTTAAAATTTTGGAACTATATTTTTCAGCAAATTTTGTTAAAAAAACATAGTTTCATAGTTGTCGATTTTCGAAAGAAATCAGTACATGTATATTATTTCGTATATTTTTCATTTTATTGATTTTATGCAACATGTCACATTTTTTCTCATCATAGAAACTATCGTTTTCTTAAACATTATGGAAAGCACTGTCCATTAAAATGTTGTATCCTATGTTATAGGGCTTGTTTCTCTCTACAATTTCCTGTCTCACAATGTACCGTTTGTGTCCAGGAAGGGTTTATAGTTTCATAGTTGTCGATTTTCGAAAGAAATCAGTAGGTACTTGTATATTATTTCCTATATTTTTCATTTTATTGATTTTATGGAAAGCACTGTTCATTAAAATGTTGTATCCTATGTTATAGGGCTTGTTTCTCTCTACAATTTCCTGTCTCACAATGTACTGTTTATATCAGGGAAGGGATCATAGTTTCATAGTTGTCGATTTTCGAAAGAAATCAGTACATGTTTATTATTTCGTATATTTTTTATTATATTGATTTTATGGAAAGCACTGTTCATTTTATTTTGTAGATTTTGTTACAGTGGCGAAAAACCCAAAAGTCTTTTGGAGAAACATTCGTTTATATTTCTTATAACAAATAGTATTTAGCAAGCTGAAGTGCGATTGTCTTATTAAAAACAAGTGTTCGCCAATATTTGAATAGCGTGAAAAGGTTTTTTTCGTCATGTTCTAAAGAAACACAAATATATGTATATACCGTCTGCATAAATCAACATTTACTTTAGTTAAATATGTTATTCCAGACAGCTTTAGAGCCATACGTGATATACAAGGGTTAATCAAATTTATCTAAATGCAGAGGTGGGTAACATGGTTTTTGAAATGTATTTAAAATAAAAATACAAAATAGATAATAGAAAAACTATTTAAAAAACAAAGTAGAAAATACTTTTTAAAATTGTATTTAAAATACCAAATAGAAAATGGATATTTTGTATGGCTATTTTAAATAATTTTATTTGAAATAGTTACCTACCTCTGTCTAAATAATAGGTAATATATAGGGTTAGTCTTAAATAAATGCAAATATTTCTAGAGATGGTAGAACTCGATAAGAGAAATATATTCTTCCTCTACTATTTTTCAAATAAGTTGGACTTCATAATTGACTTGAAGATAATTTAAAAAGAAATATTTTTGCTTTAATTTTGAGAACCACTGTATTTTTTTTGAGTTTTCGATCTTTTAAATTTAATCTATTTTCTGTATTGCCATTATATCATTACATAGATATTATGTTTATAACTAAAAATTAAAAAGAAAATCCAATTGTTTTTGAAAAAATACAAAATTTTCAAAAAAAAAAAGTTTTTTTTATAAACAAGTGCTGCTACATAAAGTCTATATGCAAACTAAAATAAAGTCTTGTAAATTTGATATGACCCTCGTATTTTAATAGACTCATTTATTATATAACTTTCTTTTAAACCAAAACACTACGAAATTTAAATAAACATTACCGTAATATTACGAGCTTATACTCTTATAACGGATTTGTTGTTATTCAGCGCTGGTATTAAAAATAAGTATAACAATAAGGCGGAGTGCAATACTTTAATAAATGGTATAAATAATAATATTGCGTTTCTTAGATAATCTCTCTATAAATTTATGTGGTAATAACGGTAGCGAAATTATTGATATAAATAACGTATTGAACCAGATTAAATATCAGAAAAATACTAGCTAATAGATTTTTTCTTTATATAGCTTTTTTATATATTTTATAAAATACTAGCGTGTACCCAAGCGACTTCGTTCGTGTCGAATTAATCATTTGTAATGGTGATGATAAAGCAAAGCAAGAATTTCCATTAACATACAAACTGGATAAAATTTTCTCACATATTTGCTTTTTACGTCAAGCGCTTGAAGCCGGATCGTGATTGATTAATCAATGACCAGATTTTTCGAAACACCATGTATACATTTTTAAAAAATCTTAAAATATGTAAAAAAACAAAATAAAATATACGTGTTTAGGCGTTTTTTCGGAAACTTGACCGTTTTTTAAATAAAAAATATTGTAATATTTGAGGGGTGGTTTCGCCCCCTTGGAACTGGAATTTCGAAAAATCCCTCCTTATCGAACCTCTACACCCTATAGTCAATCCGTTTTCCAAAAATCAGCTTTTTACGTCAAGCGCTTTAAGCAGGATCGAGATTAATTAGTATGTCAGTCACTTAAGGATTCTATATATTTTGTATAGATGAAAGTTCTTTTTTTAATTAGAGATATCTATGTATGTTCTTTAAAATTTAAATACCTAGGCTGCCTCGTTACAAACAGATGGGATCCAGAAGTCGAGATCAGAAGCAGAATTGAACAAGCTCGATCAACTTTTCTTAAACTTAAAAAATTCCTAACGAATAATGATCTCAGCTTTCAACTCAGATATAGAATGGTTAAATGTTATGTCTGGTCCGTCTTGTTGTATGGTGTCGAAGCCTGGACTCTTAAAGTAACCTCGATAAACAGACTGGAGGCATTTGAAATGTGGACTCTTAGAAGAATGTTTAGAATCCCTTGGACAGACCTGGTAAGAAATGAAGAAGTTCTTGGAAAAGCCGGTCTGACTAGCCGTGAACTATTCGACGCCATTAAGAAAAGAAAGACGTCTTATTTGGGACACATCCTGCGTGGTCCTCGTTATGAATTCCAACGTCTTATCCTACAAGGAAAAATCGAAGGAAAAAGGGGAATAGGAAGAAAAAAACTTTCATGGCTCAGGAACATTCGACAATGGACGGGAATACATGACTTTATGTCTCTCCAAAATACTGCTTTAAATAGAGAAATCTGACAGGATGCAAATGGACGGTCGCCTACGCAGGAATCTGCTTGGCACTTTAAGAAGAAGAAGAATGTATGTTCTTTAAAAAAACTTTTTTCATACCAATATCTGACCTGTTTTTTTTGTGATTTTCCTCTTCTGTACAAGTTAGTAACGGTTTAAACAAATCTGCAAAAAAATTTGGTACATATAAACATAACCTCGATGATGGATTACGTACTATAAATAAAGACTATACAGGGTGGTCCGAACTGTATGCCGGCAATATATTCTGCAGATAAAAATAAGTAAAAAAGTTCGTACAAATGTATGTCCTAAAATGCTTAGTTTTGGGGATACCGAGTTTAGAAGTTTCATTTTAATTTTTTTTATGTAAAAAATCACGTAAATGTAAATGTTTTCACTTAGTAGTTTTATACAGGTACGGACGGAAAGTTACTACTCTTCAAAACAGTTTAAACATTTGTAAGTGGCGCCCCCTAAAAATAAGATTCATACTGACATCAAAATCAAATTTCGCGTGTTAAAAAACTCCCAGACACTAGTTTTCATCCAAATATTGACGTTACTACAAACCCTGTATCTCCGAAGAGTTGTTGTTGGATCCTGTATCTCCAAACAACAATTTTTCCAAACAACAGGAAAAAACTATTTTCTGTTTGTCAAATACTGAAACTTATGTGGTAGCGCTCCCCGTATCCCCATACAAAACGTAAATCACGAATATTCTCAAAGTAGTTCGTTCGTACCCACATTTCCCATCGATTCTGCCGCATTTTTTATTCAAAATTAACGCAATGCATTTCATCGTTAGGCGGTTGCGTCATTGCGATGATTCAACAACCAATCAAAATTCACAGATGACATTTTAAGGTTATACCGATGATGGCAGACGGTATCAGCTTATAGAAAGGAACAGCGAAACGGACGAATGTTAGAGATCAAATGTCAGATTTTTTATTTCGGAATCATCAAAGCTGGGAATCTATGTCTAAAGGCCCATTTACATGTCGTCGTTCCTTGTAAGGAAGAGTATAGTACGTCGAAGAAGGGAGATTTTGAGTTGTATCTATTTTGCGACAATTGAATAGAACTATTATCTCAAAATATAAGGGTGGTACGAACTGTATTCCGGAAATTTTGGCAGCATACTCTGTAGATAAAAATGAGTAAAAAAGTTCGTATAAATGTATGTCCTAAAATGCTTACTTTCGGAGATACAGGGTGTACAAGTTTCATTTTTATTTGAATGTTTTCCAAATAATTTTTAAAGCAACGTCAATATTTGAATGAAATTAGGTGTCTGGGAGTTTTTTGACATGAGAAATTTGATTTTGATGTCAATATGACTCCTAATTTTAGAGGGCACCACCTACATATTTTTTAACTGGTTTGAAGTATAATAACTGTTCGTCCGTACCTGTATAAAAGTACTGAGTAAAAAAATATACATTTACGGTGTTTTTACGTAAAAAATGCCTCTTGCTAAAAATCGCTACAAGTAATGGTTTTCGAAATATTTGGAATCGATATTATCAATACCTGTCATCATTGACATAAATTAAACATGTTAACTAAATAGTTATTAGACCGAAATCATAAATCTGTTTTATTATCACTTTTTCGAAGAAAAATTTATGATTAATTTTAAAAAAAGTTTATCATTTCGGTCAAATAAGTATCTACTCAACATGCTTATTTTTTGTCAATAATGACATATATTGATATGGAATACACAGGGTGATTCAGATTTTACTAGAATAACTTCAGGTATCTCGATAGAACTAACCGAAATAATGATTTTGAATTATAAACCATACTCCAAAAACGCTTCCGCTTGGAGTAAAATGGCGCTAAAATTGGCAACGTGGCTGATATGTGTGAAAAAAATTGGATTAATTGCTATACAGGGTGTTGTTTTTGTGAGTGTCAACTGCACGGAATCTTGTAGAACTTTTTTGTCGCACGCCACTGGATAAATTTGTTTTTTTTTCTGATACCTTCCGTCTTTTTACTAATTTTTCTTGTTCTTAAAGTTTTTTGATCTGTCGTCTTAGTTTTCGAGATATTCCACAAAATTCAGGACATAGCTCGGCTGCGTTCGAAAAATGTTACTTAATTAGCAGCATGCCTTGGAGAACTTAATTCAAATTTTGGCGCCATTTTACTCCAATCGGAAGTTATTCTAGTAAAATCTGAATCACCCTGTATATGGAAATGTATATTTTTCACTCAGTAGTTTTATATAGGTACGGACGAAAAGTTATTACTCTCCAAACCAGATAAAAAAATTGTAGGTGGCGCTCTCTAGAATAGGAGCCATATTGACATCAAAATCCAAATTTCTTATGTCAAAAAAACCCCAGACACCAATTTTCATCCAAATATTGACGTTACGTCAGAAATTATTTAGAAAAAATCGAAATAAAAATAAATTTAGAGCATTTTAGAACATAGGTACATTTATACAAACTTTTTTACTTATTTTTATCTGTAAAATATGCTGCCAAAGTTTCCGGAATACAGTTCGGACCACCCTGTATATTTTCTTCTAGTGGGCCGATTTTGATGATTTTTAAAGTAATTTGTAGGTGAATTATTTGACTTTTTAGTATCTCTTTGAAAATTAAAAAGGAAAATTTTCATCTGTCAATTATATGAGGGAAAACAGTATGTTGATATTTTTGTGAACTTTTAAAACACTGTGGAATAAGTTAACATAGCAAGGAATTTAAAAATAATTTTATCATCTAGGTACATTCTTTCTCGATAGTTTGTTTTTTGGTTTATCTCTATAGCCTTATTTTTGTTGGAGATATTCGTTTTTGAAGAAGACACTAACATTTTTTTCGTAATTTTTACATTAAATATATGGTCCTAATCAACACACCTAGTAAAATGTAATCCCAAAGCAGGCCTTCTTGTCATAAGATTTGTTTCGTTTAATCTTCTTCTTTACAGTTCGTTCAGTTAGATGTCCGTTCCTTAGGCGCAATTCACTGTAATTTTTTTTTCGGTTTCTTAGCGATAAACTTACAATAAATCCATCGTCTCGATTCAAAGTTCTGGACGTCAAGCTAAATCTGCTAGCGTCATCATTTTGATCTTTATCATCTTCAGTTTAAAGCAACTATAGCGGATACAACTTCTGGACTTAGAGAATATTGCAAAACGTTCAGTAAAAAACAGGATAAGCTTTTATTAAGGTAAATACCACAGATACACTTCAAATCAGAATCCGGGTACTTTTTTAAATGTCAGACGATCTCAACTCCTGACAAGGATCTTTTTAATTCGCTATTTTACAGATTTAAAATTTTGTTTATATGTTTCATCGATACGTTTCTCAATCACTTTAATATTAAAAACCACTTGCATGATTATTGTTATTAAGATATACATTTCCTAGTACTATTTTAACATCGTTTCTAGTTCCTTGTTTCGGGTTTTCAGATTAGTACTTATTTTTAACCTTTTAAACAGAAAAAAATTAAATCTATTTGAATGTATTTAAGTCAGTTTTTGACATGATTCCTCAGTTAAAACAAAAGCATGATTTATTAGTTTCATGTAATATCAATTCGAGGTATTTAATTATAAGTGGATTAAGAGGGATTAATACGATTCTACGTATTTGTTTTAAATATTATACTTGATACAGGGCAAGTCTTAAGTAAGAGTACATACTATTTTTATAAAATATGCCGGTACTGTTAGAAGACATCTGAAAAATATTCTCGTTGGTAAACAGTGGGGTTTACGAAAAAAACCCTAAAATATTTAAAAAAAAGCATGTTTTTTGGACTTATTTTTTATTTATTTTTTTAAGTAATAACCTCATTTTTTTATGTTTTTTAGGCTTTCCAAAAACTTATTACAACGATTACGAAACAGCATATGCCTACCCTGGAAACTACGACTATTACGGGGATATCCACAGTCACTATTAAGAAAAATGAAGATATTATCCATCAGTAACTTTCGTTGAGGCCTAATATGGTCAGCTCTCATTCACTTTACAAGAGCCTCAAGTATTTAATGTACAGTGTGTTCACCATCAGAAAAAATATCTATACAACAATATTCAGAAGATACAGGACAATTTTGATGTTTTTTGGTTATTTTGCAAGTTAGAATGTGATTATTCAGACAAAATACTTCAACATTTTTTTTTAAACTAATATCTACCAAGAGAGCTAACGGCTAAAATATAAGTTAACGCCCTGTATAAGAAAGCAGGAATTTATTTAAGATAAATATCGTTTTCTTCAATTTCAAGTGGTCTATATAAAGTTAGGTTATGTTTACATTGCCAGAGGTTTCATTTGATTTGCCTTTACTTACATACGAAATATTTTCTTTGAATTCTGTATTATAGCTTGGATGTCTCAAAGTTTAACATAATATTTTAACAATAATATAAAATATATTTAATATTTTTACCTAGATTTTGTAAGAAAATATACAAAATGGAAAATATTTTTTTATCGAAATGTATAGTTTAAAAAATATTATTAATGTATTATTAAAACAACAAAACATTGAATAAGAAATATTTTTATTGTAAAGTACAATTATTAAAATAGTGTACACACGTTATACTAATATAAATTTAGAGTATTTTATGTTATATTTTATTAATATTCACCAAAGATTGTTAAAATCGTACGTATTTTTGTATATATTTGCCATAATAATAAAAATGTTTTTATAGTTACATTTATTTTTAACATATTTTTGATGAGGTATTTTTGAGAATTTTTTTTTCCTGACACTTCATTGAAAATTGAAAAAAAAACTTTTTATAGCTGCAGATTCATTCATCGAAAATTTATTGACGGTGTATGCAATGTTGCCACATCCTGTGTTACCCACATTCTGCATATTTTAGTGTTTATACGGGGTGAGTCTTAAATAAGTGCAAATATTTCCAGGGCTGGTAGATCTTGATAAAAGAAATATATTTTCTCTTTATCCTTTTCAAATGAGTTCAAAATAATCGAGTTATTTTACTTTGAAAATTTCCAAAAAAAAATATTTTTTGCTTAAATTTTTAGAACCACTGGTTCTTTTCTGGGTTTTCTTTCTTGTAAATTTGATCTACTACCTATGTTGCCATATTATTAAGAAATTATGTTTTTTAACTGAAAAAAAGTCCAAAATTCGTTTAATTTCCATTAGTTATACAGGGTGTCCCAGAAATAAGTGCAAGTATTTTAAAGGGTGGTAGATCTCGATAAAAGAAACATATTTTCTCTTTATCGTTTTTCAAATAGGTCCAAAATAACGGAGTTATTTTACTTTGAAAATTTTCAAAACAAAATATTTTTTCCTAAAATTTTGAGAACCACTAGATCTTTTCTGGATTTTTTTCTTGTAAATTTAATCTAATACCTATGTTGCCATATTATCAAGAAAAAATTTCCAAAAATTTCGAATTTTCAAATTTTCTTTTGGCGAAAAAACCTCATGGCGTGTTTTTGGGGTTGAACTATACTACCAGCTAAAATACTTGCACTTATTTCTAGGATACCCTGTATAATATTCATTAAAACGACTATTGTTGCCGATAGTTTAATTTTTGAACTGTTTCTTTTTTAAATAATTATTATCATTTCATAGATTGGTAGGTAGTTAAAATATATATACCTAAACCAGAAGAAACAATCCTCACTTTCATCTATATATAAAATAAAAAGAAATTTTTGACGAAAAGTAAGAGTGCTTCAAAACAAAACCAATAATTTAACGGTATATAAACAACAAATTAAATGAAAATAGTCGAAATTAATTTGTTTATAATGTTTTTCGGTTTGTGATCTAGTGATTCCTGTATTTTCTGTCGATTATCGTTATTGTATTTTAATGAGAAATCATTTTTCTTTCATAGATATACAATTACCATCAAAATGGTAAAAAGATTATATGCTTATTTTGTTTAGATTTTTTAAATAAAACCGATAGTCTCAAAGATGAGAAAAAACATATAAATACTACTAAAAATATCTTTAAAATAAAATATTTAAATTTGCATTTGTATTTATATTAAATTGTAAAAATATTTTAATAAATGCGAAAAACTTCAAGGGGCGATTCCTTTGTTCAAAATAAAGGTAGTTTGCTTCATAAACGTTCAGTCAAAAGTCAACCATTTAGGGAGATATCGCGGTATTAAAGATTTATGGAAAATAATGTTTTTATTTTTTATCTTGAAAACGAAAGAGATAAACTATTAAAATTTTTATGGAAGCGTTACTGATATGAAAAACACACTTTCAGGGTTTTTTTCACTTTTTTAAATGAAGTGGAAGGGGTTGAAATAAACTACCCTATCAAGATTCTTGTTAACTTAAATTTAAAGAAGTAATCTTATCAAACACACAAAAAAAATTAATTTAGATAGTTTAGTTTGTTTAGAAACTTTTTTATCTCTTGTATTTTTTGATAAAACTAACCTGATTTGAAATTCTAAAACATAAAATGTAAAAGCATTACATGTCAGGACAAAAACATTTTCTGATAAAAAGAATCTAGTGGGCTGCTGTAATTTTTAGGAAAAAATCTAGTCGGCCGCTGTTACTTTTAGGATGTTCCTAGTATATTATTTTATTTGACATTACTCTACTGCAATACGTTATTATCTAGATGATTATTATTATCGTTATTATCACTAGATTCTTAATCTAAAAATGTTTTTGTCCCGACATGTAATGCTTTACATTTTATTTTTAATTTCAAATCGGTGAGTTTTATCAAAAAGAACACAAGAAGATAAAAAAGTTTCTAAACAAACAAACTATCCAAATTAAAAGCATTTGCATGTGTTTGATAAGATTTTCTAAATTTCGTTAACAAGAATAAGTGGTTTATTTCAACCCCTCCATTCATTTTTAAAAGTGAAAAAAATTACCAGAAAGTGTGTTTTTATATAACAGTAATGTTTCCATAAAATTTCATTAGTCTATCTCTTTGGTTTCAAGATAAAAAAATAAAAAAATTATTTTTTCGCCATCTTTGTACCAAGTGATATCTCCCAAATTATTGACTTTTAAACTAACGTTTATAAAGCAAACCCCCTTTTTTTGAACAAGAAATCACCCAAAGTTTTTCGCATTTGTTTTGAAACACCCTGTATTAAATTAATAAAAATATTTTAATAAATGACTGGTATGAACACACCTCCTGTATATATCTATTAGGTGATTATTGGACTTAGTTACATAAGTAAAAAGTAGTTTTATACTATATCTTAATTATTAACTATACATTTTCATGCAAAACTAATATTAAAATCAACGCAGAACAATCATATTCTACATATGATATAATAATATATGTAACTAGACCAAATGAATCTTGTAAAGCTTACTTATTGCTGTTTATAATAAGAAAATATAAAATAAGAGCAACGCCGCGACTACCGTATACACATAAATAAATTATTTTAGTAATATAATTGCAGTGTATAAATCAATTTGTTTTGATTTCTATTATAGTAATTTATCATTAAAATAAATATATATTTTCTTCATAAATTTCCAGTTTTTCGAAAAGGACATTTAGACAAATTGTATTAGTAATGAATTGCTATCAATTCGCTGATTTTTCAAACAACACCACAACATAAATCTTAGTAAAAAAATAAAACATTCCTTTTTATTTATATAGAGATTCTATGTAGTATGGCAACATAGGTGGTAGATGAAATTTACAAGAAAGGAACCTCAGAAAAGATCAAGTGGTTCTGAAAATTTAACAAAAAAAAATATTGTTTTTAATTTTCAAAATAAAATAACTCGGTTATTTTGGAGTTATTTGATAAACGGTAAAGAGAAAATTTGTTTCTTTTATCGAGATCTACCAGTCCTGAAAGTATTTACGCTTATTTCAGACTCACGCTGTATAGAGTATATTACTCAGTGATTAACTGGATTTAAACATGTGTTTCATTTTTAAATTTATATAATTATTTATAAATTACTCTAAATATAGTATGAGATATTTTTTTTTTCTACAAAAGTACCCACTATAGAAAAGATCCGCAATGTTTTATAGCAAGCAATTATTAATAAAACTACATTAATAGTCATCTTAATGGATTTTCCATTTAAATTACTCAATAGAAATTAACCGATTCTGCCTCAACATTTTCCTTATTATACCAATAAAACAATATTTTATCACATTTAACAATATCCGTTCGAGACCACACGTAACCAGGTGCGGAGTTAGAGTTTCATCTCGTTGGAATTTGACTTTCGAAAAATCCGTTTGCCAAAAATAAGCATTTTACGTCAAGCAGTTTAAGCAGAATCGTGGTTAATCAATTACCCAACTTTTTGAAACACCCTGTATGATTTTTTTAAAAAATTTCAAGCGTTTTCCCGAAAGACTAACCGTTTTTTAAATAACAAATATTGTAATATTTGAGGGGCGTTTTCACCCTCTTGGAATTTGAGATTCGAGAAACCCCTCCTTATCGAACCTCTACACCCCACAGTCGATCCGTTTGCTAAAAATCAGCTTTAAACGTCAATCAGTTTAAGGAGAATCGTGATTACTCAATGGTCATATTTTATGAAAAACCTTGTATAAATTTTTAAAAATCTTAAAATATGTAAAACAACAAAATAAAATATACGTGTTTAAGAGTTTTTCCGAAAAACTCATCGGTTTTTAAATAAAAAATATTTTAATATATGAGGGGTGGTTTCACCCTCTTAGAATTTGAGTTTAGCAAAATCCTTCTTATCGAACCTTTACACCCTAAAGTCAATCCTCTTTTCCAAAAATCAGCTTTTTACGTCAAGCGCTTTAAGCAGGATCGTGATTAATCAATAACCAGATTTTCGAAATACTCTTTGTACATTTTAAAAATCTTAAAATATGTAAAGAAACAAAATAAAATATACGTGTTTAAGCGTTTTTTTTCGGAAACTTGACCGTTTTTAAATAAAAATATTGTAATATTTGAGGGGTGGTTTCACCCCTTTGGAATTGGAATTTCAGAAAATTCCTTCTTATCGAACCTCTACTCCCTACAATCAACCTGTATGCCAAAATTGAATTTCTTACATTAAGTGGTTTGAGCAGGATCGTGATTAATCAGTGAGTCAGTCACTTAAGGATTTTATATATTAGTATAGAGTGACTTTCAATAATTCTCTACCGCATCTTCAATCTTCAAAGTAGCTAAAATTATCAATAAAGTGTGGTGCTGAGAACTATGTATTTCTAGAAAATTTACCATGAATTTTGGTCGTGTCCAAGTCGTCACTCTTTTGACTAGGAGGTTCTCCTTTAGGGTTCTTTAAACATCTTTTGAATATTTGACGCGGTCAAATAATTTTTTTAAGTTATAGTTATTAACGTAATAAGGCCGATAAACAACAAATAACGGCCGGGCTGAAGTTTGTGATCCGAGGCGATAGCCGAGGATCATAGCAGCCAAGGCTGTTATTTGTTATCG